CCAACACCACCACCACCACCACCTCGATCTCTGCATCCAGGCCCGCATCCAACAACAATCAACTGCGCTGCCTGCTCTGCAAAAACTAGCTCATGCAGGAGTGATTTTTTCACTCTTTATTTTTTAAAGGACCGTTGAAGCCCCGCCCTCTATCGTAAGTCCTCTAGTCTAAGCCTCTCCCCGGACAAACGAGAAAACCTGTGTGAAAACCTGTTTAAAAACATATTGAAAACTTCAGAAAAATGCCAACAAGATGTTTATCCGCTATCCTGCTATTATTAAGAATCATAGCTTGTATTAGTTATATCGTAGTAGTGTAGCTGGAAGTGTAGCGCTAACCTGGGACTTCAAACTCAGAATCGCTATAGCAACACAAATCAGAGGCTGTTGAAAACTTTTAACCTTGGCATCTATAATATATCACCTGCACTTTTACCTGTAAATAGATGGCCAGATATCAGCTGCCAAACATTTTCAATTTTCCTAATTTTGTTGAGTTCGCGTTTCTCGCCTTCACTCCTATTCCGAACCCATAATTATAAGAAGCTCATTTCAACGCCTAAAAACTCTCGGCCGAGGGCCCCCCCACGCATAACCCGGCAATCCACCTAATTTGAGGGGGGCAACGCTACAAAGCCCGTAGCGCAATATGTCCTTCTGGCCCTGCAATTGTAGTGACTTCCCCCCTCGAGGCTCAAGGCCGTCTCCCACTAATTAGACTTCCCGATTTTGTGCAATAGCAGCTTCCAAAAGGGGGTGTCCAAGTTTCCTTAAAAAGCAAATAATCTGGTAATTTGAGACTTGAGGGTGTATTGGGTAGGGTTAGATGTCTATGGGAAGCTATTTTGGGATGTCGACGCCATAGCGGTTGGTGTAGGTTTTCGGGCATTGATTTAGGGCAGGGGGGTTACATGCTTATTAGATACTGCTGAAGCCACTACCATTATGGCAATGTAATTAACTATTTCATGAGGTCGAAATTTGCATAAAAAATCCCGTAAGAGACCCGGATATTGTTTTAAAAATTTCAGTATTGAATTTCAACATTGTAACTCGACATTTCTGCATTTCGACCTTTGAGTGGGTCCTGTTTAGATACCAGTTAGACCTATTGCAGAAAATTTTTATTGAGCAGAAGTGAGGTGGAGAATTCGGTGATTTGAATTTGTGGTTCTGAAGTTCAGTATTAACGATGTCGGGATTTTAAGCGCTCGCGAAGTTGCAGCCATAAAATTCCGAATTTCGTATTAAATCCCTGATAATTTGTTTCAAAAATAGTTTCACTCAAGAAAAGAATCGCACACGAACGGTAATGGGTGGCTAGGATTGATTGAACGCTCCATATGTAGCGATCGTTCCCTTCTCTCAAGAGGTCATCGCAGATAACACCTCTCATTCTGGTGGTGTGTGTACTTGTTGCCGTTGGGTTGCGACACCATGTGATATGCTATCAACTTTCTTACTTACTTTTTAAATAAAACCATGCAATTTCTGCTTTAGTAGAATTAACTCTTATATGTAATTATCTACCACTCCCATGCCCTTTTTCAAGCCGTCTCACCGTAATTAAAACATTACGCAAATGCAAAACCACAACCTACTTGAAAGTAGCCCAGAAATTAACAGATCTCCTCTAGGGACCCCAAAAATAATAAGAACAAGCACATCCCCTGCCCGTGCGCTAATTTCACCTTTCTCCAATGTTTCGCTTTGACGTCGATACTGCTTGAGCAATAACACCATAGCAGGTGAATAGTTTGTGAGATTGAATTGCCTTTATGCTAAATATAGACGTTTTTCATTTTACTAAAACGAAATTTTACTTCCGGGTCTATGCTCAAAGCGTAATTTTAGTAATTAAACCAGGGTTGAAAAGCCGCTTCGCGACTTTTCAACCCTGGCCCCCGTCTAACCCCCATGCTTCATCACTTTGCATAAACTCCTGGATTCCTGTGCAAATGAAAAGCGCGTCCTCTCCGCCATTATTTAGCCATCCTCCACTTCCGGTGCATGCTAATTCATTCCTCAAAAAGCGGCTGAGCGAGATTTTCAGAAAAACTTAATTTTAAAATCGAAAACGGCTGTTTTTTCAAAATCTCGTATGCGTGCAGTCGTGTCATGACCATTACGCACCTAATGACGTATCATACGTACCCATAACTTCCTCCCCTATTGAGATACGACTGGAACATACGGACGGAAGTTGCATGCAAATGCACACGCACACACACACACAAACACTATTTTTTTATATATAGTAGGATCGCACCGCACTCGTCCGGCCGATTGCTATGGATGCCTCAATATGTTGAGCATCTTCAGTTCAGCTGTAAACATATACCTGTTTATGTAGTAGTTTGACGCGGGGAAGCCCATTTGCAAAAGCGCTTCTCCAGTACCCCGGTATTTTTCCTTATCTATTCCGTTCTCTTCCTCTCAATAGGCTTCTTCTTGCCTTCTGTCCATCAAACTGTCCCACACAGGGCTTCGCAGACTTTTCCACCCCCAAATTATGCTCTGCTGTACTTTTTCTTTTATTTTCTTTTCATCTTGTTTTTTATTTTCATTTGCATTCTCTTCTTCCATCGATAATACTTTAGTATTCCTTGTAAATGCTATTGCACAAATCTGGCTTGAAAAGGCTCGGGCCCTTCTTTGTTTTCGGACGTTCTTTTTCTTTGTTTTGATTACTATGGATTTTATTTACTTGTAAATTTTCAATTTCAAAGTTTGGCCCAAACAGTTCGGCTAAACCACTCTCCACTAATCCCCCTGCCACCAAAACAAACCCATGAAATCACCACGTCGAAAATCCTCGGCCTGGATGGCTTCCCCGATTACTTAAATCGGCATTTTCAAGGAACAGCCCCAATTATTGGATGCCTTATGCAATTGTGCGTTTCCATGATCTGTGGGGAGGGCCAGATGGGCTAATACCAGGTGGAGGGAAAAGGATAGCCTGGGGGGGCGGATGGGTAGGCGGCAAAAGGTCAGCTGTTCTAGTGCCAGCCTCACACACCGGAAGCCCTTGCTTTTTCGATGAAGCCTAAGCCTAAGCCTCTCCGGTTTCATGAAATATTTTTATCCAGGCTTTGTGGATTGATAAATTGGCACGTTAGTGCTACTCTTTAAAGCCGCAAGTTACAAATGTATACAATACCCCTTTATTTATCGTTCTCTCTCTCGCTCTTTCTCTCGCACTCTCTCTCTCTCTCCTCTGCTCTTTTTCTATGTGTTCTCTAGATTTCACTTATCTTATAAGCTGACTTAATGATCCTTGCTGCTATACTTTAATTCTAGCGGTAAAACAATTTTTTGTACCGCTTTCCTTCACCATACTGTTGCTTAGGCTTAGGCTTAGGCTTAGGCTTAGGCTTAGGCTTAGGCTTAGGCTTAGGCTTAGGCTTAGGCTTAGGCTTAGGCTTAGGCTTAGGCTTAGGCTTAGGCTTAGGCTTAGGCTTAGGCTTAGGCTTAGGCTTAGGCTTAGGCTTAGGCTTAGGCTTAGGCTTAGGCTTAGGCTTAGGCTTAGGCTTAGGCTTAGGCTTAGGCTTAGGCTTAGGCTTAGGCTTAGGCTTAGGCTTAGGCTTAGGCTTGCGGCACTGCGCTCAGCAGATTCTCACTACTTGCCCCTCCTATGCGTTCTGCTAGTGGGCTAGGTGGGTGGCGAGTAGGCTTAGGCTTAAGCTTTGAGCCTAAGTTTCATAAGGCCTAAGTCTAAGCCTAAACATTTTTCGCATAACTAACGGTAATATACCTTTCCGTAAGCCGAAATCGGCGCTGCCAGATGCGATAAGCCGCCCCGTTACGCATTAGATGCGGATCCCCGGTAGCCAAATCCGAAGAGGTCAACCGCGGATTATATACTGCGGCTGGGTGGCTCCCCGTTGAAGCTGGCCCCCGTCCCCGCTAGAAAAATGCTGACATCAAAATACACCCGGATCAAAGGGACACAAAATTTGGATTTGGAATCAGGGAGTCAGAAAGGGTCACAATAAGGCTAGCTTTATGATTAGCGGGTTATTTGGGAATGATTTTTATATTCTTTGCACTTTTTTACGAGTTATAGGAAACACTTTCGTGATTTACAAATTTACCAGTATTTGAAATCAGCTATTATCTCGCCTCTTTGCTGTATCTTTCCGATACTGTAGGATCTGCTATATCTGCTAACCAATTCAACCTTCAATACCTAATTAATTTTATACCAGGGTTGAAAAGCCGCTTCGCGACTTTTCAACCCTGGCCCCGTCTGACCCTACGATGTTCTTCGCCTTACATAATTTTCCTGAATCCCGATAACGAAAAAAACGAAAAGACGCTCCCTCTTTCCGATTATATAGGCTATCGCCATTTCCGGCGTATGCTAACTATTTCCTAACAAAGAGGGGTGTCCTATTTTTCAACAAAAACTTTATTTTAATGTCAAAAATCGAACAATTTGCACAATCTGATAAGCGTGCAGTCATCTTGGAGACATTACGCACCTAATGGTGGATCAAATATAGCTTAAGGGCCTTCCCCTCTCGAGATATCCTCCGGACAACCTGACGGAAGTTGCATGCAAATGCACACACACAGACACTATTTTTTAATATATAGTAGGATAACATGCATCTAAATTTAACCTTCATTATATGCCTAGTTACAACCTTTTTGCCAAGGATGTGGTGACCGGGGCGTGGTCACCGATCCGCCCCTCTATTTGTGGGTCCGATAGCCGCCGGGCTCATTTTCGTCTTTGGTTAAGCTGGCCTTCATCCCTATTCTATATTCTGCTAGTCCGCTTTTTGCGAAATACCAGATATTCTTTTAATTTGCAATTTTAAAGGTTTTATTTTCCCCGTGCGTTTAGTTGAATTATATACCGGATTGCTTCGAATTGTTCTCTCTCTCTCTCTCTCTCTCTCTCTCCTTATCATTCTTTTCGTTAATGGCTACATAATTTAATAATTCCATTTCAGCGCTCCATACGGCCCATTAGGGGTCAGGCGCCACCACGCATGTGGCCTTTCGGGGCGGCCTGGCTACTGCTAGGTTTCGCTCTGGTGGCCGCTAAACTTCCGGCAGCTCCAAATGAAACCCAAAAAGTACCCACCTATGAAGAAATTGTTGAACGGATAGCACATTTCAAAGGCAATCTTGGGCCCATTAAAGAGGTCTACGACAATCAAGGTTCGTTCCAATCATACTTTTGATAAACTTACGTAAAGAACTGCGGCTGATACACCAGGGCCGGCCACGCAGACCATTTATTGGGCGAACCGGATTTGTGGAGGATGATCTGCCGGCGAATCATGAACAAACGCTGAAAGCTGTTGAAAAATTGATAGAAAAATATAAGGATGAAACACCGGCCCAAGTGAATGCTCATGCTAAAGCATTACTAGCTGAAGCTTTACCAACAAGACCTGCCCCAAAAGATGCCGTTCCACCGGTGAGCAAATTTTAAGAAGTGGTTAAACGAAAGTAACGTTTAAGAAAGACTACAGTTATGGGCAAAAAGGGATCAATTATGACGTCGACGACAAGGGGCCGTTCATTCTTTGCCAAAAAGCGGTAAGTTTTCATGATTATATATTTTATTTTCAGACCTGATGCCTTCAGTAATGCAAAAATTTATAGGAAGGACCACCAGGAACCCTCGGACAGCTCCCTATCGACATTGAGCGCTGCTACTACAAACAAGACAATTTTGTCGGTCAACACGCTGTCGGTTGCCTTGTCGGCATGAACTTTTTCGAACCGGAGGTATCTAATTAATACGTAAACTTCTTTAAATATGCCACTTTTTTAGAACATCACGGAACCCGGTTGGAGAGCATACGTTCCGTCCAGCAGGGTAATTTATCGAGGTTGCTGGGGAGTAGATTCGTTCGTTTCTGAGGATTGTGTCTGGGACGAAGCGGTGGGAAAAAGTCAAATTATATGGAATTAATAACGAATTTAGTGCATTGGTCGCTTTCACGAGCCAGTCGTTAACGACCGTGAAACGCTGTTTTGCTGCTGTCGGACCCATATGTGCAATTCAGAAAATTTGGTTGGTTTCTTTAATATTGTAATTAGTAATTTCACAATTATGTAGAAAATATAAAACCTAACTGCATTTAGACTTACATTGCCGATCCGTACAACTATATCCCTCGGATGATGCATCGGGACTACCCAAACATCACCGAAGATAAAATGCAAAAAGCCATCGAAGCAGCCATCCTCAAAGCTCTTCCAAAAACCGCGACCGCCACCACGGCCACCCCGTGAGTTCATCAATCCTACTATATATAAAAAATAGTGTTTGTGTGTAGACACATTGCATAATGGCCCGATAAAACCGGGTTATCGACTTCTCAGGAGGGGGGAAAGAATTTTAGGGCCGGTCGAAAAGTATTTAGATTACTGCACGCTTATCAATTTTTTAAGAAAATGTTGATTTATACATTATTAAGAACATATGTAACAGTCCTCATTTGCATACCCGGCATTAGGATGCTCATTTCGGATTTTGTCGCGTTCGCAGAGTTTTGTTCAATTTTTCAAACGTTAGCGAATCTGCTAGCTTGGATTTCCAAACTCTATTATCACTGAAAATCACAATTAGATAAGCTAGCAAATCTTCGGTTTTGTTCAGTCCCGATCCGGATGATTATTACGACCAAGAATACGATACGTACGGTGCCAAATTGCCACTACGTAAGAAGCCCAGATCCGCGTTCAACTGGGTGACGTGGGCATTCGTCTTCTTGCTGATCTGCCTGTTGATCATCCTCTGCTGTATTATGATCGGCATCTGTGGGCAAAGATGTGGAGGAGAAAAGGATGAAATTGAGGAGGCTGAGGTATGCTTTAAATGTAGACATTGCCTAAAGTATTTCTGATTTATAACAGTATTTTTTTACATTAGAGGGAGGGTTTTTATGGCGCGAAGCTTATTTCAGGCGGATCTACCGTAACTACAATTAATGCCCAGTAGTCCTTCGTATTTTTCCAGGCGCGTCGTCTCCGTGTTCTCCAAGAAAATCGTCGCAAATTTTACCACGCCAGGATGAAAAATATCATCTTGCCCTCCCGGCCGATCATCCGAAAATATGACGTAAGGGATGGTTTTGTAACAATTTGAAAAAATTATTTAGCGGATTGGACGCGGCCGCTTTGCTGACGTCTACAAGGGGGCTTTATGGCTGAATGGGGAAAAAATGGGGATGCACGTGGCGATCAAGGCTTTCAAGAGCAAGAACACCGAGCATTTTCGGCATGAAACGGTGGGGAGTTGACATTTTTAAGATAAATACCCAATTTATAGGACTTTTATGGGCTCGACTGGTGGCGAGCAGTGAACCATCCAAATCTCATCCTATTTCATGGGGTCTTCGTTCACGAAATAACCCCGAAAAGGAAGGAACTGTGGATTTTAATGGAGTATCACGCCCGTGGTAATCTGTTCCGATACCTAAGTGTAAGTCAATTTTACAAAAGCTTCTCAATGTCCCCATTTTTAGCGGCAAACGATGAGCCTAAGCCGTGCCCTTCATATTATCGATACCTTCATGGAGGGGCTCGATTTTCTACATCGTGAGGGGATCCAAGGAAATTTTTGGAAAAATTCGATCGCTCATCGGTAAGGAATAAACCTAAAGATAGATAATTATTGTTTAGTGATTTAAAACCCGGCAACGTGCTTCTAAAGTCAGACTACAGCGCTGTCATCGCAGATTTTGGTTTATCTATCCGGCTCGATCAATGCGTATGGCAAGGAATGGAGATCAAAAATAACAAACGATCACCAATTGTATGTATCTTGATGAGGTATATATACAGAATTAAGGCCCAAAATGGTACACCACGCTACATGTGTCCAGAGGTGCTGGATGGAAATACCGAATTCTCCCCCACAGCTTTCCACCATCACGATATGTATGCTGTTGGATTGATCGTCTGGGAATTGCTGGCACGCACGATGGCATACCCTGGGGAACGGATCAAGACAAGGCACAAGGTAATCATTGGGGAAGGCAAGCTGTCAGAGATTCTTTGGGAATACTAGACACCATACTGTATTTCTTCTTTGCAGCGTCCATACGAAATGGAAAGCGGAAATGCTCCGACTATTTCACAGATGAGGAGAATCGTTGTAAGAGCAAGAATGAGACCAGTGTTCCGGGAAATCCTTGCCGAAAATCCGGTAGTCATATATTTATTGCGATAAGTTAAGCTCCGCGCTTCAGGTCACCAAATCACTGGCTCAATCTGCAGCCGAACTATGGGACGACGATCCGGAAAGTCGGCTGTCAGCAGCGTAGGAAGATAACTAAAACCAAAAATCAAAGATTTCTAGTTGTTTCCAAGCGCGTGTCAGGGGATTGATTAAAGAACTTCGAGATGTTGGGGAATACTGTGAGCCAATGCTAAGTAAGTCTGATTTTTGCAATGTTTTATCACGAGTTCCACTTTAGGAAAGAAACGACCAAACGATCAGTACATCCCACCAGCTCAACTACCATGCAAAACTTTCGAAGAAAAATACGCCGAAATATGCATGGAAGATATTCCGGACTATTTAGCTGTTGAAGACATGGATCTGCCAGATGAAGCAAAAGAAGAACTGCGTGAAAAGATCATTCAAGCTCATAGAGCCCAGATGGAGGCGGATAATGAAGCTATTAAAGATTTCTTGGCGGGTGGTGATCAACAAGAAACGGCTGTGATGCATGATAGTGGAGATGAGCTGGAAAATTATGAAGAGGCAGAAGAAGACGCGACGATAAAACCTGGAACATCGGCTGAAGCTATTGAGGAAAAGGAGGAAGAGGAAGAGGAAGAAGAACATCCAAAGGAAGCCGTCCAAAAAACGACGGTCAAGAATAAGGAAGATGAACAAGGGCTTTTGGAACCCGGCAGTGTGGTATGTTGATTAAGATTCTAGTAGAAAGCCCCCAAAGAGCATGTAATAATCAAAAGTTTTAGGAGGAAGATCTAACCGAACCCGAGCCATCAACTTCCAGAGCTCCATCCGGGGACCCAGATCGAGCTCCCCGGATAGAAGTAGATGAACGAAATGAGCCTGAGGATGAGGTTGATCCGGAGGAGCAACTAGTGGCTGCTCTAGCCGCAGAAGCTGATCGATTAGCGGAAGCAAGACCCGAACGAATAATCAAGAAAACGGATCGCGTCCATCCACATGGCGAGAAGAAGGGGCCTTTTGGATTACTCTCTCGGTTATTAAATAGAACCAATCGAGTAAGTATTTTGTCTTAAGAAAAAAAACAACGGCTTCCCAGACATTTGATAACAAACATATTTTGCAGAATCACCACGCACGAATTGAAACCGAGCCGTTGAATCCGAGTGAAATAGAATTACAAGAGGTATACTACAAACGCATTCGTTGGGAATTTCATTGTTTTTAGATTCCCCGAATACACGTCCTTGCCACGCCGCATGATGTGGAAGCTCAATGAATATGCCTTTCCCTCCAAAATCTTAATATATTTTTGTAACATAGTATATTTATGCTCTGTTTCTACGCTTCCCAGGTTATCACGTTACCAAATACCTCCAACCTTCCAAAAAAACCCCTCATGTATCCTACACCTCACCTGATAAGTATAACTAGCCAATTTGGCATTACCGTTTGCACGTCCTGTTACTGACCTCCCCCCTTCAATCGTACTTTTCTGCTCATTTCCCCTTGCACTAGGTAATGATGGTATATTCCGATTTTGGCAACATTATTGGGGTCCTATTTTACGAAATCGGAAATGAGCCAATATACCCTGAATTAGTCTCCAATTTGACTGTATCCTTCCACTGTGAAATGTGTGATGATAGGGACCGAAGAAACTTTTTTTTTTGTTTGCTTTGCTTGCGTTGTTGATTTTGGTCATATTGAGTAACGCCTGCATGCCAAGAAATATTAGCACAAATTTATTGACGTTACTCAATAAGCCAAACTTCAAAAAAATACCCTAAAATCTAAGTCTACCCGATACAATACCCATTCACTTCCGTTTTCCCTTCATTAACCAAAAATTCACAATTCTACTTGGCTCTTAATTACCACAGAAATTTGCATAAGCGCCTCGTAAAATCCCTTGAGCAAGCCTTAACCTCGAATGCTCCTCAAAATACCCTCAGTGATACCTTCGATTCTACAAAAACAAGACTTCCATATTCGTCAATAAGACTGGTTGTGCATTTGTGCCCTGTACGTTGTTGTCGATTACGGTGTAGACGGTTTCCGGTACGTTATACATAAAAATCATCATTTATATAGCAATCGCAATGCATTCGAATACTGAACACCGGATCAATTTTTATAAATATGTATATATAATTTACACAAACACATACACAGAGAGAGGCTCTACAGGGCCCGCATTTCAGACACCAATTATAACTCTCTAAAGCGATGGGAAATATGCATATAACAGCACATTATACTAAAATCATTTCCCATCCCTTTAAGCCGTCACAAAAACCTAACAAAACCCCAAGAAACGGGAGAAGTTGGCACCAAGTCACCACTTTTCTAAAGAAAAACGGAATTTACAAGCACCTGAGAAATGGGAAAACTGGGAAGTTATGTAAAGAAATATTAGGGGGTACGGGGGGAGGGTGAAAAATGCGTAAAATCGGAAACCCGTTCATCTGCGCGAAAAATATTAAAGACGTACGGTATGGTTTTTGGGAATACGAGCTATAAAGGAAGGCCTTGAATTGAAACAGCTGTCGTAGTAGATCATATTTTGACTTATATACTAGCAAAATTTGAATCACTAAAAACAGCTGATTTTTAAAGATGGTGGTGCAGAAATTGGGCACTAAAATGTAGCCGAGAAACCGATGGGCAACGAAAAAGTGGCACGTTTTCTAGAAGTCACATAACCAACGACTACTCGATCTAAAACGCCGCAAAAACTACGACCCTATCTAAACTTGACGCTTGAAACGCAACGAGAAACGGGCTGTTCGGCCATTCGGATGGTAGATGACGAATATTTGGTTTGACTCGGAGATTGTATCTTCTTTTGGGCGATAACAGCAGCTAAAATAGAGGTTAAAGATCTTGAGAGCTTATTTTCATGCTGCTAATGCATTAAGATACCCAAGGAGGTTTCCTCCTTACCTCCTAAATCCAGTCAATCTGACGTCAAGCTTATGCTTAATCTCGACATATGATTGGCATCCATACGAGCATGGGAATTCCCCATCAGACAACCGGAAGCGAAGTCTCGAACCCTCCGGAACCGATATCCTCCAGTAACACGAGATTGATTTTCCTCTCGGGCTAGTCAGCGTCTGCCAAGTATCCGTTCCTCTCAATTCGCCGCCGCACGCTAAAAAGTCATTAAAATCAATAGTAATACTTCCATAATTTATGGTTTATGTTTCCAATCGCTTACGTGACGCTTGGAGAATCGAGCAGTCCACACCGCCAAGCCCTTCCGGGCATCGACAAACCGCACAATTATTCGGATCCGCGTAGCCCCCAGCCAGACATCTGACATTTGTACGCCCAGCGCATGCATCTAAAATAATACAAATACGTCATTAATTCAGAAATTACGTACTCGGACAATAGATATCGTTGATGACCTTCGCGTCGAGGAAAGCCATTTTCTCAGTTCCCATTGTCGTCACATACTTCAGCTCTTTTGGGACGATCGTAAAATCAGAAACCTGTAGAAGATAAGGAAAAAGAATTTTGTCTATTTTATGTCTACTTTAACGGCATGTGCCACCGCGTGGTAGTGCATCAGTGAGCCGTAATCATAAGGTACACGTCGGGGTGATACCTGGAAATGAAAATTTAATGTATTATAATTTCTACTGCGCATTAAAAAATCGTTTTTATGAGTGTTTGCGTTATCCAGCAACCTACGTCAGTATGACCCCAAAATAATTGCGAGATAACTTTATATAGACGAGGTCATTAGGTGCGTAATAGACTTTAAATGACCGCATATACCAGATTTTTAAAGTCAGCTAAGTTAATTTCGATGTTAATTTTGCGTCTTTATGAAATCGTTCTATCCCATTAGTTAGGAAGAAATTAGCATCCACCCTATAAAGGTTATAGAGGCATGATTTACCCGGTCACTCAAATTGAAAAAATCTACGTAAAGCAGCATTACCCTAAATTCTATTTCCCTCATCAATGCACTATGGTTGCTCAAGCTCTTCCTCCCCCCAGTTGAGCATAATCACCGACATGCCATGCCCTCGGGGCACTTAATCCTAAACCGACGGTAGACAGAACCAGTAGAGCTTTCACCCCCCCTCGAATACCCCCTTTCCCCTTCATTTTCAACCCTCCCTTGGGTGCCACGGGAAAATGGGCAAAAGCGGAACCTGTCGGATTCCAAATGCCTGCAACATGCTGCGAAACGGCATGAATGAGGCCGTCGCTTCGTCCATCACGTTCTTCCAGTTGATCGAAATGTACCTGGAAAAATCAGAGTTTTACAAGAATTTACCCAACTCGGACTTTCAAAACAATGAAAAAAACCCTCTAGCTGCTCTGATGAATCTAGGGTCTAGATGAATTTTAGGCCATTTGAAAGCTTTTGAAAAGGAAAATTCCACAAAAAATAAAAATTTCCAGTCATAAAATGCAGAAATCAAAAACTTAATATGAAAAATGAAAAATACACGTTTTCTCTTCTTCTCACCTATCACGGTCTGGTCTTTGATGAGTATGCCAGAATCCAAGTGCATGTCCGGTTTCGTGAGCAACGACGTATTCCTGAAAAAAGCTGTTGTGGAATCTCATGCTCCCTGCAAATTTAAATTTACTTTATTTAGAAACCATCCGTGGACCCTCATCATGATAATCAATTGATTTTCCGGTTCCGGTACTACCCCATTTTTTACAGAATTGTGGTTGGACAGCGAGGGGATGAGTGGTCGTTAAATAGGAGCCAAGGCAGTCTGATCCCCCCATTTCGAGGCTACTCACCGGACCATAGCCCCAGATAGATCCCCCGTGCTCCCCCCTCCCTCCCGTAAGAAGAAGCACCGACGATATACACCTCGAAAAACACTCGATAGCCACCTCAACAAATGGCCGATAGGCAGTCCCCCCACTCACTGGTTTATGATAATGCAGAACAAACGAGAATGAGCATTCGAAAATACTATTAGCAGAGCTACTGTGGAAATTGTTTATACGATTGTAAATAATGAGAGTTTTATGTTTGTCTATCGATGGTCAAGTCTTGCCCTTGCATCAACTCCAAAAGCATTTCCAGAAAATTCCAAATACCAACCTCAGCACATTCACTCCCAATAATAATATCTTGATGCCCTCCATTCCTTCCAATATACTCCGTAAAGCACGAGTCACCATTCTCCAACACATACCTAAAAATACAAAAATATTTAAGTACACCATCAACCATATTTCAGGAACATTTTTCTACAAAATATTCCCCCCGGCCTCAAACCGCTTGCCCTTCCCATGCACGTCAAAAAAGTGAGAGCTCCCACTCCGAAGAGACCTTAGAAGTGCCCTCCCTCTCGGCACCGGGATTTTCACCTCACACCCTCAAGCCTTGCAGACAAATACACAGACAGACAGAGAGAGGAACAGACAGACGAATTAAGACTGACCTTATGGCATCACGAGCTTGCATGTTCTCGCGAAACCGTAGACACGTTGACTCTTCCCACATCCGGATGCCACGACGGATCAGGTTTTGGAAGTTGACTGAAAAAATTAGCGTGAATTTATTGAATTTACTCAAGCTGATATCTTCCTTCGGTTTCGGAAAAAGAAAATATCCATTAATATGTACGGCGTTTTAAAAAAGTACCACCTATCGGTGGGAAAACCCGAAAAATCCGATTTAGATGATTTAGGTATCTAGTGAAAGCCCTCTAAACCCGAGAAAAACGCTATGGACTTCCTGGATTAGGGTCCCAATTTGGTTTTTTTCTATAAACAAAATCCGTAAAAGGCGGCTTCATTCTAAATTTACATGATAGTTGCCGTTTTCACGCCCAAAAAGACGCAATTCCTGGGAAAGCGTTTCATCTCCAGAAACTGTATAGTTTAAGGAAACAGAGCGTATTTTTTCCTGGCCTTTCCAGAGCTTATCAATGGCATATGAATAATCCCAATCCAACCTTGCTGCGGACTGGTAAACCGGGTATTTCCTCCCACCCCGTAGACCTAGCTTTATTCGATATTAACTATATTTACATATATTTCCAAAGCTATTTCCCGACTATCATAAAAAACGCCGAGAAAATCCAGTCCTCTCGATCACACCAATCATACGGTTCATCGGATTCCCGACCGGCAAATGGGTGTGCTCGGTGAGAGTGTATGAGGCTGGCAGCTTCCTGCTACCCCTTCCCCCCCCCGCACCCCCACCCCGCTCGGATATTTGATGTCCCTTCCCTTTTGCTCAGTCTGTCTGTATATCGGCGCGTGGCGGAATACCAGTTGCCCCCGTCCGCCCCGTCGTCCTCCCGGTGGTGGATCGAGCCCCATACAATAACACTCACACAACTCTGCCCTTCTCTTTCCTCTATGCAAGCCTCGGGACGGCAGACCGGTTTCTTGATCATGGTGGGTGGCATTTCCCTTTTTTCCTTTCGACGGCCCCCCTTTTCCGCCTCCAGGGCTTTCCCCCCGGGGCGTGTGAACCCGGGAACAATGGGTCATCTGCCGTATGTCTAGACCTTCAGCCGGCAATCGAGAGCCATTGGCTATCAATGGGGCGTGAACATGATGGGGTCAAGTTGGAAAGGGAAAAGCCGATCACCTGGGCTTCCAAGGTCAACGTCCCCCGCTCTCAAACCCACTAAAGCAGAATCAGGAACTGAAAAAGAGGAGGAATGTGCAGAGATGTTGAGTTAATCCTTACAGAATTTCGACTGGTGGGTTTTTAGAAGGACTACGAAGGTTATGAGCTCATCACGGCAATGCGAATGTTATTATCAACGGTTTTGCAGCAGCCGTGAAAAAATTTAACCTCGCTGACGAAACAGGAAACGTAAAACAATCGGTCTTGTGATACCAAACTAAAAACCTCCTTTTTGCGCGAAGTGATACGAATAAAAAAAGCTATTCCGCAAAAATTCCAAGCTACTTTTGGCTAGTCCCGTAGCTCTCGATACCGATTGCAAGGAAAAGACTCATTCTTACCGCCCACCGTTTCTTTAAAAATTGAGCTTTCCTATGAAAAACTTACAATTAGCCTCCAAGAGCCAATTTTCTGCTGGTGTTTGGCAACCCCCACCAACCCCAGTTCACATGATACCTACCCCTCCCCCTTCAGCACAGCACCTGAACTTTTCAAAAACCTTGCTCCCTAAAAAACCTCGTAAAATTCTCGGACAACGTACGGAGGCATCCGTCTGGGAACGAGCGCAAAAAGTGAAAAGCGAGGCGAGAATGGCGCCGCGTTAAGTATGACTAAGCTGGTATGCCAAATTCACGCTAACCGGACAATAGGATATCGAATGGCTTTTGTGGAGGTGAAATTTATTGAAGGGGGGGGGGGGGTAACTGGGTGTTTTTGAAGACAAAAGATGGCAGGACCTACAATGACCGAATCAAGATGAATTTTATTGACTAGAATGGTCGGTTGCTCTTGATTTAGCCAATATTCCCATTTCCGGGCACGTTGAGTAATGGAGGCTTTGTTGGCTAGCTGCTCAGCGCCGGCTTCCTCGCACCATGCAAAAACAAAATCGACGCGCCGTGCGAAAGGGAGGTCAAAGAAATTTGGCAAATCGGCCGATGCGGAGGTCAAGCTGACAATGGGGTAAGCGAGGGAAAAATTAACTTCATCATTCAGAAGAAATAGATTTGGTGAGGGCAATTAATGAGGTTTCCTCAATTGATCTAGGGAAACTATTGACGTATTTGGCTGATTAAAAATTCACATCAGTGCAATGCCATATACTTCTTTAAAATTCTTTTTCATATGTAAATTATAGGCTATGTATTAAATCCCTATCTATTAATACAAATTCAGGGCAATTCACTAGCTCGCCGCCCTTTCATCCGCTTGATCCTTCCCTCAATAACCTTTAACGTTTTTTAGCGTTCAGGTGAAGAGGGAAAGTGGCTGTGGTGGTTTCTGGTGGGGGGATTGACTGGATGCCATTGCAATAAGAGCACTGCATGTCAGATGCGAAAATTGGTTTCCCCGGCCCATTTCCTCAGCAATCGAGCTTCTTCGCCGGTGGGGACGGGGGGATTAATAGTTCCTACAGTTCTCGACGGAAGAAGATGAAAGGTGGAAATGATTGATAGGGTTTTAGGTATGGCTAATTTGCATAATTTAAAGGATGTACAGGGAGTCCAAAAAATTATCCGATAGAAGCTTAAAAAACCGGTAGTTTTACTTTGCTAGATTAGATATTATAATCCTGATCTTTCGAGAGGGTTTCCAATAGAGAGGGTCCGGTTCGGGGTTTCATATTTTATTTATCCCTTGGAAAAGCTCGCAAATTATTGTTTTTCGGTGAAAAGTCTCGACATTTCGGCTCTATCTATCTATCCTTCTTTCTATCCTCTGATACCACCTCCCAAATGAATGACAAGATCGATGGCAAAATGGGCGAAGGTGAGCGGCAGCCAGCGTTCCCTACCCGGGCGAAACGGTTCTTTTTGTGTTGCGGACACACACATACAAATAGACATACAGACACACACCGAGGCGTTCACCTCTTTCTCCCCAGCATCACCAATCGGTTGTCACTTGCCCCCAGGCCGATCTACCCCCGGGGGCAATCGAAAAGTGATAAGTGAATTTGTGGAGGAGAAAAGAAAGGCATTGAGAATGAGGCTTTCTAATAAATGATGACCCTGTCAATCCAGAGTGTCGCGCCGCGAGCGGCAGGAAAAGCCGTTGGCGAAAGGGGAGCACGAGGAGCACGAAGAGGAGGAGGAGGTGATGAAAAGTGAGTTGTCTTGAACGGGTCAATATGAAAGGCTTGAGAATACGAAAGGCCTAAGAATGTACGACAATCAATAAATAAAAATAATAATAAAGTTGTAAGCCACAAAACAGGCAACCTATGTATTTTCAAGAGACCGGCAGAATAAAGTCCAGAGCCCAATTTTTTTACACAAACTTCTGCTACATAGCATAGTATAAATATCGGCGTCAAACACTTTTTCAACCTCTTAAAACCTATACAACTTACAGTCTCCTCCCCAAATCTGGAACGGAATCTCGAACGAATTCCAATCGTACATCGGCCCCGCGATAACCTCTCTGCGATGCCGATGCACTTTCGTCCGCGAGAACGTCTCCACCGTCGAGAAATGTGGATACTAAAACGCACTTTAAATTCAATAAAAAATTACAGCTTTGTTTTTGCGGATCGAATACTCTCCCTTGCCAAATAATTCCACCCCCAGCTCGCCGAGACGTGAGCATGCAAAAACCGCCACTGAAGTGGTAGCCTTCCGGTTTTCACTTGGTTTCGATTGGCAAATGTTGCGCGTGTGCAAATTTTTGAGAATTTTTTAGGCTGGTTTGGTTAGAAATTAGTGATGGAAATGGGTCAAAATCGGCTGTTTTTTTTGGAATCAGCCTAGTTTAACTACAATTCCAATCAAGTTTAATTGGAATTGTAGTTGAACTGGGCTTAAGTACTGTATGTTCGCTATTTAAACCTGTTTAGAAGCCTCTTTCTAACAAATAGACCTTTAGGTTGATCGGAAAAAGTAGAATTCTGGGCTTATATTCGAGAAACGGCGGTTTATTCTCTTTCAAGGTTTTCAGCCTAATGGAATTTTTGTAGATTTCGGCGTTCAAGTTTCGGTATAACATCCAAAACCCAGAATTCCAACAAACATTCTACCTTATCCGATGCCATCGATTCCAATCCCGGTATCGCCGGAATCTCCGAACTATAATTCAAAACCGCCGCATGGCCGGTACCAAAGAAACAGATAAGTATCACCAGCCGTCGGGCCATTCTGATCACTTATTCCTAGCCGAATAACCTGAGACCGACGAGATTCTCGTCAGAATGTCTCGACGGTGTCAAGAGGGGAATCGTCGTACCGGCGGAATAGGTGAAAAGAGAATCGAGGAGAAGGGTGGCAATGCCACAATGCACCGCACGTCCGCCACAAGACTCCGCCTCCACAGCTCTACAGCTCTCCCTCCAACCCCCCGAAAACACTCCCTGGAGAACGCCCACGGGATGGTTGAAGCAATAGCAACCAGCACAAACGCCCCACAAACAATGCCATTGACCTCTCTACCGATGTGCCCCCTGTGTCAGGTCGGGATGAAGGTCGCACGGCTTCACCACCTCTCCTCTCGAGAAATATACAGACAAGTAGCCCCCGCTGCTGCTCCTCTCTTTTACCTCGTCCTCTTTCTCCCCCTCCTCAACCACCATCATCTCAACGTCCCAAGACAACCATGAACCATGGTACGAGCTCGGTAAGCACGAAATGCAAATCCAAACAATAATATGAACCTGATGACGTGTGGTTTGAGAGACCCGACCACGGGTCTACGGTAGGCTTAAAGGGAGCATGTCAGGAGCACGTTTTTTGCCGGAGATTGAAGACATGTTGTTTATTTCTGATTAAGTCTAGTATCATAAGGTCTTACAAGCAGCTCGAGTACCCCAAAATATCTCAAAATTTCTAACTAAGCTCTTTCTCACTCTATCGCGCCTTCTCTCTCACCCTCGCTCTTGCTCTTGCTCTCTCTATCTCGCTCTCTTTTCTCTCTCTTTCTCTTTTCCACTGGCACGCTAGCTTTTACTTCCTAACTTCTCCTACTTTTACAAAGGCATTATTTATCATACTATATACAGGGTGTCCCAATAAAAAAGGTCATGCTGGCATTTTGCTATTTCAAATCGGATCGTCTTGAAATTTTGCACAGTGCGGAAGGGAATTTAAAATGTTCAAAGAAGCTTTTGGCCCGATCGGTACAGTAGTTTTCGAGTTATGGCAAAAATATTGTATTTCCAACACCTTCGCTTCACTAATTCGGCTATCTTTTTGGACTTTGCTTCAATTAACATCAATTCCGGCTCGAAATCCCTCATTCTTCAAACATCGGGGTTGCGAATACCTTGTTAAAGTTACTTAAATAGCCTCTTTCCAAGCCGAATTTTGCCAAATCAAAAATTTTCTAGGAAAAACAAGGGTCGGCGCTTCATTTTCTTCACACATTCCAAAGCTCCATTTCGGCGGAATCGAGGTTAAAAACGTAAAATAGAGTTGATTTTTGGTATAACTCGAAAACTACAGTACCGATCGGGCTGGAAGTTTCTGTAAACATTTTAAATTCCCTTGCGCACCTCTGTACAAAATTTCATGTCGATCGGATTTGAAATAGCAAAATGTCAGTGTGATCTTTTTTATTGGGACATCCTGTATAAAAATAGTATATGTGTGCCTGTGTCACTTTGCATCCGCTTCCGTAACGCTGTTCCGGTAGTATCTCCATAGAGCAAGAGGTCAGGGAGAGGGTGTGATACGTCATTAGGTGCGCGATGGTCCGGGGTTGACTGCACAAATATCAGATTTTGAAAAAGTAGCGATTTTCGATATTAAATCTAAGTTTTTTTAACTTGTAAGTTTTTGTTTTTGTGTTTGTAAGCAGAAGGGCTTGTTTTTTTTGGTCATCTGGATTCAGTACAATTAGACAGGGAAGAATCGCGAACCCGTGAAGAGGCGATTCAACCCTGGTAGTTCTTGTTTTTTTCATATTCCGTTATTTTCCTCTAGACCATTTTGGAATTGCACGTTTTCTTTTTTTCCCGACATCTTTTCTATTTCGCGAACTGGGGCAAAGCCAAAAGTCATTCCTTACAAAAACTTTATCAAACGCATCCGTATGAAAATAAAGGTTGGCACGAACAGAATAAGAACTAACAACGGATAACAGCTAGAGCACGACTAAATGAACTATAGATCACGGGAGACCAAGTGGTGAAAGGCAACTTTGCATGACATGTTTAGGGGGTGGAGCATACGGTAATAATAATTTAGTGTCCTCCTCCATGCTCCATCTTTTGCAAATGCTCCACCATGAAATTCGAGGCGTCGACCATTCTGTTGACGCAATTCTGGAAAAGAGGGTAGCGATCTGTCATTCCTAGTTCCGATCTGATAGATAATCGAAATTAGAGCAGACTTTTCCGACCCTAAACTAGTTTCAGAAACTGCCTTTTTGGGCGAAATGTGCAACTTTAAACGTTAGTAAAAAACGTACGGGAGGCAAACGGAAAAAGCTATATATCTTATTCTGATTTCTCTTCCGTTTTTTTACAGAGCCAATTAACTCACCTGGACACAAGTTTGGGTCTTCCCATCAAACTTGCTTGGCGGGCGATAATCCGAAAAACAAACGTCCCAACATCTTCCGGTCAGAGTATGGACCTGTAATTATTTATTGCAGGCTTTCCTGAAGATTTTATAATTTTTCGCAAAGCAGGCAATGTTTGATTAAAGCACCAGAATTAAAATAGATACGGCTTGACTTAGCAAATTTCCAACCTGCTCAGTAAACTTCTGCCTCTGGGTTTCGGCCTGCAGCTGCTGTAGAAAGCGATTCATCTGAGCATCCGCCATCTGTAATTTGTTTATTTCTTTTCTATCACCATCTGACTAAATACAAATTGTAGGAACAAATAAAATGTGCAAAAATCAACAGAGCTGAGTAGTGTATGGCGGAAGATGTTGGGGTTATTCAATGAAAATGAAAGATGGAGGTAGTAGGGCAGCAGAGATGCGATTAGAAAAAAATTGATTTAGGCGTAGATCCAGTCGATGCCGCCGAAGTGCTTGGCAACGTAGGCCCCTGTAAATTTCTTTCTTTTTCTTTTTGGTTTTGATGCTTACCGGCTTCCAAAGTGACGGCGATCAGTCCAAACCAAACGAAGTCGGCCCTGGTCTTCTGCGCAGCTGCGGCTCCCAATTCGGCGGGGCTTGGAGCGGCACCGTCGAAAAACATTACTGCAATTAATCAGCTCAAACGTGCAATTGGCTATCAGCCGCAGAATAATGCCAAAGTTGTTTTGTTGAGAAAGGATGAGTCGAAAAAGCCGCGAATTTAAATTTTCACGGCGGCTCCGAACGTAGCAAAACTGCCCCCGCGAACCCAAACATGTAAAGTAATACATGAAATTCTTGTTTGCTCAAAGGTTAGAATATCAAAATCTGATAAGGGTGTGGGAATTTACGCTTAATTATTCGTTCGATTAAATCTAGATACATCTCCTACGGAAAATTAGAATTCCTGCCCCGGCTGAATCTAACAAGAACCCGGTTTTAGGCAAAATATTCGCAATTCAGGTTTTATTTTTATTTATCGCAGGACGTTATGCAATCCTGGCTATACCACAAAAGGTTTCAAGGTAGTACCTATGAAAAACGATCATTAGCCGCTACCAGGCCCGTACCTGACCCGAGATTTCAGGGGGGGGGGGGCAGGACCGAAAAATTTTTTTGACGACCTCCCCCCCCCTCGTACGGGCCTGGCCGCTACGCTTAAAAGCCGCATTGATATAATATTGCTCCTTAAGAGAAATCGATCTTGATCTACATACAAAGCTAAATGATTTTTCGTAAACGATGGCGGTGCGCATAAACAGAATGGAGAAAACGGTCTGGCCACTACGCAGTGCTTCTACTGCCGGCTGGCTCTGTCTCCTTTCTGCAGGGTTCCTCTTTGCCGCGCCCCTCAATTTTCGGCAACAAAAAAAAGACCATTCGAAGCGTCTGGCCGTGATCAAACGCGTTTTAGAAACGATACTCTTTGTTTTTCTAGTGTGATCATAACGACTTCTGTTCTTCTAGGCAAATGGCACCATTCTGACTTCTCAATTCTAGTTCAACGCATTAGCTTACCGTTCATCTGATTTCATTTACAGTACCTCTTTTCACGATTCTTCCAATTTCTTCTCTAATTCACGCAATAATCCATATTTTACAGGCAAGGTAATGAGCTTTCGCCAAGCCCGTGTCGCGCATCGAACCACCGATGAACAGCGGGACATCCTCGAGAAATTGCAATTCAAACGGGCTCAACTAGCCAGCTTCTCGAATCAATTGAACTCTGGGAAAAAGCCTTCGCCGGCAAAACCAAAAGCAAAGGGTGCGTTCTTGGTTCAAAAGGTGTAATGTATGTTATTTAGTTGAGAAACCGAAACGCCAAAAGAAGAATGAATCTGACGACGAGTTCGTGGAATCTGATGACGACTTCATTGCCACTAGTGAGGGCGAGGAGGAAGATGAAGGGGATTACGAGGAAGATGCGCCACGCAAAAGAAAGCGGCCCGCAAAGGTTTTATTTATGTATTTGACAAACGTTTTTTTGCAGAAGAGCACAACACCGAAAAAGGCGCCCATTCGTGTCCGTCCCAAGACGACTACACTCTCGGAATCCAGTGATAACGATGATGATGGGAAGTCGGAAAACGAAAGAGGTAATTTAGTTACCCGGGATCCAGATACGCGCTGGGCATGTTTCAGAACCGCGTTTTACAATTTTTGCGCAAAAACTGAATAATTTCCGCACTCCACTTGTAGTTTTTATTATTTTTCTTTTTCAAGGATCAAAGAATGCGCTTATGAATTTACTTCTATAAGCTGTCTTCAGATGGTTGGAAGGGAAAGCCGCGGCTTCGTAACGGCAACGACAAGAATGTGGTCGAGTCGGAGGACGACAAAGATGAGGCACCTATGCCATTCTATCGACGCACCAAGCGTGTCGTCATCGTCGAAAGTGATGAAGAGGAGGATGCTGATCGTGATGAGATCACGGTATAAAGTCTGTTAGCGGCTAATAACTTTTTGCAGAATGCCCGCTCGTTGCGTAATGTGATGAAGCAAACGGCGAAGTCGAAGAAGAATGGAAAGGTTGGCGTAGCCGGGGAAGTAATGCTTTTTTTAGTTGTCGGATTCAGACTATGAGGATGAACTGGTCCAGGAGGAGGAAGCCGATGACGCTGATGACTATAGCAGCGATGCGAGTGATGATAGTCGGGTGAGTTGGCAGCCTCTTTTGCCAATTTTCTGATATAATTCCGGTCCGAAATGGATTTATTTTTTAGAAGGGCAAACCGAAGAAGGAAACGAAGATGCAGAGAGATTGCGTCCGATTCTTCAACGATGCGTTACGAGACGAACTGCTTGGTGCAGCAAGAATGAACGACAAGTTAGCTGATGTCGTACTTTCTTCACGCCCGTTCGATACTTATTCTGAATTGGTGAGTATTTTTACGCTAGTGCTGGCGCTGAAAATTCTGGTGCTACTCTTGATTTGATTTTTTCAGATGGAGGCACTCTCTGGGCATCGTGGTGGGAAGCAGGTTTTGGAGAGCTACGAAGAGTACCTCGAGAATCGTGGCATGTTGAACAGAATCCTTGATGATTGCAAGGGCGATTCTGAAAAGGTAACGTATTCTTTTCACCCAATAAGTTTTGTTTAGGTTGCTGCCGACTATAGAGAATACATCAACCGCGAGATAGTACCGACAATCCTGAACCAAGACATGACTTTACATACGTATCAGAAGGAAGGCTTGAACTGGCTGGTGATGATGCACGAAAAGGGATTGAACTGTATCCTGGGTGACGAAATGGTCGGTACTGATTTGTGCCGGCTACTTTTAAATTTAGGGACTCGGCAAGACCATTCAAATCATCGCATTCGTCGCCTGGCTGAAAGAGCAGAAAGTACAAGGCCCACATCTCATCATTGTTCCTTCATCTACAATTGAAAACTGGATGAATGAGTTGCGGAAATGGTGCCCCGATCTACAGGTACTTTTTCGGATTCCTCGGCCTGGGCTATTATTGCACTATCGTCTATATTTTATAATTTTAGTTACAATTGTTAATTTTAGATCATCACTTACTATGGATCGATGGACGACCGCCGTCACATTCGTCATATGGTTAAGAAGAAGGGAACGGTAGTAGATGTCATCTTGACGACCTATAATATGGTTGGATCAAAGTCGGACGACAAAAAGTTCTTCAAGAACTTCAAGGTACAATGAAACCGGTTATTGAAGACGGTTTCAGATCAATTACGTCATTTACGACGAAGGACACATGCTGAAGAATTGCGCTTCGGAACGTTACCGCTCCCTGATGAAAATCAGGGTAATTTTTGTTTACGCATCCCTATTTTCTGTTTAGGGCAGTCGCAAGATTCTTCTAACTGGTACACCTCTCCAAAACAACCTCATCGAGCTCATCTCTTTGATGTATTTTGTCATGCGCAAGGTCTTTGACAAATATTGCGATAATATCACACAACTACTGGCCCACTTCAAACAGGTTTTTTTCGTCGGAGTTTCGATTACCTTCAATTTAGCAAGCGGGACGCGCAATCGACTCAAAGGAGCAATCGTTGTATCAAAGGGACCGGATTGAACAAGCTAAACTCATCCTTTCGCCCTACATTCTACGACGAATGAAATCCAAGGTTACAATTGCTTCATGCCTTATGGTACATTTTAGGTGCTCTGCGAATTGCCGCCGAAAACTGATGAAACCACGTTAGTCCAGATGGAAACAGAACAAGCGGAATTATACGATTATCAGTTAGAGGTTGGTCTTTGCCCGTTTTCGACCGTCACTTCTTGATATGCTCGCAAATTTTTAGTTTATCGATTCTTGGAAACTAAAATGAGTATTTAGTTGTTCCGCGATGGAGGCGAAAATAATCCCGGTGGCATCATCCGTCTGCGACAAGCCGCTAATCATCCGCTTTTGACACGTAAATGGTTTGATGACGACCAGTGTGCGAAGATAGCTAAACGTTTGATCAAGGTGGGATGAACTTTAGAATAAAACCCAGACGTTTAGGAACGCGAATACGAGCAAAAGGACCCGAAACATATTGCCGAGGACTTGCTATGCTTGTCGGATTTCCAGATACATCAGCTCTGTGCCAAGGTATTTTTTTTTACTTTGTTCAGCCGAGTTGTAGTTTACAAGCACTGAACGATTTTGCCTGTCCGACAGCTTATCCCTGGAGAGCGGCAAATGCGAGTACCTTGACAAGAAATTGCCGGAACTGAAAGCGAAGGTTGGATTTGTTGGCGTAAGCATTATCTGGCTTTAGGGCGAGAAGGTGCTCATCTTTTCTCAGTTCACCCAGATGCTTGACATATTGGAGGTGTATATGCACGTGCGCAAGCACAGCTTCTTTCGTTTGGACGGCAGTACACCTGTGTTAGAACGGTGCGTGTTGCGAGTATTATTACAACTTTATACGCCCCCTTTTTAGTCAGGACATGATCACTTTATACAACAATGACCCGGAGACCTTCGTTTTTCTGCTTTCGACGAGGGCTGGCGGCTTGGGCATCAATTTGACTTCGGCTAACAATATCATAATCCACGATATCGACTTCAATCCGTACAATGATAAGCAAGCCGAGGATCGCTGCCATCGAATGGGGCAGAAAAAGCCAGTCCACGTCATCCGGCTCATATCGAAAGGTAAAACCCCTTTACTTGATAACACCTCGGTTTAGGAACCATCGAAGAGGGAATCAGCCGTCTAGCAAAACGCAAATTACAACTGGAAAAAGAAGTGACGACTGGCGCTCGCGGAGACGGTACTTTTTACAATTTTCCAGCGCTGCTCTAGCTTGACAATCCGCCTTGCAAGCGCGAGTATTGGAATTAGTATTGCGTGCTAAAATATCGTCTGATTTGTACGTTTTCAGATGATCCGATCAATCAAACACAAGGAACGGAGGGCCAGTCCGAGGACGAACTTGCCAACGATGAAGTGGCCGAATTGCTCCGTGACGTCAGAAAGGCCAAGCCCACATCACCAAAGAAGCGCCGTGATAGTCAGTGAAATGTGATGCCATCGTTTGTCCCTTTTCTACACTACTTTGATTATTTTTTCACCCATTATCACATACGATCTCATTTTTAAGAATGCGTGTTATTTTGCACCCGCTACCCATACGTTGTCATTGTGCATGCGGGTACTTATTCTAGATTGATGTTGGCAGCTATGCATGCCCGAAAAGGATTGTTGAAATAAAGCTAACTCTAACCATACAATTGGCTCGCTGTTTTACGGCCTTATGAGCTTGAATACGCCGGGGTCTCCCGGAAGCCACAATTACAGGAGGAGTTCCGTTTCCTTGTGCCACAGAGGGCTCCTCTAGCGGGGTAAATAGAGAACTAGCGTGTACCTCTCCACCGAGAGCTGACCCTCTGTCGGGGTTTCAAGCGAAAATCACTTGGTGATCATTTTTTGGAAACGCAACCGCTGAGAGCACTTTCCCTTTCACGGCCAGTCAGGCAAAAATTCGAGAGTCTCTCACCACTACCAGAGCCCGTTGCACACGACGTTATTCGACAATTTTCGAAGTAATTTTATGGCATCCGATGACGCAGTTTCCGATGATTCGCTGCTTTCCAATACTTGCATACCCTGGTCCATTCTCGAAACAGATTTTAAGGTGGTTCATCACAAAATGGTGTCACTAATGAGTTTTAATAGGCATATTTTAACACCACTGCGTGCTTTGGCGTCAAGAAAAATGCATCCAAATTTGCCTGCAACCAGGTACGAAGGCTCACAGTGATAATTTTCCCGCATTTTAGGGCTACATATCGCAAATTATTCTTGCTGAATTTGATTGGACTGAAGAAGACGAACACTTACCAAAGTGTGCCATAATTAAGGTGACGGAAACCGAAAAGGTATCCCCTGTAGCAGACTGCTCATCAAAATTATAGTTACGTACGATGTGTGAGAAGGTTTTTAAAACGTCTTATGAAGAAATGGCTAAATCTATCCGAAAAGTTTGTTTCTAGACATAAAATCTGGCTAGCCGTTTTTCCATGTAGGTTCACGATAATGAACTGGATGTATATGCACTGATGCGCGATGAATGGAAGTGTGATGATAAATTAAAAATGCCCAAATACTATACAGGAAGAAAATATGGTTTCAACGGGATACATGCTGGTGAGAATTGATGCCTCAAGACTAGATAAGCTTTAAAAAGGATAAACTTAATCCTAGGCTACTTGGCGTTAGAATACATCCACGGAGGTGTCATGCGCCACGTATACCACAATATCCCGGTCAGTCATTTAATGCGCACAACAAAGCCCCCGAAGATTTAGATTGCAACCTGCGAAGAAATTCTAAAGCTCCTAGCGAAATTGGGCGCCTACGGTAAGGCAGACAGACCTTTGTCATTACACCAAATACGCAGGGCTCCGCGATCCAAAAATGGTGGAGAGGTTCGATTTCAGCTTCATGCATGAAATGTTCAAATTGATGAATACCCCGGAGGTACAGTACCGTATCCTGAATGCTGATAGAAATGCTTAGGCAACGAAAGAGGGATTGGAAATGCTAACCGAACGGTTCCCAGACCTTCAATCGGACCTCGAGTTTGTGGCTATGCACATCGACAAATTATTAGATTCCGCCTATAAGCAATCAATCATCCACGAAAGCTGTAAGTGAGTGTTAAATAGCTGATCTGTTATCCACTTCTAGGCCCTACAAAAATGCTAACACATGGGGATGTCTGGACAGGAAATATGATTCTAGCACAAGAAGAAACTGGCACCCTTCATTTGAAGAATTGGATTGATTGGCAGGCAAAACTGCTTCAAATGAGCCAAGACTTTTTCGCTCTTTAGATAACGCACGCTGGATCACCGGTCGAAGATATGATCCGATTTCTAAACAGCGCTTTACCAGGAGAAGAAAAGATCAAAGTGTGGGTATTACAGGGCAATACAGATTATCATTTTCGAAACTGCTTATAAAGTCCCAAATTTCAGACGCGAAAAGCTTTTTGAGGTTTATTATAAAGCTCTGCAGCGAGAATGCGCAGGTGAAAGCGAAATCCCCTTTACACGCGATATGGTGGGAATTTCCAAGCCATACTTTTGAAAACCATTTGTAGTTCACGGAAGCTTATGAGAAACTGATGCCAATATCCACATTTCCCTCAATTAAGCCCAGAATTCAGATGATGGAAATGATACTTGCACCATTGCTAGGTTTAAATTTATATACTCTCTTACGCTTGTTTCCAGATGCCGAAAAAGAGGACGCTAAAAATGTTCTAATGGGCCGTCTACGGTGGCACGTCATTGAATCAATTGAATTGATGCGAAAATGGTATTAAACTGCAGTTACCCCGGCCACCCATACATTAAAAACCCCGAAATTACAGCAAAACACATTGGAAGTGAAAAGCACATAGAATAGCGTAAAAAGCTATTGCTTTGAACCGTATTGACTGCGTTTTCCTCTTTATACAAAATCAAAAATGATGCGCCAAACAATCTCAGTGGTCAATAATAAGTAAGGGAACAAGAACTGTGAAACCTTAACACTTCTGAAAGAAGATTTCAAAAAAAAAAACAACAAATAGAATTCAGGCGCTAGATCAAGAATGAATGCAACGTTGAGACCGGTAGATTTACACGAAGACTCGAGACCAGTAAAGTATTGAATGACCAGTAGTCTTCAACAGGAGCAGGGGCAATGGACTGTAACGGAATAAGCTAATCATTGACCCCATGAATTCATATATTTGTTTCTGGCCTTCCTTTCAGCCTCATCGCCCTTCAACCCGAGGAATTCGCGATCCAAGAGCGCAGCTATCGAGTTTCCGCCTGACGATTTCAGCCATATGTTTCTTTTGTACATCATCTAAAGTAGAACTTTGTAAAAAAGGGCTAGGGATAGGGTTAGCTAATGGACAGCTGCCGGTCAAATGCCAAAACCCACTTCGTTACTTTCAGCTAGCACCGGCTCATTGGTGCAGACTCCTTTAGACGTATTGTAGCGAAACATGTAGCGAGCTCTAAAAAAATGAATCGCCTAAATTAGTCTCGATAAAACGTACGCTTTGAAGTGGAAACAGTCAGACAGTGGCTTACACCTCGGCAGGATGAAGAACTTCCGATGCTTCTTCACCTCCAACTAAACATGGTAATTAACGAATATAGAAAAAAGCACCGACTTGATCTTTCCAGTAGCAATAATCTCTCGTGTAGATAGAAATGGCCTCCCAAAATGTCCTGGTAGTCTCGTGGGTTGTAGAGCGGGTGAAGAGAAGGAAATGACGCGTCTGGGCTAGGTGTTGCCCATTCGTACGCTAAACGCAGTCATCATGAAAAACCGCTCATAACACTCACCACACTAAACTTCTCCACAAACCGCTCCGCCGTCGATAGCAGCACACGCGATTTTCTCCTAAACACCGTTTTTTGCGCAAGAACGAAACCTTACAGGTCGAAGAGAGCCATAGGATCCTGTCCCAGGTGAAAGCAGCCAAGCTCTAAAATCCGATAATTATGAAAAACACCGGCCAACTAACCCATCGTTTCCAGCAACTTTCTAAGCGAGTAGAGAGGAGTGTCCTCGTCCGCTATGATGAACATCTTGAAACCAGCCGAGTTTAGGTAGACGGGGTCCTAGCCAAAGTAATTAATAATTTAGCCAAATGTCAGTTACATTTTTTAGTAAATTGACCATCGAAGCCAATGCCAAGACAACAGCGCTGTATTCGTAGGTCGGCGTTTCAAAGATCGGACCTTCCAGAATTTTTGGAACCTCGTCGTATTGCGAGATGTCATAAATCACCTGTAAAGCTCAATTTTTAAAAATAGATACCGGCTTACCCGCATTGTTTCGCTCATGATAAAACCGATATCTTCGAGGGCTCTTTTGACTTCCGGCAACATTTGTTTCGTTGCTTCCAGACAGTTTTTCCTGAAGGGCGGCTATCAACACGACAAGCCCAATTTACCCTTGATAGTCAATCTTCTGAAATACGTCCTTGAGGTCCTCAAACACGGGCGCTGGCTTATCGTCCCAGACGACACCATACTTCCTGAGATTCTCACGGCGTTCTGAAGCATGAGATAAAATCTAGCGTTAAAAACCACCATCGATCAGTCGCATCATCAGAACCTTCCTACAATCGCAATGGCCGGGAAGACGGTCATCTAAACAAATTATCAGATAGGTTGTGATGAAAGTACCATGCGGGCAAGGTGGCAAAATCGGCAGCTTGGTCTCTGGATCGAGAAAATTGTCTGGGTCGATCAATCTTTTGTAGTAGTCAGCGTGCGGGCCGTTCCCATTAGCCATGATATGAAGAGCCTCAGCAAGACTATTCGGCACCGGCGCCTTTGGGTCCAGATGCTCTCGAATTGTCGATTTGTGCATCGGATCCTGGAGTAAGTCGTAGTCGAGCCATTCAGGGCCAATGATCACGTCCTTCTTGGAGAAATGGTTGCCCATGCTTGAATCCAGCTGTGGAGGGTCGGCCCTGAAAACGATGATTTAATGAACATCTTTTGGAGCCTCAGAATATTCAGGTCGCTAACTTAATAAGTCGATGTGCCTTATTAAGTGGAAGTAGAGGCAAACCCCTGGCACCGGGCCGGAGCAAGCGGTTGAGGGGAAATGCCGGCTAGTGTGGAAGACGGTATATTGGACGAGGAAAGGTGAACCCCGGCCAATAAAGGGCAGCAACGCTAGGTAGCGGGAATGAAGAAAACAAGATACAGAAAAGAGCATCGATCTGCAACTTTCAAGGAAGCAATGGTTCCAGGTTCCTACGGGCATAAAAATCGTGCCAAGGTTGAGCGAAGCTAAAACGGAAACCCAGAGAAGACTTGTAGAGCCAATGAAACCCAACGAACGCGGGGTATGAGGATTCTGAGCTTCGGCTGGCTCGGCGGAGGGGCAATCAAGAGAAGCACAAATCGAATGCAAATTGGTTCGGAGGAGTATACAGCCATTTTGGGCCCCGCCCCAAAGCGAACAGTTTTTGAGGAACCCGGTGAGGGCGCGCGAAATGGGCTTGCACCCTAGGACTCACAGCGCCTCACGCCAAGACATGTGGTTCCATCGATGACTGACTGGGCTCCTAATCTGGCTATTTTTCCATATGGCCCCTAGCTCAAAATGCGCTGCTAAAACTGACTATCCTATAGAGGACTGCATACGCCCGGAGTCTAATGAAAACATGGTTCCTGTAAGTGTCTGCAAGGAATGGGCATGAGATGTTTGCGACGGTTGCAAGCTGTTTATAACGATGCACCCAATAGGGTCATCCGCAGCTGCCAGTCGCGCATGAGTCACGCATGCAAAAGAATTTGGAAGAAAGCGGGAAAGGGCACCCAACCCAGCAAGGTAAAAACAAGATCGGGGGAGGGTTCAAAAAAGCACGCTAATAACCAGCAAAAAAAACTTACCGATTCCTCTTAAACCATTCATGCCCGTACATTTGTTGCAGCCTCTTTAGAGCTTCCTCCTCAGATTCTTCCGACGTGGCGAGCTCCGACAAGTACATCGCTTCGTCCCACATTTCCTCTGTGATATACTTAGCTAAAATGATAAATTAGTTGATAATGCTTATCCTAATCGATACTTGGCTGTAGCGATATCAGAAATGACGAACAAGTTATAAGAGCAAGAAAATGTTGCGCGAGCGCGAGCTGCTTGGATGAATTTCCAGACAAAATAAACGTACCGTCCATTTTTCGAAGCAGCTCCTTGATGTCGGTATGGTGAACAAATTTCATTGGATCAGCGTCTTCGTCGTCTAACTCATTCTTGCCTTTCTTTTTTGGCCTCTGTGGCGGGGCCATTCCTGGCTCCCACGGCATTCTCGGGCTAAAAAGGTACATACGAAATGTCAATTCCTGGAGAGTAATTAGAAGAAAAACAGATCACATTGATTAGGTTGAACTAGGAGGCCGGCCAAGACGGACGGGGCACCCAAGGCCAGTTGAACTAGGAGGCCAGGTAACTGGGATCCCTCTCGATGTCTTGCCTAGACATCTGTTTATATGGAGACTAAGCCTCCGCGGACACTAATGATAAACCTATTTAAGCACTAATGTCGTCGTTTAGATCCCTTGACCTAGATTTAAGCTATTTATTGCATGATGCTAAAACGTTTTATTTATTTATTTTAGAGCGTGATTCGGATAATAAAAATTGCATAGCGCAAGGACATAACTAATGGGCCGTAAAACTACGTTTTTAATATGCTTACGAAAAACTGTAAGCCGTAAAAAACTGGTTTTGGCCCTATGTTGTTCTCATGCTTATAAAATTAGACGGCTCTATTTTAAAAAACTTGACGTCAAACCTCACGAGGGCCGAGATAATAGCGTTCAAATGTCTATCGTTTTGAGACACACTGTGGAAGCAATCCGACTAATCCTTAAATTTCCGTAACAACTTTTAAGTCTTGGTTTGACAATTTTTAATTCCGTCATCTTTAAAATTAAACGTTCTGTTGGAGCTATCAAGCCTAGTTTTAGTTTTAATAGTAAAAGAAATCACAAAACAACTTATTAACTATTTTTACGATGGATCTATAGTAAGGCTACGACGCCATTAATGCTCGAACACACCGAAAATTCACTCTGGAATTCTTTCTCCAGATTAGCATATGTCTCGGGGTAAGAGAACAGAGACATTTTTGAATTACTCGGGTGAGCTTGATAAAAAATCCTGGCCTTGAGTACCCTATCCGGCCAAGACAGACACCGTTCCTTATCAAGCCATGGAAACAGATGTACAATCCCCTTCGGGGGTGGCGTTCGCATATGAAGTCAATATCTCTATGGAGAAAGAGAGAAAAAAAATGATAATTTATATTATCAGGAGCTTTTTCTCATTGAGCTCTTAATTAATTGGAGGAACGGGGAGTTCTTTCGGAAACAGCAGCTTGTACCAGTTCAAACCAAAACTGGGTCATATCCAGAAGTCAAAAAAGAGTTCAAGCTTCAGGAAAGATTTTGGAAAAGAAAAAATTCCCTAGCTTCTTGAAACTTTAAACCCAAATAGACTGTAAATTCCATAGCGAATTCTAGCAAGCTGATTGTACCTAACTTGACGGAATGCCTATTATCGGTTTTGCAAAACTAGTGAATATAACTTTACCGCGGAGACGCAAACGCTACGTTTCTTTCAATATAATACATTATATTTTAAGTTAAGAATTTTATTTCTGGATAATTTTATATTTTTGGTTAGCTCGCGTAATGGTCAAACAGGCCGGGTAAATCGACTGGGGACGGTCTTAGGGCGCGCCATAGGAAGCAATTGGACATGTCGGCTGCAAAGAGCATTTCCTCACCGGGGGGGGCAGAAGCCTAAAATCCCGTATAAAATGGGGTTGCTGACTTCTTTTTAGCTAGTATTCTATTTTTAGCGTGCGACTTTCTTACAAAGCTGCACATTACATAGATGTTGACCTGATTTTTGAGCGGATACAACCTGGACTCGGCTTTAAAGGGGCTGGGAAGGCTTTTTCCGAAAGTGGATCGATTTACGAATTTAAAGGTTTCTTCCGAATTTTGATGAAATTTTGACATATGCGCTGCAAACACGGTAGGCTGGTTTACTTTCGGCAATTCTAAAGCAACGCTGTCTAAGTTACCGTATCCCGCTAGAATTCTGTAAGATTCCTAGTACACGGTTGGTGCTAAATCTGCCTCTTTCCTCCGCTGTGCTCTAACTTGGGTCATGTGCATACTTTTGCCTGTCGGCATGCCCGCACCCCGTAGGCTGGCTACAAAAACTGAGACAAGGAAAGGGCGTGCGGGCCGTTTTTGCGCCCCATCCGGCCCCGTCGCCTCCCCGCGGCCAAAAACACGCTATTTTTTAGGGGGTTTGCAGGGTACAAAGGGGGCCCTGGGAATGTCCATGTTAACGCCTGACAAAGGCTCTCAATTACAGCCAACTTTCCCATCACTGGCAAGTGTTCTTTACCTAATTTTGGTGCTTATCGTTTTTTTGACGGGGGCCGTTGTCAACTTTTATTGTGATCGCTGCGGGCCAAAAATTCTGATATAGACTATTTTTATAGGATGGCGCACCTTTTTTGTTGATAAAGCCATTGTAAAACACGTGAAACAATTTGTCTGGGTGGTAAATGTAAGAAAAACATCCAACGGTGCAAAAACGCATTAAAAAGATGTTCTAAAAATTTTTATGGTTTTTCGGTTGTTGGAAACGAAATGACCAAAACGCTATTATATTACATCTACGAAAAAGAAACGTTCCGATTAAAAAAGGTTTGATACCACCCCCGTTAACCCCCCCGATAAAAGAGAAGTACCCTATTTTTAAATACCTTTTTGACTATATAACGAATTTCAAATTTTCATTGATTTGCATTATCTGACGATCTGGCGCGTCAGCTCAAAAACCCGAGGATGAATTGGAAAACATGTGTCATCAGCTGTAAACATCAACACATTTGCCCCCCAAGAAGCGCGCGTGTTTACACTTGATGGGAATAGACGGCGGGTAGATTATTCAAAGATTTATTGATTCCGGTCTCATTTCAATGGCTGAGTTTTCAATTTAGTCATACTTGCGCAGCTAATTTTTCGGAAATTTCAAGCTTCTGACCAGAATAACATTTACTAACTGTATATTTCCCTCTGGCTTCTTGTTTTTTTTTTAATTCTCGCTATGCGTGCTCTTGTATTATCACAGTGACTTTCGGAAAATTTGTATTTTTGATTCGAGCATTAATTGCCTGAAACTTTTTTACAGCGCTGGTACGCTCTATTCGGGTATCCTCGTGCCTTGGCCACGAAGCCGTGTGCTCAGAACAGTCAAGAATGAGCTCCTCTAACAATCTAGTAAGCGAATTTTTTTAGAAAACTTGTGTTGTATAAGAATGCTGGCTATGTTTGAGATCCATAAAAGATAAAAGTTATTTTTGGAACCGTTTTAGGTCGTCCAGCCAATCGACGGCCAACTTGTTTGAATCCGGATGTATTTCAATAATCCGTATTTCAGGACACATCTCAGGATACTTGCAACAACAATCCAGCACCGGGCTTTCATCGGCGTCCACGCTTCTCCATTCCGACGCATTACCAGTTTTCCGTCAGTGATCTTAAAAGCTTGGCGTCTAAATTATCAATATTGCTAATTATCCCATACTCTAATTTCAGTCTCCACACCTTCTTGGCGATCCTCCTACGACATGTGCCTGCTCCACGGTACTTTGGACAAGGATATTTATGCAAATTTCAGCTCCGTATCGAGTTTCGGCCGGGGCAGAAGGGACTTTGCTATCTGAGAAGCTACGCTCCTGAGCCGGATACGAAGGTTAGTCATGGGAAAACGATAAATCATAGAGATTTCAGGTTTACGATTCGGATCCAGGCGAATTGGGTTACTACATTGGGCCCGGCGACTTCCGGACGCCGATTCAGAGCGTAAGTTTTGCACAAAACATGCCCTGGAAAGATGCTACAATAGTGTTCAAAAATACTGATTCTGGACTAATTACGGGGGGGGGGGAGAATCGAGCCATCTACTCCGTAACGATCTATCAAAGTACTAACGTTTTGTAGTGTACTTCTTATTGTTTTAGTAGTTTTTGAATGCTACACTTTTTAGAAAATGTGAAAACCGAATTATTGGCTAGTTTTATAGACTTTTTGAGCAAAAATCAAAAGTCTCAAAAATGTTAGGGATTTTAGTAGAATTTATCCATTATTGGGACCATATCAAGCGACAGAGCAGTGTTAGCCCCCTCCCCCTCCCCCGCTAACAGGCCAGAACCAAAATGAAATATTTCAGCGCTGGATGGCCTCTGTGATAGAGATGGGCGACATTATCACCGATCACGTCAGGCAACGTCAGGAACAGAATAACCCGCTAATGGTATTCCCCAAAAACAAACTTGAATTCTGGATTTTAGCTGTCCGAATTGGATGCGTTGCTTTTGCCTGCAAAGCCAGATGCTTTTGGCCAAGGGGATTGGCATTGCTTCATTGGTCAGGAGGTATCGCATATCATGATGGAAGGCCAAGATGACGGCGATGTAAGTTACAAATATCAACCATAAATATTCGATATTATTACAGTTCTGTCTAACCATGAGACCACCTGTAACACCGCGAGAAGAAAAGCCCCGTCGCTGGCACCGAGACTTTTAATAGCATTTGAGAGCGTTTTTTTGCAGATTTTCTATTTTTTACGATTTAAGCTGTGACACTCATATCATAATCACGGATCAAGCTTTCGACGATCTTTTCCTCCCATACGTGTCCGCTCATCCTGTCAGTACCATTTACGCAAATATTCCACCGACTCCTTGATCTGTGTCCACATTTTGCCTTTCATATTCTTGTCTGCCGCACCCCGTTCACTTTCTAAAATAAATTTGAATAAATATGGAATAGAAGGGCATGCCTGGGACTGTTTGCAGAACCATTGCGCCTAGATTGGCAAAAGCTGGTAGGACGGAGAAGGTGAGGACAGGGAGAAGACGTTCGTAGCCTTCGTTCAGCTAAAGGACAAAACAGATATGCCTTGGGTCTAAATTTACCATTTCAAGTGTAAAGGGAATATCAACTTCTCCTTGACATTCATTTACCAAGGCATCGTAGTAGACTTTGAACAAACGTTCTCTTCTAAATTTTGGTTTTAGTTTTAATTATTTTTAGATATGATCGCATTCCTTTAAAAAAAAAACAAAGCCTACTCTCTAACTTTCTCCTCGCCATCAAGCGCAGCATTGAGGAACCTGTTGAGATCAGCTACAGGATTCCCAGCATAAGATATCTGAATAATCCATGTCATCTGGCTCTGCCAAGCTTCTCCTACCTGCCAGTCAATCAACTTCTTGATCCGATAAATTCCGTCCTTGTCTTGTTCCCACAAAATATTCGCCGACCACAGGTCACCGTGGACCAACATTTTTACCGGGCCTTTAATTATTAAATTATTATTATCCATTTACAGTGGAAAATTAAATTTCTGGAAACCCTTTGTCCTTTCGAACTTACAAGTTTCATTCAAAACCTTGTAATAGCTATCCATCCCAACGAATGCCTCCATCTTGGATTCGATAAATTCTTGGTCCGAGGCCAGCTCCGGGAACATTCCGACTAACACCGGCAATCCGGCTTTAGTTTTCTATAATTCCAGTGAGAAGAATAGAATCGAATAAACCTCTAGATCAAAAACATCTTTAAACATATCCATCACAAACTCGTTCTTCAATTTCTCGACAGTTTCTTGGTGTTTGAGTGCTGAAAACGAGCTTAATTTTTCGATTTTAATCGTTACAGTGAGATCCCATAGCTGCGATTATTCGAAGAACATCTTCGCACGAATCGGGCTAAGAACGTTTGAGGTTTTTTAGTTGGACATTCAATACAGTTACCTGAACGTTGTGATACATATGACGGGGAATAGCATTATCGACAAATTCCAGTGCCAGGTAGCCTATAATTATTTAGTTTTTGAGAACTTTGTATTGTAACCAGGGGCGTAGCCAAAAAAAAATTTCGGGGGGCCCTAAAAAAATTTTCCAAAAAACTCAAAAGATTAAGGAGAAAACAGCGCCGCAGGCAAAATTTTTTGAAAAAAAGGTTATATAGCTCTACAAATAGCCGTAAAAACGTGAAAAAATATCGCCGCAGGCAGCAAAATTTTTGAGAAAATAAAAATCATAAGGGTCCCCCCTTATGAAATTTTCGGGTCCCGGCCGATTTCGGATTTCGGTGGGGGGGGGCGGGCCCCGGAACCTGTATTACGCTACGTCCCTGATTGTAACCCTCACCAGCTTCAACTTCATCCCTCCCATATTCCCGTCCACAATACAGGGCAGGCATCTTCAATTGCTGATCGCATTTCCAGTCATCTCGCATCATTTTGTACATATTGTATTCATTGTTGTGGATCTATCAAAATAATTTTATCTTTTATTATTGCTTACCTTTATGACTTGTTGTCTCATCACATCATAATCCGTCTTGAAGACGTGCTCGCATATGTAGCGCAGCTGAATACACCTATATAGTACGTATTAAAACGGCATCTACATTTTCTGTCTCGGTGATCTTGACGATCGCCTTCTTCGGTAGATCGCCTCCACTTTGCCAATCAAATTCCGCCAAGAAAATTTGGGATACATAACCCTAAAGGATGTTTTAGAACAACGTGACATTTAAACCTGGTTCTCGCCGAATTTTGTAGCACTTCTGTGTTCACCGAATTTTGCGTCGGTTCCGAAATGTTCCTAGAAAACGGATGGCTTGGTAATAGCTTAGTGAGCGAGTAAGTCAGATAGGTATTAAGTAATAACCTGTAGATCTTTCTCAAGGACTGCCCACTTTATTGGGGTCCCACCGACAAGTTCCGGGTTGACGACAGGGCCGGTTGCTTCAGATTCAGTAGCCATTCCTAAAATCGAAGGTGTCTAAAGGATATACAGGGTGTCCCAAACCCCCCCCCCCCAACTCTAGCGTCGCGCAGACGTGTCCGATTCACGCCGTTTAGGTATCTATCGAAAGCTCTCGAAAAGGCGAGAAAACAAGAAGAGTTCATTTTCTTTATTATGTATTTTTATTGGCGAATCTTGCCTCCAAAATCCATGAAAACGGCAGATTTACGCGAGATCCGCATGCTAATTGCGAGATTCCTATTGAAAAGCTACCTGTTTTTTAGAAAAACGCTGAATATCGGACGAATCAGAATAAATCTTAAAAATGAAGCCCGCTTGTTTTCTCGCCTTTTCGCGGGCGTTCGCATGGTATAAAAATCATCCTGATCTGAGCTTCCCACGGACCGCTAGAGGGGGGGTTGGGACACCCTGTAGAGACGTATAGGTGATAAAAAAGGTATTTCATAAAGGATTTAAAATGTAATTCTTTTCGCAAGCCGAAAGGTAAGCCCCTCCGAAGAAAGCAAACAAAAAACAACAAACGAGCAATTGATTCTTTTTTTTTGGACGGGACCTCTTGAGCCGTGTATAAGGGGGGAATGAAAGAAAATATCGGCAATCTCTGATCCCTCCCCCCCTGCTCCCCACGTGTTGGTCATTACTTTTCCCCCAAAAGATAGACTTTAGTTTCTCTGATCCTATTTATAGCACTATAGAACATCGAAGATAAGAGGAAAAATGGTCATTCAAGCTCAAAATCAACCGGCCAAGTGATTAGCCAAAGAATAAAGTTTCGCAGCTTTCCGTTTGGTCGTAACCGGGAACTGGCTTTTGGGGATCTAGGGCCGATCCACAATTCACTCTTGGCATTGGCCCGTGCTCTCTGATAACCCGCCCATTGCTGAGCACGACTGTTGCTCTCGGAAACAAGAATCAAGTCGACCGGGGAGTTTTATTTTTACGTTGCAAAGTTGGAAAGTGATCAAAATAGAAAAGTTTTGGAGCGGCTCCCGGATAGACTGACTTTTAAACAGCGTTCACAAAATTATTATTGATTTTTATTGCAATGTACGGTATAAAATCTAGGTATTTCGAAACATAATAATAGACCAAAAAAATTATTTGATCGCTTTACCAAGAACTTTTGGAGTCGGCGGCGTAATGCGAGCGATGCGTCAGCTGGGTGACTAGAGGAGGCCGATAGGCAGACTGGCGCTCAGATATTTTTTAATATGATGGAACATAAATAGTTGCATGATAGGTGTGCAGCGGTGAGCTAGGAGACAATGTTACATCTGAAAAGTTTCTTGGTCCATTTAACCAAGTATTTCTTCTTCGCACCCAACAAGTACATATGCTGATCTTTCAAACGACTCGATAAGGGGACAGCGATTTGCGCTGGTCTCGTCCCAGTCTTGCCAATCTTTTTTTGGTTCGATTTGATGCGTGTCGGTGAGCGGGTGGAGGGATGGGCTGGGGTCTATTTGGATAGTGAGCAACTAGACGGGGGTCATGTGTCCTGGTGGTCGGCCCCGAAAAAAAACGAACAAAGATCATTCGGTGTTTGGAATCGTGATTAATGGCCATTATCGACCTTTTTGAAAAGGCTTTTTAGTTTCTGGAACATCGTGGATCCGACCTGCACAAGAAGATGTTTCATTAATACGTATATAGCTATCACCTACAACCGTAATTTGTATGCCATACCAGCTCTCTGTATGGCTCTTTAATCCGTGAAATTTCATCATCAAAGGTTACAACAAACCCCATTCGAACAAACTTGATCATGATGAAATGGCCCTCATTAGCTCCCCCTTTAAAGGTGCCCACTTTGGTAGCTCCAGTGAACCATTACCAAGGCAACAATCTCCGGTCGCCAGTCTCCAGTGGCTAGAAAGCTGTACTAGGAAGGCTTGGCTCCCGGGTTCGAACCCCAGCCGGAACTTGCCTCTTGCCAATTGACCCTCTTGGCTTTTAATGCCTGTCCTTTTTGTTGTTTTTTAAGTATTGCGTACGAGGGTGCATCTGAATAAATATACCCCCATAGCTTATTTTATGATTTTGACAACAAGGTTGATGCAAAAAGGGCCAAATCCTCTCTAAGGCTAAAAATAGCCTTTTTAGAAAAAGGCTTTTGGTTTTCGCAAAAGCGATGAACTATCGTGGCAACAAAAAGTGCTAAATTCCTTTAACTCTGAAAAATGTCACAAAATGTGTGATCAACCAAAAGTTGCTAACATCTTATTGAAAGCGGAAGCTCTAGTTTTTAGCCGATTCGGCTTACAAATAAATTCTGTATTATGATCTAGTTTCACTTCCTTTACATTAATATGTAGAATATATCGGCTATCTACCACTTTTGGTCGCAAAAGTTTTTATATCTAGGGAAGTACCAGGTTTATTCAGATTTTTAAATAGCCAGCAACTTTTTGTTGTTCCCCATTTTGTGGCGTTTTTCAAAAATTTAAAAGAATTTAGCATTTTTCGTTGACACGAGAATTCATCGCTTTTTGCGAAAACTAACCCTTTTCTAAAAAGACTCTAGTTAGCCTTAGAATGACCCACATATGTTTTTAATTTCCGAGGGTGGCGAAATAGGAAATGTCACATTTCATCACGGTACCGGAGACCTACGATTACCAAGGCAACCTAGCGAGCGCAAACATTACCTGACAGCCACACACACCACTTTTTTTAGTTCGGGGATCAACGGTCGCCCGGGGAGCGACCTTCATTTTTAATATGCATCCCTCTATTTCATTTTCGCATACCGATTCTCAACGAACTTTTTTTGCCAGCCAACCCCGATCTATCGTATTCTATCGTATTCCAAATTTAGACATCTTCCATTTTTGACCGGATTTTTGGCCCAGCATTGGCAGGTGACCCGGCACCCCCTTATCAAATAATCTAAAGCATGCCGGAGTCACCGGTCCCGAATTTTAGCTAGACAGCTATGGCGTCACCTAATAACCCAACTTTCAACTTTTATCAATTTTTTTAAAGTTTCATTTTAAATATCTGAATAAATTGATTTCAGAATCGCAAATGACAGCTGACGCTCCAAAGCCTCAAGAAGTTCCCGAGCCGGACCCGAATTTTATCGGAGGAACTCCGTTAGCTTGGGCAATTGTAGAGAAAGACCTACAGGTACAACTTTATATAGCTAATTGGAAGCCAATAAAATCATCATCAAGGATAAACATATTAAGAAATATTTCGGCACGACTGCGCGTTTTGGAGACAACCGGAAAGCCGAGAAATTTGGTGCTAACCAAGGTTATATTTCGCAAGTATTACTTGCCGACCTTGACTGGACCGAAGATGATGAAAAACTACCAAAACGATTGATTCTGAAGATCACCGAGACTGAGAAGGTAGATGACAATATTAAATGTTAGCTTGATTCCTTTAGCTGCGTGTGTTGTGCGAGCAAATTTTCAAGAAGGATTTTAATGCAATGAAGGATGGAATCGTGAAGGTGAGTTTCCAGATACAACCCCAAAGCTTCTTTAGATTCACGACAATGAAGTGAACGTTTACACCTTGATGCGAGATGAATGGAATTGCGCGGATGACATGAGAATGCCGAAGTTCTATTTCGGACGCCATTATGGTTTTGATGGGATTGATGCTGGTATTATACGAGATCGATATCAGTCGATGATTTTAGGCTACCTGGCAATTGAATTTATCGATAACTGTATTTTGCGGCACATGTATCATACTGTGCAGGTAGAGTCGGCAGAAGAAGTTCTGGGCGTGATTGCGAAGTTGGGTGCACGAGGTATTTGGTAGAACTTCTTTGATATGTCTTGTCTAGCTTTGAAGGATCAAGCTGTCGTCAAGCGCTTCGAGCATGATTTTCTTATGGATATGTTCAAAGACATTTTTTCGCCGGAGGTATTGAGAGTAAAATTTTTGATAGGCATAATTTTTAGAAAACCCGAGAAGGGTTTCCAGTGTTAACGAAAATGTTCCCAGAGTTGGAACAGCACGTGGAATTTATTGATTCAAAGCTGGAGGCGTTTGTTGGGGTGGAAAGATATCAAGCAGTGCTAGAAGAGCTCGGTTAGTTGAAAATTTCAACGTTTTCATAAGTTTTAGGTCCTGTGAAAGTCCTTTGCCATGGCGATCTCTGGACGGCAAATATGTTATGGCATCAAGACGACGGGGGCATCTATCGTCTCCAGAATTTAATCGACTGGCAGGTATACAAGCTGGACGAGCCCTTTAATTTACATTTGGGTTACCCACGCTGGACATCCTGTAGAAGATATTCTTCGATTTTTAAATGGAGCGTTGCCTGGAGAAGATAAAGTCAAAAAGTAAGCCGTGGGATTACCGAGTGATTCGAGTGAAAACCATATCTAAATGGATTTTAAGCCGGAAACGACTGATCCAACACTACCACGATACGCTAGTCAAAGAATGCAATGGAGAAGTGGAGGTCCCATTTACTGTTGAGAAGGTAAGAAATCACTCAAATTTTTTGATTGTGAATTTTCCAGCTAAACGAAGCCTATGAACGTATTCTGCCAACCTTCACCTTTCCAGCTTTGCCAGCCTTTGTGGGAATGTTTGACATGGTTGTCGCTGGGGTGCCCGGTATCAGCAAATTTAACTTCAACAAGGATTTGCTTTAGACGATGAAAAAGAGGGCGCAAAGGCCACCCTACGAACCAAAATGTGGGCTCAAATTCAAGAAGCGCTGGACATGCTGCATAAATGGTATTAAGGCTAATTTTTTGGTTTTCGCTTTTTGCTTTAATATGGCATGCTTAAACTATCGCTTCACATTGTGATTCTTAAATAAAAAAAATTAGGAATCGAAGAATGGCTTGGATGAAATTTATAGTCAATCTCTTGTCTTAATAATCCGGGTTTTGTATCCTACTATATATAAAAAAAATAGTGTTTGTGTGTGTGTGCCACTTTGCATGCAACTTCCGTCAGCGTCTTCCAGTCGTATCTCAAGAAGGAGAGTAGTTAGGGGCATGTTTGATACGTCATTAGATGCGTAATGGGCTGGAGATGACTGCACGCATATCAAATTTATCAAAATGGCTTAATTTCGACATTAAATCTTAGTTTTTGTTGAAAAATCCGAGACCTCTTTGTTAGGAATAAATTAGCGTACACCGGAAGTTGCGGTAGCCTATATAAAGGAGCAGAGAACGCATTTTTCATTTTTTTAGCATGGGTCGGACCGAATTATGCAAAGTGTAAACTTTCATTGTTCCAAAACAGAGCCAGGGTTGAAAAGTCGCGAAGCGGCTTTTCAACCCTGGTTTTTTATTAATAAATATGCATTTTTTTACTACTTCAAGGTTGTTTCGGCTTCAGTTCAAGAATAATGGCTAGGCAGGTCATCATTACGGAGATTGTCTAAATGACTGTCTTCCGGCTACGTGAAACCAATTCAAACCGTGAGGATCATTGGCTTGGTGACCATGGCAAAACCCCAGAGGGTAATTCCAAGATCTGGCTGGTCAATATGCATGGCCAGGGTATGAGCTACCTAAATTTTCGTTTTTAAGAGCTGTGTTAACAAGCCTTATATTGACGTTCGTCAAACGGCACCCAAATGCTTCGGTTCATGAACAAAGTCGACTTTAATTTTTGTATCTGAATTTTTTTGCTCCGAGCAAGATTTTTCGGCTGAAAAATACCTCTTCATGCAAATTTGCCGGCATCAACGTCACCCCATAATATCCATAAATGCAGAAAATCACTGCCGGTGTGCTAAAATCTGATTTATTTCTATGCCCAAAGCCTTACGCTAAAAGCCATCCAGCCAAACTTGTCCTGCTAAGAACCAGCATCATAGAAAAGATTGTTGCTGGGATTACGGTACAAACCATCAAAAAGGCATACACCTATTTACCAAAATATTATTATTTAGCTTCAGGCGACCAACTTTAAAGATTTTTGCCAGTTCTCTTACGCAACGACCCATATTTGTATGTAGTCTGATCAGTTCTTCAAGTTTCGTAACCATTTTTTCTGCCGATGCGGGCTTTATCTAAACCAAACTTTTCAAATACGACTTTAGTGACCTTTTTAATCTTTCGATTCAACTTTTTAACCTCCCAAAACATAACTTTTGATAAGCAAATATAGGTGTGAAGCGCTAAATATGTCCTCTTTGTTTATGGGTTCCAGCGTTACCTATATTCCAAACAGTGATGCTGTAAAAAATTATGTAGAGTCTGAATTGGCAGAGCGCCTCAAACCAAAACGCCTAAATAATTTTAATAATAAGTGGGCATAAAGACAGTAACCCTTGTGTGGCCCTCGTACATGATCTCAGGTGAATATCCCATTTGGTGAGCAACACCAAAGAAAATAATTGTTAGAAAAATGAAAATTTGACAAAAGAAGAATCGGTTTCGGCAATGGATCAAGGAATCTCGGCGTCGCTAAATGAAATCCTTCCCATTTTAATTAATGGAGCCTTACTTGGTCATAAAACGAGCGATCATCGATTTTGCAATGTTTATATAAATGGAAAAATTTCCCAAACATCATATTCATCCGACTGTAGCTGATGAATAACTTAAAAGCATAAAAAATGTGCGCAAATCTGGGCAGGGGTGACCTGACTAATCAGGGCTTGTATGACCCAGATCCCAAAAAGAAAGGTAGCACCAGACGATTTTTGGTCGAAGTTGTAGACAGTGTGATAGACATCATAACCAAGAAGGTAGAGAGCTGAAAACCAAAATTAATTGGATTTAGGAACCATTAGAATTCGTTAAAGTTTTCACCCACACGCACAAATCATAAACGCTTGATAAAGAATCCGAAGAAACGTCACTATCTTCGAATCGAGTGGCCAATAATGAAGCCCTATCAATCGTAGACACTTCACAATTCGTTTCTTTGTCACTATTTTATAATGGATACCTTTGCAAACATAAAAAATTGTTGCACAACGGGGTCTGTTCCGTCCAGCGCCAGTATATTGCAACCATCTTTTCTGTGCAGAATTGTCCCTTTTTCAAGGACATAATAGGGCAGCTCATCCTCCGAATCATCACTTGCATCCGTCTCATCCTCATCCAGATCCAATTTAACGGCTGTTCTTAGGGTATGAAATGGCACTATTCCTTCTGCTTCGGCTAGTTGGAGACAATCTGCGTACAATAGTTCCTCGTCTAGTAGATTTTCCATTAATTGAATAGTATTACGAATGGAAGGCGGAATGCCTAGAAACGGCGGCCAAAGGTGGAATCGTTGTTCGTTGTTCCCAGCCGTGACGTCCCATTTTGGGGTTAATTGAAAAAAAATCGAGGGCCCTCCAGGGTCAGGGTAAACAAAGGCCAAAAGGGGGGTGAGAGTAAAAGGATATTAAAGGGAGGAAGGGGGGCATGGCCTAAAATAGAGCAGTCAACAAGGGGGATGTTTTGTGGTGGATGAGAAGATGAAACTTTCGGAATCGTTACTTTTAACACTTGCATGATATCGAGCAACGGAACTTCAGCAGCTGTTCACCGCAAAACCTGATAGAAATCGCTCATATTTTATAGTGGTCTAACTAACGGTGACCAATCCTGGCTTTTTCACACACACTTTAAAGCAAAATAACTTCTTTAGCCCTTAGTTTCGCATTTTTTAGTTTTTTTACCAACTTGAAGGATCCGCATAAAATACGCTCCACCCCGTTTGAAAAACTCCTGTTCACTCAAAACCAGTGAATGAGTTCGACCGTTGGCTTCACATTCCTTTAGAACGGCGCAAAAGGAGCAAGCTGCTAATGTCAAATGGTTACGAGTCCCGCTGAATCACAACCCGTTGGCTACGGCGCACCCACACATTTTGCATCGATCGCGTGAAACGAGCTTCGGAACATGGTTACCAAGTACAGTGAGCATCATTCGTTTCAAGAAAGTACCTCTCTACAAACGTTTTGAGTGTCGGGGGCTCTGCATCGAAATCCCCCGGGGTCATTGGGCGTGGTCTCAAAGCCGACTCCGCCTATTTACTGTCTGTAGCGGCGCAAAATGAAAATTATGTAGCTTTCTGATTTTCACATATTCAGCCTCAGAAACCAATGTTGCCTAGATTTTCCCAAAAAGTATTAGTGTGAACCCCTAAGATGCAGCAAAAGAGACGCAAAAAAGCAACATGTGTGGCACACGTGTTCCCAAGAGCTCGGATATTTGTCATGGGATGCGTAGTGGTGGTGCCTATGAGCTATTCCCAGATGCCTTGGACCGATGGGGAATTACCATATGCGCAATGATTGGAGTCAGGAAGCACTGTGTTTGACCAACAAGCATTATTGCGTCGTGTTAATTCACTTTTCGTGTGCAGCTTTGGAACCGCAGATTCATTGACGTAGTTATCAGTTTTTCAACTTTTGAAAGTTCTTATAATTTGAAAATTCTTTTACCAAAATCATGTTACATTTATTGTCCATAAATTACGGTTTAATAGCCGTGGTTTTTTGCGGCCTCCTTGAATCCCGACCATCCGCGCGGCAGATGTCAGGAAATATGACCAATTATGTTGGCGACCGGCAATTCATTGTTGCCATTTCTGACCAAAGCTGGTTATTTGATTTTAATACGCTGGCCGTTTGTGGCCGCTGAAAAATCAGGCTTTTTGGAATTTTTTAAATAAAAAAATGCTATGTCCAAACATTTTAAAGATTTTAGATTTGACCGAATATCAAATAGCGCCTGTTATTCCACGTTCCGTTGCATAAACAACAGCAGGGCCGTAACAAACCCAGATTTCGGGGGGGGGCGACCCCAAAAATTTTTCACTAATAGGACTAAAACTACAGCGCCGCAGGCAAAATTTTTGAAAACATAGGGTTTATAACACTAAAACTAGTGTTAAAAATAGACAAAAACAGCGCCGCAAGCAAAAAATTTTTTGGAAAAATTAAATCATAAGGGGCCCCCCTTATGTACTTTTCGGCCTTCGGCCGATTTCGGGGGGGCGGCTCGCCCCCTCGCCCCCCTCTTACGGGCCTGAACAACAGGGTTGCCCGCTGCAGCAGCGTTTTCCCGGTGTTGGTCAAATACATAGCGTCAGCAAAGATGCCGTTGGGTGTTCGCTCGCCCACCACCCGCCGTTCACAATAACTCACGCGTTTTTATCCCCTTCAACCGTTGAAAACGAAACGTTTCCGTCAGATTTGGAAGAAGATTTATTTTCGTTGCAGAGACTCCAATATTGCGGGAATTAGACTAGTCTGTCGGGTGTATAGACAGTTGTTTCTATCTCTCCCGCTCTCTCTGTCTCTCTCTATCTCCCGCTTTCTCTAACTCTCTCGCTCCCTCTCACACACACACACTCTCTCTCTCCAGCATATGCTCACTTACCGTATCTCTAATAACGGAAAAGATTTAAAACAGTGGTCTTCGCTTTTGAAAGCCGCGCGATTGTTGTAGTTTTTGGTAATTAAGTTCTAAAATACATTTGAAAAATATTCTGGCTACGGGGCTCTAAATCAGCATGCATTAGCCCAACATCTTGGGATCAGAGCATGATAGTCCCTCTGCATTTCACGCAAATGGCAGATGTTGACCTGGTTTGGGTCCATCCCTCTCTTATCATGCCTTTCAATCTTGTATAACGTGCAGCGAGTCCAAATCTGGTTTTGTCTCCCGGCATTACCAGCAATTGAGCCGTCGTCGACTTAATATATAAGTACTTTAGAAAATTCTCCTGAAAAGCCCGGTTTTTTCCTGAAATGGCGAAGCTTGAAGGCCTGATGGGCGATTTGACAATCGAAACAAAAATGCCGCCCAAGATGCCGCCCGGTACATCCGGTAAACCGGTCCCCCTGGTCACCAACAGTTGGCGGTAGGTGAATTGGAAAACTAGAACGGCTTGGCCACCAAAAACCCATTTTTTCATTAGATTTAGGACCTAATGCACAATAGCCAATTCCAGCCTCAATGTCGAAAAGAAGAGACCGGTGTATAAATACAGCGTCACGATGAATGAGCACTGGAAGCGCACCACGGAAATCGTCCTAAAGGAGTTGACGAAAATGACTAAAGACGAGTAAGTTTGGGTCTTCCAAGTCGCGCCGTTGAAGTATAGCATTCTAATGTAAAAATTGCAGCTATAACGAGCAGTTGCGAAAGGCCAAAACCGTCGCGGTGATGAATATCCTCATAAAGGAAAAGCTTCTACCTCTCGCCCTCGATGGCGTTGCGTACGACCGTGCTTCGTCGCTATTTTCAATGAAAAAGGTCGCCCCGCTGGTGACGAAGTTGAGCTTCACCGTATTGGCCAAATATGGCTATACAGACGACACAAATTGTGATGGCGTCGAGGTCCAAATCCGGCCCGTCAACGAAGATTATTCGGTGCGCATTTTTATCGCGACTCTTTTCGATCCTACCCTATAAACTCAAAATCGTTTTTTCAGTTGACGACGGATGAAGCTTTTAAAGCGGCTGGAGACCACAATATTATTGAATGGCTCGCGCTACTAACGTCACAATATGTCTTCAACAAGCCGGAAGAATTCGTCGTATATCGCGACTCGTCAATCTTCCTGTACGACCCGACGCAAGCAAAATTCGCGCAAGAAGATGTGCCGGCCTTGCCTGATGGAAAATACCTCGGAATTGGGGCGTCGAAGTCTGTCAGTATTGTTGAGGGCCCGGGGAGAAAAGGATGCGGTCCAATTTTGACAATTGACGGTGGGTAAGCAAAGGCAAGATACAGGATTCCGACAGAATTAGCATACCCCCACCTGCTAAACGCTAATTTAGTCCTGAAAACGGCGTTTCACTACGATGAGCAGCCCGCCCACGAAAAGTTGGCCGAAATGATGAAGGTTAGAGTCAACGACCTCGAAAAGATCTACCAAAGATTAGCTGCCAAACTCTCGGATGCCGCTCAGCTGTTCAGAGGTATCTTAAAAAGACCCCAAAGGAAAAGATACCAAAATTCTATTAAATTTCAATATCCCGCGATTTGGTTGGCTATTGACCAATTTCTGTACCATAAATTTGAAGAGCCGGCCAAATCTTTTATTACAATGAAGACTTTTTTTGCATTGAATTTCTGCATATTGAATTATTGGCGTAGTCAATTTCAGGTGCTATGACTTTTTTCGTAATAGATTCCGAATGATGAATTTCTTGAATAACGTTTTTATTAGCTTGTAAAAAAGTCATTGGTTTAACAATTACAAAATTCTCTGCTTAGGGCTAAGCCTCCATACGACGCACACGAAGAAACCGTTGGAGGTGCGTCTGAAGAAATTCTGGAACGGTCGTCAACAACCGTCGTTCGAGATTGAAGGGCGAAAGCAAACGGTGGCTCAATACTTTGCCGAAAAGTATCAAATAAAGCTAAAGTAGGTGAAATGCTGTTTATTTTATGCTAATTTGGGAGAATTTACTTAGTACATCCTAGATACCCCTCCTACTACCTCGTCGACGATAAGGACCGCATCTTCCCCCTTGAAACGTTGAAGGTTTGCCCCAACCAGAGGGTCACTTTTCAACAGCAGACCCCTGAACAGATGCAAAAACAAATAAAAGTAACCTTTCCAAAAGAATACTTATTATATCGAGGCCATATAGGCCTGTGCCACACTCCCTGCCATCCGTCAGCGTCAAACGGGCAACCTTGCCAAGGCGATAAAATTGGATGCCAGCACCTCGAATAGTTATCTCAAGACCCAGTTTACTAAAATTGAAGAGCCCGTTCAGGTTTGGCTGCTATTATTTTGTAATTGTTGTATTATAGGTTGAAGGCCGGCTACTAGATCCGCCACAACTGAAGGGCGGGAGTCAGAATATCGGAATTGAAAACGGGGTATTCACGCACTGAATTTCTTATGGCAAATGTCATTTTAGTGCCGTTGGAAGGGCGGTCGATTTGCGGAAGCGCGGTCACCGGGAAAATGGGCCCTTTTTCTATTGCTGGATGAGCAAGATGCTCGCAAGGATTGGTATAACCATGCCAATGCCCTGGTCGCTGCCCTCCAAAAATACGGCAAAGAGGCCGGCATGCAAATCGAGAGGCCGGTCGAGATCGAGCAGGTCGACCCAACGAAGGCACGTATTTGTTCCACGTTTCACGTTTAGATCTTGGCTACCCTTTTTAATCTGTTTTTTTTTAGTTGGCTTGGGTGTTTGAGGAAGCGAAGAAAGAAAAGATCGAGTACACGCTATGGCTGCAAAGCGACCGCCTTCACCTTCATGGTCAGTTATATTGAAGAAAGCCTTATATGGGGACTATTTAGCCGAGCTGAAGGCGCTGGAGCAAAGGCACCAGCTGCTGGCTCAGGACCTTCGTTTTGTGAGGACAACCGAACTCGGCAAGCGGGACACCTTCAAAAATATCCTGATGAAGATGAACTGCAAGCTTGGAGGCCTCAGCCATAAAGTGGTCGATACGAGTCGTATCCTCAACCAGCGTGTCCTCATCATCGCGGTGGATGTATGAAGAGTTTTTAAAAAAAAAAAATAAAAATTTGTAGTTTTCCCATCCGGCACCAACTGCCCCAGGCAAGCCGCCTGCATCACCATCAGTGTTGGGATGGTCAGCAAACTGTGAACGCGAGATGCAGTATTTCACGGGCGACTTCAAATTTATCAGAAGCCGAGCTGCTGACGAACGCAGCACGATCGATGGGCCGTTGAAGGAGGTGTTCAAGGTAAGTCTAATTTCATTTAATGGTTTAAGGTTTATCAGAACGTCGAAATTTCAAAATGGCGGAATTTCATAAAGTCTAAAAATGTCGATATATTTGAATTTCGAGATTAGAAATTTTAACATCATGAATTCCGGCATTTTAAACAACAAATAAATTTTTGTAATAAAGTTAAATTTAATAATTTTTAAAATATTTAAAATAAATAGATAAAAAGTTCGTGTAATACCTCCTTCTAGGAAGCACTTTCGCGTTTCAAGAAAAGCCAGCGCAATTTCCCGGAATTTGCGGTGCTCTACCGTGGCGGTGTTTCTGAAGGCCAATATCCGACGGTAAGCTTCTGTTTTTAGAATTCAAATTTTCATGTAGTTTAGAATGAGTTAATTTTTAGCTGATCAGTACGGAAGTGCCCCTCTTCGAACAGGCGGCAAGAGAAGTGTATCAAGGAAAACATCAACCACCGCTCATCATGATTGGCGTCACTAAAGAGCACAGACACAGATTATTCCCGGCCACGATTCAGGGACGATCAGCTGGTGATCAAAACGTGAAGCCGGGGACCGTTGTTGATACCGGAATTGTGTCCCCGGCCAGAAGCGAGTTCTTCCTGAACAGTCATTACGCCTTCCAGGTAATATTGTGACGATATTAAAGCGAAAGTTAAAAATGCTTAATTAAACTTTCAAACGGCTTTTCAAAACCAGCCTTGTATGGGAGTTATCTCACCTTGCATAGTCCTTTCCAAAGCCGACCCGAAATTCATTTGAAAATCATTCTTAAGCTATTCTTTTTATAAACCAGTCCACTTCAGGATATCCGGCAAACAAACCGTGAATTATTAAGGCTTCAACAATCTTCTTCCATTCAGGGCACCGCCAAAACGCCCAAGTATACGATTTTGAAGAACGGGAACGCCGTCGGGAACCTCAAATCAATGTCGGAAATTCAGGGTAGGTTTTGTCTTCACTCCAACCCATATTAAGTTTAATGTTTGATATATGCCTATGAAACTATGGAATTTTCAGCTTTCACCCACGCCCTGACGTTCATGCACTCGATCGTCAACCAGACAATCACTCTTCCGGTGCCGTTAAAGGTGGCGGCTGAATGTGCGAAAAGAGGAAACAACAACTTCCGCGCCGAGACTGAACTTCATCTGTGAGTAATATAACTATTCTGAAACGCTAAGCTCCATCCTAAAATACGAGCCATTTTTAGGCATAATGGTGTCGGGCTTGACGATGTGGAGATGCTCAACCGCGAGATGGTATATTCCCGCAAGGAACTGTCATCCAGGCGTTTCAACGCCTAATTTTTTTATTTTTGCTGCCAGCTTTTGTATTTAAGATTTCCTGACACTCATATCGGTCACTTTATTCACTTTCTGGGTTTTATAGCCTTAACCGGTCCATTTCTTTCGTCGCATTAACGATTATTATTCCCGACGGGAAGAAATGTCGTATACAAATTTTTCCTTTTTATTTTCATTTTATAATTTGTAGATTTTTTGCTTCTTCTTTCTTTAAATTTTTTTGTCCATTGAATAAAGACGAACATGATTGTTGATACTTTTGCTGTCAGCAGAATAGCAATATTGTCTCTATGAGCACATATGAGCAATGAAGCCATCGTATTGAACGCCCTTCCACATTTTCTGTAAATTGTTCCAAGCCCAGATTTTCGTGCCACGTTTTGCTAACCGGAAAAGCTTACTGTGTTGTGGCCCTCTCGTCGTATCTATACAAAACGTAGCCAGACTTCCCACCGATTTCCCGCCCGAAAAACGCCCTTTTCCAATTTCCGACGATTATCCGCAGATCCGCAGGCCAAATTTCCTGTACGATTTTATAAAAAAGGCTTTTGTATGCTGGTCGCTGGGACAAAAATAACACAGTGGAGAGATGGCCTGCTATATTCCGGTAGGCAGTTACCGGCGAAACGTTTGCGAAACAAATGTATCGATTTGTAGAAAACTTTCAGCCAAACCTACTGTGTAGCGCCTAACCATAGCCTTTACCCTACGCTAATCCAACCGCAGATGAAACCCGACCATAGCTATTTTAAGCTCCGAAACACCGACGTCAATCGTAGACTTAATTTGATTCCCGGAAGTTACCCCACGTACCCTGTGGACCCGATCTATTTTTATCTCCAACCATAGCTTGCAATGTTTCCATACTTATTGTACATAAATTCGCAAATCACTTCACAAAAGGGTTTCGGTTGGGTCCCCTGGGAAGCAGAAGAAATGGCCCGAACCGGGGCCAACGGAAAGGGGGGATAATCCGACAGTTGGGCCCCAGCAGCTACTGTGCGCAACGAGGCCAAAATCAGGGGGATGTTGCCAGGGAGATGGCCCTGGCCTCCTTGTGGCCCATCCAATCCGCTCTCCACACCAGCCACTTTCTATTCAGCTGCCGTCTAAAACGCTCCTCAAAACCGGCACTTTCTTTGAAGTTGTAGATTTATATTCGGAAGTTAGTTAGGTAGTTAAAACATCTTGACTTTGTTTTGAAGTGGAAGAAGTGATTTAGGCCTCACCGGTTGGTGCGATGAATTAGGCCGTTTGGAGTAGGGTAGCATGGAAAAAATTCGCTCTCACTTTTGGCTCTTTTGACGTTCTCTCTATGGTTTTAGTAGTTTAGCTGTCTTGCTAGCTCTTGCTCTCTCTCCCTCTCTCTCTCGCTCTCTCTCTCCCTCTCTCTCTCTCGCTCTCTCTCTCTCCCTCTCTCTCTCTTTCTCTCTCTTTTTCTCTCTCTCACTCTATCTCTCTTTCTTCCTCTCTCTCTTTCTTCCTCTCTTCCTCCCTCCCTCTCACTCTCTCTCTCTCTCTCTCTCTCTCTCTCTCTCTCTCTCTCTCTCTCTTTCTCCCAAAAAAACTGAATTTTCTTAACTTTTTAGTAACCTCCTAATGTCAGAACCTTGGAAAATGTTTGAGCCCGATGAGAATAATCCATTCCAAGTCAACCAGGAAGAACCGCCCATCGTAAGAATTCAGAACATGAGATTTATTTTTTTTTGCTAGGTCACCTCTCGCCGACAGCCTGCATACCGCGTCTATTTCCAAGAAGCTGTGGTAAGAAGCTGAGCCTCAGATCCATTGTTAATGTACCAAATTTAGTTTGGGTGCGACGATCCCGAAAATGTGATGATGCGCGTCTTCACACATATGGCGATGATCGTCCGGCGTGAGATTGAACTGCCTGGCATGGTGAATTTATGCGTTTGAATTGTCTTTTAATCATTTTCTGTATCCACACTTCTTCGTTAGCCAGTATATTTTGAGTGCAATCAGGGCAAGGGCTCATGCAAAAGGATTTCCCCAAGGGGGAACTTAGAAATTGGCAGGTGACTTGTGGCGGACCCTCATTAGGCATTGATCTTCTACGTAACGAACCACAACCCACTTACAGCCAGCCGATCCGGTGCCCGTACTACCCTGGAGTCCAGAAGAGGTCTTTTCCATGATCAAGCCTACGGCTGAATACATTGTGAGTCATGGATAATCGTTTCTACCATAAAGTACCAGACAATTTGTCAGATACCGTATTTCCTTTAGTATACACAGGGTTTCAAATCGTTTCTACCACTGAAACTGCTAAAAACACATGATAATCCAAGGAAAACCGATAAACAAAACTCGTATTCATATTTTTTCATGCTAAATAAAATTTGGTCATGTTTTACTGGGCTGGGGGTGCCCAGAGCCGGGGCTCGTAATAGCGAAATAAGCTAAAATTGTATTTTACTTTTGATGCAAATTTTTTCCCGGTTCTTTTTGCGTTATTTTTAGATGCTGACGCGCAACGTTAATTTTTCTAAAATCCTCGGATTTGGCCGACTAACCGACAAATCATTGAGGCGCCAAGCCGACGAGCAAATCCTTATGCTATTTTCGGCAGCTATCCTTGTTGCCCTCCATTAGGCGTACAGTAACCCGAACTCCTCTTATAAGCGTATGCAGCTCAACTGCCCTCCTAGGCAAAAGAATCCGATCTGATCAATCGTCGACTTGCAATTCTGCAAACTCAAGATTCTGGATACCTATTACAAAGCCTGGACAAAGAATTGGAAGACCATCGTGAAACGGTAGGACTTTTACAGCCGATTTTCAGTCAATTTTCTTTTAGCTCTACAGCGCCGAGTTCTGGAAACGCATAGATCGCATCAAATATCGAAGATCGGTGGGAAAGGTCGTGATATATGAAAAATATTTAAAGAAAATTTTGTTAGGCACCCGTCAAGCGCAGGTCAACAAACTGTCTTACCGATGGCCCTCGCCCGGATGAAATGGAAGATCGAGAGTGGGCAGAGAGGAGACACATCAAACGGCGGCGGATTGAAAGGCGTGATGAAACCTTCACTGAATGGGTATTATTTGGAAAGACATTAAATATCGTTTGCAGCGCGAACGCAGGCGTCTATCAATGCATCAAAACGATCGTGTTGAGGACTATCCAGCACGCAATCGGCGCAGAAATAACCGTAATCAAGGTCGGGATTTTAGGGTATCAAAAAAAGCAACCTGACAATCTTTCTTGTCACGTAATTTAGAAAATAATTTTTAGAATCGATGCAAAACATTGAAATGGACGTTGCGGTGACTGAGTACGAGCAAGCCAGCGCTCTAGCTGCCCAAGTAGTGCAGGAAATGGAAGGGACTCTGGCAGCACTAGATGGACTAGTAGCTGTACTCGCTGAAGGGTCTGAAGATGATGAAGACTCTGAGGAAGATGAAAGGGATCAAGAATTTCGAGAGCTTAAAGCGTCCTTGTTGACCTCGGGTCGGCAATTCATTGCTTCTATCAGAAACCGTCTGTCTAACGAAAGGCCGTGATATCGATCTTGTCGCCTCCTTCGGATTTGTGTGTCTATTTAAAATGGGAAACCAAAACCTTCATAGCACTCTAAATTTTGAGATTAACCCCTGCAAAAAATGGTATTGTGATCAAGATGTGATAAATGTCGTTTCAAAGTACCTTCCGAATTTCTAAGCCATTAAATTGGTTCGATATTTTGCCTAATTTGTGAAGATACAAATCTCAATTTCTAGAAGATTTGGCTGGAAATGGAATCAGTGGAGAAATGTACCGTTTCTCCGGAAGTGGATGAACATCCAAGCCTAAAACCGGTGAGCAATTCAACCCTGGATCGATTTCATCTGCAATTCAGGAGGAATCTCATCCGGCACCACCACGCAAAAAGTACAAACTGTCTTCAGATCAGCATATGGTAACCATTTTAACAATTTTTTTTCTTAAACATGTGCCTTATCATAGTATGAAACCGATGACCCTAAGGACGAATTTCTAAAGCTGTTCGAGTTGGTCTCGGAAGTTGCTCAAGATCAGGAGGGCAAGGTATAAGATTTAATGAGTTACATAGGTTTCCATTTAGGAGTCAAATCCCGAAGAACCAGCGCCAAGCGCAATTTGGGAGATGTGGGGCAAGCTATTGAAAATGGATAAAGAGAGCGGCGAATACAAGGTAGTACTTCAAGATCAAAGTCTCTAACCTGTCAATTTTCAGGAAAAAGTGGCTTGGATCACGGATCGCCATGCAAAATCGCTGGTCCGCCGTGCTGAGCAAGCGAACAAGCTGCGTCACCTCATCGATGATGTCTCTTCCGTGGGGATGCTTGTCGGAAATTTCTTTTCGAACTCCGAGCATGAGCAGAGAATTCGCCCGAACAGCTTGCGCGAGAAAAGGACCATTTATCATGCTATTGAAGTCGACCCGACGGCTGATTCAGATGCTGCCACTCAGGTTGCCATTAGGGAGAGACTAGCAATCGCACCGTTGCACCGCAAAAATAACACTGCATTACTAAGTAGCAACTATTGTAGCTGCGCATCATGTGTTGCATTTTCAACGTATTTTTTGATTTTCATACATAGTTTTCAGAACGGAGGATCTGGTTCCGGCCCGAAAGCGGAAAGCGGAGAAGGGTCTGAAAAGGTAACAATCGCCGCAAAACCAAAATAAATTTGACTGTAGCCATCGAATTCCGGTGACGCAGACGCTGAATCGGATGAATCTATGCTAGAGGCAGTCCGCGATGCCGCGAGAAAAGCGTTTGGAGCTGATGTAAGTCATTCTGTCCTATAATGGATATCTTTTAGGACTTGTCTCAAAGGACCAAATCTCCCGTTCAACCAAAAGTGGTTGAAATCACGGATGAGGAACCAGTAAAGGGAGCTGATAAGCCGGCGGAACATTCGCCAAAGGTGGTTGAAGTGACTGATGAAGAAGCGGCTGATTTCGAGAAGGCGGATGGTAAAGGGGAGGCCTGCGGATTCCTAATGCGATGACATTCAGATGCAGACAAGCCTGAGCCGGTGATCGATGAAGAGGCTGGTGAAGATGAAGCCACTGATTTGGAGAAGCCGTCGGGCTTGATGAAGAGGCAGCAGATGATGGTGATTGTGATGTGCAACCAGGCAAAAGACGTACCCAGGATGAGGACGATTCTGATGATTAGCTGAAAATGTGTTTTAAAGTTCGGTACTAAAAAGGAAATTCTTACTTGTACAGGGTGGGCAAAAAAAAAAAGCCCACAGTTTGGGTCGAAATATCTCGCGAACGGTAGAGAATCGAAGGTACGTTACCATGCCAGAATGCTTAAATATGCTGGGCATGAAGATTTAACACAACTTGATTTTTTCGATTTTTGGCGACGTATCAATACAAATGACACCCGAAAACTGTGCGTTCGGAGAAACTTCATTTGTATTTTTCTCAGTTTCCTGTGGTGACTGGCTTCTAATTTTTATTGAGTAAGTTAATGTGGGCAGCAGATATGCACCTACAAAATTTAAGATTTTTTGAGGGTCTGGTTGAAAAGTTATAGAGGAACGAAATTTTGTATGGGGAAATTTCGTAATTTTTCGATATTAAAAAAACTTATGGTGGAAATGTCAAAAGAACTATTTGTAGAATACCTTCGGACTATTCACAATTGCATCAACATATTAAAAAAAATTTTGGAGATCGACGAATTTTTCAGTTTTTCAACGACCCGCTGGTCATGGATTTTCCGAGGTCTCGAAACTGAACTTTGGAAAAATATTTCTACATTGCCAAAGGGGACTCAGCTGTTTTCTTTGTTTCGCTATGTAGTTCTGGGGTTGATCTATCATCTACAAGATTTCGAGCTACCGTACCCCTTTGGAGGGGCGTCTTTTAGGGCCTCCAAAACGGTTGGTTCGTGCTTTTTTCCATACCTTGCCACCATTTTGTAAATTGCAATCGCGCTATGAAAATTGTCATTTTAATTTTATCTGATAGCAGTGGAATAGCGCATCCTAAAGCCTTATTCATGAATTTTTTAAACCAGCCGTTGGCGCCAAGAAAATTCATCGAAACCCGAAATAAACCGAATCGGAGTTTACGTAAAAAAATTTTGGGAGGTGGACTCGTAGGAATATTTTGCGAAAAAAGTCTGTGGCATCAGTTGAATAAAACTATGCAAAGATTAAAGCAATTTCACGTAGCAAACATTTTAAGAAGATTTCTAAACTTCGATTTTGGAATAAGATGATCTTCGATTTTGAGCTGAAAGTCACCATGATCATGAATCAGATTGCCCCCAAATTTTACGGGCGTAGATAATAACATCAAAGCTATAATCGTATCCATAAGACCCGGACGCTTTTTTTATTTTTAAAAACTCGAAAAGTGACCCGGTTACTCGGACCCAAAATCGGCTCTCTGGACTGGTTTTGCACTTTGCCTCGTAACTTTGTTATTTGCCACCCAAAATCAGTAATTTTTTACAGGCTATCTTACGATCACCTCTAGAACGCCCTCGAATTGAAAAATCATCACTTTATGGAATTTTGTGGTGGCATGCTAAAACGCGCCCCACGGGGGTTACTGTAGAAAACCGAAATTCGCGATTTTCGTGGTGTTTTTGCCATGGAATCGCTTCGATCTTTTCGTAAAACCAATAGTAACAGTATTTGGACCAATTGGCCAAAAAATTTACAAGATTCGGTGGCAGAATTAAAAAGTCAGTTTTTAGTCTTTTTCATGAATGTTTGTGGATAGTACGCTCTCCTATTTGGCAGCAAGGTGCCACTACTTATTGCCTAACAACCCAAAAAATTTCAGCCGGATCGAAGCTAGGGGCCCCGAGAAAAGCGGGAAAAACGAAACCTACAGTACCCCGCTGGGGCACGTTTTAGCAAGCAATATAAAAATACCATAGATTGTGGTGGAATTTGGTGTGGAATCCGAGATTAATATTTGGATAAGCCATTGGCAAAAAAGCAGCCATGGGCAGCGCGTTATAAGCGAGTTATGACTCAAAGAACAAAAATAACGAAAACTCGCGAAAATTGTTTTGCTTTTAAAAAATGAAATTGACCTCAAAAAATTCTAAAATTTTGCCATTACATATCTACAAATTTATACTATTTTTAGGCCAAAAATCAGAATTTTCCCACCTCCCGTTCAAGAACGCACAATTTTCGGTCGTAACCAGCGTCAATAGTACAGTTGCGTACTCAAAAATCGAAAAAATCAAGTTGTGTTAAATCTTCATGCCCAGCATATTTAAGCATTCTGGCATGGTAACGTACCTTCGATTCTCTACCGTTCGCGAGATATTTCGACCCAAACTGTGGGCTTTTTTTTTTGCCCACCCTGTAGTTAATTTGCCTATCCCGCTTAGAATGATCTGATTTTGACCCCGCCCAAACACATGGAAATCTCTTTGTATTCAAAATGCAACTGATCTCAATGTCAAATTACGATTCGGTTTTTATGTAACATTGACCAGCAATACTTAATAAACCTGTGCGTTTTATTTACCCTTATCTTTTCAGCCATTGACTAACAGTCTTGGAGCCATACTTTCAATAACCATGCCAATTTTTGGACGCCGTCTATTGAGTTTAAGTTTGATAGTTTTTGAGTTCCAGGATCCAAAATGGAGGTTGGCTCGGTTGAAACCGACCAGCCGCAGATTCGAAAAATCGCTTTGGCCAAAAGGCATGCCGAGTTAGGAGCCGCCATCGCAGCATTGGTAAGATACTTTCACATTTACCAAAATTTACCTGTTTAAGGTCAAAATCAAGAAACGAACTCCAGAACAGGATGCCGAAATGGCAGAACTACGCGGCCAACTATTTGAGAATATGTCTATGATGTCAACACTTCCCGTAAGGCCCCCTGTTAGAATCATCGCCCCTTTTTAGGCCGGTCATCCCGATCAAGTCAACCAGGGGCCTCGTCGGGTATTTTCAGAGAAATTTTAAATATAGTTTTTATAATTTATTTTTATTATATTTTTTCTATTTTAGAAACGCCAACGCACACCACTGACCCGAGCCGAGGTAAAACCATGCATGCAGCTTTTTACCTTTACAATTTCCAGAAAACCGCATTATCTGAGCAACTACTTGAGGCTCGCATCCCATTCTTCGTGAGTTACTAGTCTGTGCTAATTATAGGAGAATCAATTCTGTAGCGCCACAAAGCCCCTCGTGACTGGTTCGCTCCGGAAGTGATCGACGAATTGATGGTTGGTCATCAAAAAGCATCTTATAAACCGGAACTTTAGGATAAGACGGGAACTGAAAAATTCGAGGTGATGCTTGAATTTCTCGGTTGTTGGGCTGAAATTGTTGATAAGGTACGAATCATAATGCTTCACTCAAAATTTTGTCATTTCTAGCGAACTCCTCGGGAAGCTCCAAATGCCACAGCGGATCCATCGGAGCCAATGGAGGTAAGTGATTATATGATAGGATACCGTATTTCGTAAGCTCGCTCTTTGACCTAAACAAGATATTACAAAGCTCTATGCGCATTAATGAAACAATTCAGAGCGAGTCCGACCCAGGCCCAACCGAACCAACTCCATCTATCCAAGCACCAGCGCCACCTCCAGCGCCTCAACTACCACCACCTCCCCCTCCACCCCCAATCGTAGCTGTTGCTCCAGTACCTCAAGATCCACCACCAGTCGATCCCTCGGGACGTCGTCGCCCACGCAAGGGCAATCCAGTACGGTAGGGACCCTCTACTTTTTACAACGTCTTCTTTTTTTCAGCCGCCTTTTCGGTCCAACCCACAATATGCCACTGTCCATGTCGAGCTCCTCTGAATCGCGTCCAAATTAAGACGTACAAGTTTTCCCGGCTCTTAACTTATTTTGAGCTTTAGTTCCCCCCTCTAGCGCATTGCCAATCGGATTTGCATGTTTTGCTTCGTCGTGATTTTACGTGATTGCTTGAGCTTGAGAATTGTTATCAATGGTTCGAAAATACGCTTTACGAAAACATATCGTATTTCACATTATCGATCTTAATCAGTATTGATCTCAATTTTCCACATGTGATTGCCTGTATTGTAAATAAACATTAGATTTTCACTTCGATTGATATAAAATTCAGTGGTTATTTCCAATGGTACCTATGGTCAAAAATAAATTTTAAATGAATATTCTTTCTAGGCAGAAATGCCACCAGAGGATCTGCACGTCTCTTTTCTACATCATACGGTATTGAAGCCTAACTTTACGAGCTAAATATTTTTAGTATGAAGCAAGAGACCGCGAAGACCCTTGGTTCACAAAATTCTGCACTATCGCGGCCGTGGGATGCGTAACTTCTAGTAGACTTTTCGATATTATCATCATTTTAGCTGACAAGAGATGTTGCTGGTGGGGCAGAGATGCTCTCACGAATCTGGGAAAATCAGGAGCGACTCCGCAGAAATGAAGTTCATCAGCAAGCCCTACAAGAAGCCGAAGATCTTTGGCGACGAGAGGAAACGTATTTGGATATTGCCGCGGAGATTATTGAGGAAGCGAGACACGAGGTAGGATACCGATGCTTCACCATTGAACCTTTTTCCAGTCTGCCAATGGGGGTTTGACGCGCGTCAAGCGCAAGCAAATGGAGATCACTAGAAACTTTTTGAAGGGAGTTAATGAGGGAAGGAATGTAGGTTTAATTCAGGGAATGCTGTTGACAATATTTTGATTTAGCATAAGATCTGCTTGGAACAAAAGAATGCAACAATTGAGGAACGTCAAATGTTGTCGGCGAAAAGAAAACGGAATATCGAGATTTTTGATGCGGCGGTTAATCTGATGCGCGAAGCGGTGAGCATATCACCACGGTATTTAATTTCTCGGCAATTTTCAGAAGCGCTCCGATCTAGAGTACGAAAACGTCGAGACCGATATCGAAGATTGACTTCGTAGTTGGATTATTGCTAGTTTTGCATGTAATAATTGGCGTTCATCGCTTGCTATCGCCGAGATTTTTATAAATTCAACATGTTTTGGTATAATTATTGGTGGCATATATTATGTGATAATGACTTTTTATCCGGTTAGAGAATGCTAATAAAGTATGATGCATGATTTTGAAAAGATGTAATAAAACATATAAAATTGTTGTGTGTCTTAAGCAACGTCTCATAAAGGAAAGGCGAGCAGACGAATCCAAATGACTTTTTCATTTTAAGCTTTGAAATAAATATAAATGATAATAAATAAGATTAGAAACACATATCTGAATGTTACTAAACGAAAAATCCATGAATCAGAGAAAAAAATTTCTTTTCCACATTGGCCTTAGATGGCTTTTTTCAGTTGATTTTTGTGCAAATTGCTGGGAGGTACACCCTGCTAGAGACAGAATAGAGGGGAGCGGCAACAGACAAATCCAATCAGCACGATCATCGGTAGGGGCGACGGATCGAATTCCGGTGGTGCGATGGGGTGTGAAATTTGGATGGGTGGGGGTGAAGACTGATCAGTTAAAGGGATAGGGAAGGGAGGGTAGGAGGTGGAATGAAATGAATGAAGGAATGGAGGAATGAGGGAAGGCAGGAAGGAAGGAAGGAGGGTTGTCTTATCTGGCAGCTTGTGGTGGCGGGGGCTCTTCATTTACGAGTCGCACACGCCGGGGCTATAGACTCAAACGGGCGCGCCAAGGGATGTAATCTGGTAGTATGGCATGACTTTTGTTGATTACTTGTTGACAAACTCGTTATACCGTATTTTCTCTACGATAAGTTGTTGCTAAAGAGTTATTTAATTTTACTGTAAGAGTTCATTAAAAGAAATCTTCAAATTTTGCTCGACTGAATATTTTCTTATCATCCTTCTGATGAATTGTGCTGTAGCTTCCTAGATTTTTTTTGCAGTAAGCCCATTAATTTTTTTATATTTTCTCTCTCACCGCCTGCTAATATTTGATATGATAATCTCAAAGGGCGGTGAAAGGACGTATTGTCCATTCCATTCCAGACGACAGGAGGTTGAGGGGGGGGGGGGGGGAATTGTTGTGAAGCAAGAGGAGATCGACTTTGTCTGGGTGTGGCCGACTTCTCCCTGGATGGATCTCTTCCTCCTAACCTCTTTCTCCTTCTCCTCCTCTTCAACCCAATGAAGAGTTCCTCTTTTTGCCCCTTCGGGAACGAATCATCAACGGCTAGTTCCTATATTTTCCCGACGGCACACACAGATAATTGGGTTGGCAGTTCCAGTTTTGGCGATTGAAATGTCCTTGTACTTGTAGGGGGAGGTGATTTAGTTTTTGTTTCAGGGCTGGGGCGAATCGAATGTCGGTCTTTATTTTGGGCAAATGTCTTTAATTCATGTTGGTAGAATTTGGCAAAAGAGTTGGGTTGGTCGGTGAAATGCACGTTCTTTGACTAGGGGCCAGCCACCCAAGATAAAATGAGCTATAAATGTCTTTGTGAAAACGTTATGATTGGATACCAAGTGCTTCTTCTTGGAATTTCTGTCCGAATGTTGTCTAGAATTTTACTCCGACAAAGTTGCTTATTCGTGATCCGTTATCAGAAATATCTCTTGACTCTTGTTTGCTCTTTGAACAAACCGTGTTTTGAGATCGCGTGCCGGCGATTTTCCTTAAATAATTTGGGGTCGGCCAGTCGGAACCCGTTCTCGACGGTTGCCCTGCCGATCAACTCCTCCTTCTCCTTCTCCTGTCATCTTCGATACGCTCATTCTCGCCATTCCTTATGTTCCGCAGTTTTCCCTTCACGGACCATGGGTGAGAACTGGAATGGCTGATATGGTATAGTATCGTAAATATTTTTGGAATGTGAAGGCAAATTCTAGTTTTGCTTTATCTCAAAGCCGCGAACCTAAACTATCCTTTTCAATCCCGCTCTTCGCCCACCCATGCGTGCTTTTCAAAAGAGTTCAGTTCCGGGGTCAGTTCAGACAGTTCTCGCCAATGTCGCTCCCTTTCCCCAAGCAGCCATTTGATAGGTGATAAATCATCGATGACCTCAACAGTTTTCTGCTTATCATCCGCTTCTTGGAGGGGACCGTGTGAAGCAGTGGGATAGGGGTACTTGAGGTTTGAACATCGAATATCACAGGCTCCAATTCTCCTTCAAAAAACTAAATTATCCGCTTTCCAATTTCTTGCATAATTCCGGCAGCTAAACTTGTTTGTGACAAAAGGCTCCTTTCTTTATGCCACCGCTTTGTCGCACGATTTTTTTCGCGCCCTTTTTCTGACCTATTTTTCGGATGGCCCCACACAGTTCGCACGCTATTTTTCGCACCGTTTCGCGGTGAAAATGATAAAAATGGAATCTAGATAAGTGTCAAGTCTATTACTGTATTTTTCTTAGTGCGTCAACGTGCGGGAAATGTGTCATTGTTTTTCCCATGAATCATCTTTACTAGGCGAACAAGTTCAAGACTTTCAAGGGAACCTGCTTTATGCTATCTTATAAAAGAAAAAGGTTTAAATCCGTTTAAAGTTTTTTTCAAAAGGACATCATCTATGTATACTCTAGTCTCTCTGGCCCTAATCAATCTATCCAGAACTTTTCGAATCTTTGCCCACCCCTATCATATTCATTGTTTTGCTCAGGTTTCTGCGCTATGAGCTCCCCTGTTTTTTACGGGAGCCCTGACAACAAGTTTTTCGTCGCCTTTCGACCATCAATTCCGATTTACTATGATAGTAGCTGAGGGAACTGTTATCTCTCGCAGCTCTCATGAGTGAACAATTGCCCCACTTCTATCAGAAAAACACTTCCTGCTCTCCGACTTTTTTGGCTAGAGAATCGAAACGTGATGATCGGGTTATTGCCGGGTGTCGATTTGTGACCGATGCAAACGGGGGGAGAAATATCAATAGACGCTCTCGATGTGAGGAGGGAATCGTAAGATAGTCTCGATCTCCTTTCACCCTCTTTTTCGGGGGCTCTTCATTTCCCGGCGCCTCGAGGGGTCGCTGGTTAATTCGATGCGCAATTTGGCGCTGACAATCAGCAATAGTGTTGCCTTGCGCTGTGTTGGGGTGTAATACGTACTGTATTCTTTTTAAAATTGAAGTAACTCATCTCCATGATGTTGTATGTTTTGGTGTTGCAAATCAAAAACGAAAATTGTCGGCGATCCCTAGGAATTAGAGTTCCGCCCCGCGTGCAGACCGTACATTTCAGTTCTATCTCATTGCCCAATCCGTTCGTTGTCTCATATCGTTGGCTTGCGAGCGATTTTCTTGGCTGATCCCACTGGTTTTGTTTCCTTTATTCCCGTTTTGGTTTGCTACCCGATATTTTAATTTGGGACGACAAATTTTGCGGTTAAAAGAACGGAATTTTATTCCTTTGAGATTTTTGAGGAATTGTAGAACTCTGGACGGCAGTCTGTCAGAAACCTGAAATTTCCATATGCTGGAATGAGGGCGTACTGGTTCAATTCCCCGATCTTTTAAAGGGTTCATCCCTATGATAGCTTATCGAACTTAGAATATTAAGATTGGAAATTCTGATTTCACTTGAACCCTTTGTGAAACCATGCAACAACCGTAAAGTTTCGGTCAACTTAGAGCAGCGCCCCAAAAACCCTCCTTTTTCCTTCCAAGCTGCAAGTGGAGCTCTCTTTCCGTTCGGCAACATGTGCAGACACCCCCTCCAGGCGGCTTCTATTCTGGTTTCAGCCATTCGCTTCGGGTTGAAAGATGGGCTGTAGGAAGGGGGGAGGGCGAAGGAAGACCAAGGAATGGCGATGGTGGCGATCCCCTAGAGACCCGAGAAGGGCGACCCCCTCAAAGCCACAGCTTCTAAGAATATCCGCGTCATCAGCTTCACCCTCCCTTCTATGACGCCAAGCTTGGGGGGGGGGGGGGTGATGCCGCCTCCACTTTTGCCCTGACAGCATTCCGATGCTTCGGAATTTCCACGATTTTGACGAGGGGATGTCCGGGCTGAGAGATTTGCAGCCATATTTCAGAATGGTTTTTAGGTTTTGTGAGGGGGTCACATTTTTAGGTTTTGCAAGGGGGTGGCGTGGGCAGAGGGGGAGTATATAAAGTGCGGCGTGGTAGAATTGGCAATGCTAGACACGTATGAATTGATTTGTTAATTTTGATATAATCTCGCTGCCATTAACACCGTTCCTTTAACATATATTTGGCCAAAATATATTCTTCTGATATATGGAGGGAAAATGTCTTAACAGGCTTAACTAGGCAAATACGGTAGTGCAGATGTTTTAGATAACTTTCTAGGATACCGCACCTATTAAAGGGATGGTGACAGAAAAATAAATCTCCTTACAGCTTTCCCCAGGTATTCAACACCTTACCTTTCAAAGTTTTCCAATTATCTCTGATTTTTGAACTCCATCCAAAATTCCAACCTAACTGTACGGCCAGTACTCTCCGTTCCAAATAACTCCATCCGGCAAATCTGTGTCTTGGCCGTCCAGCTAGGGCCACCCCTAACTTCCGTTTTTCAGTCCCCTCCTTTTTCCACTTTTTACTGGTCCACAAAAACTGAACTGAGGGGATGCGTCTCGAAAAAAGGCGCCGACGTCGCGCATTTGGTTGCGATTAGTGGTTTTTCTGAGCGTGGCTGCCGGGGCACCGATTTTCGCTTTAGCGCCGCCACACGTGAACGTATGGGATGTGCTGTTTCGTCGGGAAGGAGTGTCCTTGGTAGTAAAAACGCCTTGGTCTCTCACGGCCAAAACATCTTAGCTTATCCTGTGATATATCAGTAACATTAGCGTATTTCCTCGAATATCAGCTAGAGTTTATTTTATTATTTTTTTTTCTTTCAATGACCCCATAGGGGTACTTATAATGGAGACAGTCTTCTTATATATTATATTCCTATCTACATTTTCTCGTTTCTCATCCAATTTCGACCGATTTAATTTGAGCAGGGTACGATACTTACCTCCTAGATTACCTATCTTTTACCATACCAGGATGCAGCACGCGATAATTAGATTTTCAAGTTTATAAATCCTTATATTAATTCGGCTTTTTAGGTTTCAACTTCATTGTCCATTTAATTGCGTTATTTCTATCTAATTGGCTTACAGGGTGGCTGATAAGTATCCGGAATGATTGTAAAATTGCCCAACAAAGAAAGCTCCTTCAGTTTTATGACTTGTTTTCTTTTTTATTGTATCGAACATGGCTTCCGTAAAGTTTTTTACAACTGATCATGAAACATCTACCCTGCTTAGAATATTGGCACGCCAAAATCAAACTTTGATTTTGCGGTCAGGGACGTTTTTCGCCGAACTTAAAAGTCACATATCTTCGGATAGAAATGTTTTTGAAAAGTTTTCCCAACTGATCTTGCCATGGCTCCAGGCGCTGAGCATTGTGACATATTAAAAATCTGATTTGGTTGAGAGACCGGATTTTTGGGTTTTCCGGTTCAGGCCAATTTTCGAAATCCGGGATTTTAGGACGAAGGATCTTTGGCCTGCCAATAGCCCGGATCAGAATCTATGGGATTTTTCTGTGTGTGGAGTCATAAAACAAGAGCTACCAAACATAAAGATCAAAAATACAAACTATCCGCGTCGAGAATCTACCAAGATTTGGAACGAATTGTTTAGAAAATACCCGCGGCGCACAGCCATGTTCGGGCCGTCATAAATTAAATCATATATCAAAGCGGATGGGGGCTACATTGAAAATTTGTTACAAAAATGAATATTTAGCATCCACTTATCATAAAAATAAATCGCTATTATTAAATTTGGGTTTACTTTTGTCGCTGTAGCCCTCTACATTTTCCGGATACTTACCAGCCACCCTGTATATAAATTACCAGGGTCAAATTCACGAATATTTCAGCGGGCGAATCTGATGCGGAGAGACGTCGTGGCAGACTAAAAAGCGTATCCCCATATGCCAATGTGTTCATGCGACTGCGCCAGGTAAGGTAGCATTTGAAGAACTCAAGATTTGTCATTTAAATCAGTGATCTAAAACATTGTTAGGTGCCCCTCACGATTTGTGTGATGGCGTGTCTTCTCTTCGTTCACGTCTACCCATCCACTTCTACGTCGGCGCAGCTCGATTCTACTCAAAATGGTGAGTCTAATACAAAAATATAGATTTATGGGATCCCTTTAGATCTCTCTGGTTTTCACAGAATGCGCTTACGGGCCCACCGACGACGACATCGCCAAAAACACGGGGACAAGTAAGAGTGGTTTTTCTTGTCAATGTTATGGGTTTTATAGAGACCATGATGAACTGGCTGAACTACTAGAAAAGAAAAATACAGATAATGTGGAGCGGAAACGGAATCCAAAGGTATGTCTAGAATCAAAGGTCTTGCGCCTATTCCTAGCCTATTTTTTGATTTACGGGATTTAGCTAATAAATTAATTATTACACTTTTCAAGCATCGAAAAACTAAAGTAAAAAAGAAAATTTCACGCTTTAAGCAGCCCTTTAAACAGTCGGGAAATAAAGCTTTGGAGAAATTGACGAGAGGATCTTATGCGGAAAGATACGGGCTCTCAAATGATATAGGATTTTATGGAATCTTTAGAATGCCGAAACTCGGGAAAGGAACGAAGAGCTGTGCGCGGTAGAGCGTGAGACGATCGAGCTAAACAACGCTCGTTTTGAGTACGAGCCTCCGTTTATCGAACATGTGAGGTGTCGAATTCAGGCCGAATATGGTAGACGAGAGCGGGAACATATGACGCAACAGGTTTGGGTTTAGTGATTTTAATATTAGCGTCTCTTAACTTAAGTTTTTTTGTAAAATTCAGGTTTTTATTAAACGCAAAATTTAGGTACATTTCAACACCTTTTAGACATGCGTGCACGGGCTACTTCGATGTGTACAACGATATTCAGAACGACATGTAACACGTCGTGCCCGCCATTCCGATACCTGGGAACCGTATACGGTAACTATTACCTGTGATAGTTTTTAATAAACTTTACTTTTTACAAAGAATACCATTCAGATAACCGATGTTCCAACCGCCTGTGAATGCATGTGGCCGGCCGATCGATACGGACACCTTGAACTCTAGAATATCCCGACCCGTTCCCGCCAAACAACGCAATATTTCTGTGTATTTTTATTCACCAAAGCAAAACGTACAATCGATAAATGGTACTATAAATGTAATGAGGTAGAAATAACGAGGTTAGAAATGAAATAAAAATAGGCATGAAATTAAATGAAATGGAAAAATAGACATGAAATCTTTCTATCCCATTACGTTCTCAAAATCAATGGTCAGCGACTTCGGCGGCTCCAAAGCGACAAGCTTGCGCCCAGCATTTTTGAACATTTCCCAGAATCGGGTGAGGAAAGGTTTTTTGGCATGAATTTTCGACGCCTCGCGCTTCGCTTCCCACGCCCTCCTCTCCTCAATCTTGGCCAAGGCTTCAGGACTTAAGGTGGTGGTTGGGGTGGTTGTTGTCGTTGTCGTCGTCGTGGTCGTAGTAGTAGTAGTAGTAGTGGTTGTTGTTGTTGTCGGGACAGGCGTGGTAGACCTGATTAGCTAAAAACAGAATTTTTTGGCATAGCACACTAACAATTTGTGTAATATTTACCACAAATAATAATATATTATTTAGAACTGGTAATCCTCCAATTTCTTACCTCCTCATACGGTGTAAAAGCCATATTGAGGTCTATTGCCTCTAGGCTATGGAGAAGCATCAGAGAAGAAATCAGGAATATGAATGCCGTTTGTAGAGCAGCCATTTTCTAGAAGATGTAAATAAGGTGATTTTCTGGGCAAATGATGTGAGTGATGTGGGTGGTGATGTTTTCGCTGACCTATGTGATATATCGATAAGTTGACCCATTGCCCGAGGGCAATCGGCGTGTCTTAAAAATCGATCCCCGAGGCAACAATGAGATTTTCAAAACATCAAAGCGGCAAAATGGATTAAGATCCTGGGTGTCGATGATATTGCATAAATCTGTACAGAGTAACCTAGTCCTCAAAATTTGAGAGAATTCTTAATGGAAAGGGGATACTTGGAAAAATCCACGTTCCGTGCAAGGTGTCGATTTTTGTCCGCTTTGGGCGTATTTATAAACAATGTGCTGTTACGATTCCGAAAGATAAAATTACCACAACAGGGAACTAGCCCCCTAGCACGAAAACTTCGAACTTTAAATGTAACTTTTTATGCAATGCATTTATGACCTTGGCATAAGATTATTTGTTATAATTTTATTAATCATGTAAAATTGTGCAGAATAGTCATAGGAACGGTAGCATAATTACATGCAAGATGAATTAAACATTTTGACACTTTATGGTATTGTAAATGATGAAAAATAAGATAGCGGCTATTTTGGACGACAAGCAAAAGAGAAAATGAAAAAAGGTTATGCAATCGTGTGGTATTTAGAACCATGGATGCCATGAGGGGTCGGCCCTGCTGAGCTGTTGCGGGGTCGATTCATTAATCATCCGCGAGTGGGCATCTTCTTGAGTATTTTCTTCTGGGCTTGTCAGGCCTGAAACATTCATGTAATTTTTAATTTTCTCGTTGTTGTGGGCTTAAAGTCTTAAATAAAATCTGAAACGCACGTCGGATTCTTTCCTCGATCTGTGTAATATAACGCTCGAAGAATTGAACATTACTCCGCCCCGAAATCTCGGCCACCTCATCAAAGAATAAAATGTTCAAGAACGGCCGAATTTGATCCAGTTCGATACAGCGTCGAGCCGCGTGCATTGCCCAGCGCAAGTGACCTTAAAAAGTAGATTAAATATTTTTTTAAAACCCTACCTTCTCGGCTGAAACCAATGAATTTCTGGAGATTTGGCGTGAATCGGAATGGAGGGGCAATTTCGACGGTGGCACTTGGCGGAGGCAGATAAAGCTTGGAATTGGAATGCCAGAGTAGGCATGAGGATTCACACTAAAAGATATTTGTATTGACGTATTAGTTGAGCCTACCAAATTCATATCTTCTAGCCAGAAAGCCCCGACTCCAAGTGAGAGCTCGAGCAGTGAAATAAGACCGAGTTGCTTTGAAAACTAAAAAAATCGTCATATAAATGCAAGTTTTTTTCTATAATACCTGCTTCCTGAGCGCATAGTACTGTGTCGGATCAGGCAACCGTTCAGCAATATGTTTTTGGAAGACGCTATCCGGGATCATACTCTGGCTGTGCTCCCTGAAAGAACGCAATGTAATTTTTCGATAATTTCCGGACTTACGTGAATTGATTATACATAGCTGTATGCATTCGCTCTGGATTCACATCGTTCACATCGTCGGCTACCAAATTCTTGTAGAAGAAATCAATCAAGTCATCCGGCTCCATGAAGATTGGCCTTAATTCAGGGTTTGAACATCGTGAGTTTAGTCCCATACTCGAAGTGCTTGGCCATAACATCGATCGGTTGGATAAGTGAACTGCTGGTGGCTGGGATTTGCACAAGTGAGCATCGAGAGGCAATCTCCAATCTTGTTGGCACATGCAGATTCAAGAATCGTTTGCTTGTTTCCTGTATATTCATTTAAAATGGGACTTCCTAGCAATAATTACCGTATCCTTGCGCAAACTATTGTTAAATTGGGTATAAAAATGAGCCAATCGAGCGGCAGATGCGTCAGTAGAGAGGCTGTTTGGTTCTTCTGGGTTACGGTCGATGGGGTCACGTTGTATCAACCAAGAGGTCGTCTTTCCGGTGTGGGTTCGGACCTGCAAATTTATGATTTGCAAGCGGACCACTAGATTAAACTTACTTCAATCATTTTGACAGGCCGTCCAGCACGAATTTGGACATGCACGCGCGAATCGAATCGAGTGATCATCGAAAGATATTGGACCGGTTTTGTTGTGAATAATTCGGAAAAGAGCTCGACGTCGGCAGTTCGTGACGAGAAATTGGCTAGCCATGGATCGATATTATTGAGGATTACGGTGCTAAAATTTCAATAAAAATTTCGGAGAAGAAGAATTCCAATACCTCGGTAGTGCCTTTAATCGTTTCAGTAACAGTGTTCGAATTCCATTAATAAGTCCAAGCGATGGTAGTAAACTTGTTCGACTTGCCACTACACGGCAAAAATCGAGAATCTTCTTGGTCATACCATCCCGGAACTAAGAAAGGTTATAATTTTTGCACTATAACCCCTACCTTCCATTCATCCTCATCAAAATCTTCTTGACTGGCCATCCATTCTCCGCCTTTCTCTTCCAAATAAGCGACATTCTCAGTTGGATTTGTAAGAAGTTGTGACCATCGCTCGACACGCTCAATCAATGAATTGCCGACGACACGGCAGGAAAAGCCCTTGAAGCGGCTTGAAGCAAGACGACTGGAAAGTTGTTTTATAGATTAGAGGTAAGCTTGTATACCGCTTGATCATATCGAGGACTTCCAGGGATTCGCGAAGTTGGCGCTCAGCCCAATATTCAGGTATGTTCGAGAGGGATTGGAGGATGCGATGGAGAGCTCGGATTGCACTTGGACGTTGCTAAAAGTTACTTTTTTTGCAGTTTTTTGGTAGGGGACCTACCTCGAGTACGATATCCAACGCGTGGACCAACGTTCGTTGCCAAGGCTTAATCGGCATGTTGGCGATAATATCAGCCGATTGGGTTGGATCAACAGACGTTTGCCCTGGTGTCATTCCTATAAATTACTTTTTAAAAAGCTTTCTATATTCCCCAACCTCTTGCACAAATCTTATCGATAGCCTCTGCCGGTAGCAATCCTCTAATCACATAGAACGTCTGGATTGGGTGCATTTTAGCCACCTAAAAATAAACTTGGGAATGCGGTAACATTTACTTACCCTAGCAATAATTGCAAACACCGAAGATCCCGATCTTTCTCGAATGCAATCACAAAGGGAGGGGAGCCATTGGAGCCAATTTGACGGGTTGATAAATGCGGTACATTGTCTTAGCAGCTAAAAGAAATTTATAAGGCTTCCCATACTCGACAAAAGTCGATTTGGAATCGCGAAAGTTAAAAACATACGGCATCAATGGCATCGTGTATCATCGTATCACCAAGGGCTTCCATGCATTTCAGGGTGAACAAGAATCGTGCTAAAAGATTCATAAAAATTCCAGCAACGTTTGAATTACCAATGCTCTTCCCAGCTTTTCCTTCATTATCAATCCGGGCGGCATCCAGGAAACATGTCAAGGCCTCTCGACCCTCAGCCAATGCAGATTGAGAATTTCTAGAAATAACCATAAACACTTGCTCTAAAAAAATACCGTCTAGCATGGAACCGATCGTCCAAATGTTTGCCCCATGCGTAGAACGCGCTAAAGTCTTTGTTGTTGACGGCCACTTCCTGCAAAACAGAGTTTTATTGATGCGCCTAACCTTACTTGTATATTGGCAGCCGTCATGAATGCCTTATCCGCATCTTCACCGCGCCCAAGTTTCGATAGGATTCTACCCTTTTGGGCAAAGATCTTGCAAAGTAGTTCTTTGGTTTGTCCTTCCAAAGGAGCACGTTCGCAGAGAGCAAGTGCCTAGAAAATCAATTTTTAATAATATCTAAAATCGATTGCCTTACATGACCAAGAAGCTCTCTGGCAGTGCCTTCCTGAATCTCGGGGTCTGAAGCCATGGTACGGTAGAGCTTTAGCTGTTCGAGTACGGTAGACTGGGCATCGAGCAGGGGAAGACTTGGTAGCGTATGTAATCTGTAAAAAATAAGACATCACCCTAAATCATTGGATTTTGCCCACGAATCAAATCTATGTATAATAATTGTTGAATACGCTTAGTAAATCGGACTCACTTCAACAACGATTCTTCCGCAAAATCATACAATTTTCGCTTCCGTGCTCCCTGTGCAATGGCCAGCTGTGCTTGAGCTGAACTGTGAATCGGCAACATTTGCTGGTTTTGGAAAGCCGGTTGCGGAAGCTAAAGATACATATACTAAAACCCAATTCCGGATTGCCTTTTTCTCCCATATATCAAAAGCTCGGACCACATCTGCATGGATGTTCAACCGGAAGTGCTGAGCGAATACGGTGCTTGAGTACGAGTCGCTTACACATCCAACACGGTTGCTAAAAATTACGTTAATGGAAATTTATCCCTACAAACCGCCATGTCTTTACAATGTTTTTGATGTCCAAAACGGTTTGGGCGCTCGGAGCAGTTTGCTGGGCCTAAAAATTGACTGATTCTAGCATGAAGTTATTAGAGTACCATGTATATGCCATGCTTGACCGGGGCAGATTCGTTAATTTCTTGAACGATGTTCATTGCCTAAAATTCAAATATGAAAAATCATGAGAAAGCTACTTGAAGGAGTGGCACGTGGGATGCATCGATTACTGTAGGCAATTTTCTCCATTCGTCCACAATATTTTTCTGTAGTTCATCAGTGCAGTGGGAAATCTGTGAAACCAATTACGGAAGGTATATATAAACGTACATATTCAGCCTGATTTTCTTTAGGTTGAAGCTCAGGTGCCATGACATTGAGCAATGATTGGTGAAGGCTATGAGATACGATCAGATTTCTAGGGACACAAGCCCCAATCTAAACATTCATGACTTATAACCTTAAAATGAGCGCAAACCTGAGCAACACAATCCCTCAGCAGAGACCAATCGGAAAGATGAGGGCTGATCTTCATTAATACTTCTGGGTTCTGTGCAGCCTTCCCGTATGCGTCAAGTCTCTCCCAATCACACAATTCGAACAGGCTCCTTAAATCAATCTTTTATAGGAGTGAGTCTTTCCAACTTTTTCCAGATATCAGTGATTGCCTCTTGTTCTTGCTCCCACTGAATTGTGCATTGCAACGAGTTCGTTCTAAATCCAATATTTTTTTGCAATTTGGGATTTCAACGTACTGCTTCAAACGGTCGAGCCACATCTCATTGTTTTGGTCGATAAATGTCACTGCTGCTTGGTATTTGCCCTGAAGAACCGGGAATTAAAAAACATGGCACTTTTTTTCTACTTGTAGGTACAAATCCATGGCTCGGCTGGTATACGGTAGCAGGGCTCTTCGGCTCCAAATAACACTCTTTTGATCGAATTCATGTAAATGCTCGTAGAGGCTATCCAGGCGGTTAAGAACACTCTGAAGTAGTTATCGATTAACCTTTTATAGTTATTTGCATACCAGATGACTTGACAAATCCTGAGAGATGGCGTCCCCAGAGGTGTATTGGAGCATCGGAGCAACAGATGCAAGACGTGGCGAATGTTCAGCCATTTCTTCAAGTAGTAGAACAGCTCGATGCCAGCCCGTATGGTAATTCGCGACGTACTAAAGGAGATGAATCTATCTTTTAAAGGGACCGGAATAGCCAGGACGAGGCTGTAAGAACCTACACTAATCTCGGCCGGTGGTATATGGATTCCGCATTTTGTAAAGGTGTCTATGAGCACCGTCAATACGGATGGATGGCCTGGTTGAGTCGGATTTCCGTGACGCTACAAATAACAGTAATGGAAATTGATAACCACGTACCGATGACGAAATAAATTGACAAAGCGTTGTTTCCAAGGATTGGCGATCAGTGACGCTCATCCGCTGCCACAACGATATAAAGACCGTCTGGAAGAACTGCGCCACAAATCGGATGTCTAAAAAATCGTTTATTGGTTTCTGCCTTTTATTATTTTTGCTACCTTGTATATTGAAAATCAATTGCAAAAGTTGGTCGATCGGATCGACCATAGTGTTGTTAATGGCATCCGTAAGTAGGCCACTAACTTCCTTGAAAATGGCTTCTCGTTGCTGTGGAGGTGCTAAAATATAAATGCAGAATAATAAATTAGAATGACTTACAAAGCTTATCGGATAGGATCCCTTCTTCTTTGTCCAAATCATCCACTTCCATTGGTTCCTCTTTGAATCGATTCTCCAGGCCTGATTCAAAGTTTCTCCTTCTCCTGCCTGAATACATAACATCTACGGATCGAGATTTCCAGCCCACCTGCCAATCCAGTTGTTGCTGCCAGGGTATTCCAAAGCGAAGCGAAACCCGATCCCTCTTCCGACTGGCAACGCTGAGCCACAAGAGTTTCTAAATACTCGTTTTTAAGTTTGATTTTGTCATACTTTTCGAGCTCTTCAGCAGCATGTAGAGAACGTGCTTCAACCAAAAGGTGTCCCGCATTGGTGCCCAATTGTAGACGCCGAATAAATAGCGTATGCGGTCGATGACACAACGGTCTCGTTCTCGATCCCATGCTTCCAAGAATTTTGTTCGAATTGTTTCGTCCTGAAGGTATTGGTCAAATTGATAAGAACCCCAGGACAACTTTCAGAATGGCCTCTAAAAATTACCGAAGAATTCAACCCAGCGGCGAAAGCGGGGAGCAACTTTTCGGCTTCCGGCATATCACGTAGACGTTTGTGGGAGAAAATGATCAACACCGTACTCAAGAATTGTTGGAAAAGGGGCTAAACAATAATTCCCATGATTATTATAGATGATGATGAATACCTTTCCGGCCTGCGCATCTTTAAATCGTCGCTCACTAATTGGCACCAATCGGGCAATAACTTGCATCATTGGACTTGGAAGCTAAGAAGAACGTTATTGCTAACTGCTGCAATAAACTTACATTTTCTCCAAGACTAGCAACGATATCATGTAAAAGATTCAGAGATGCCACCGCCACCTTTGGTTGATCGGTTTTCTCGATGTTCACGCCGATGATAGCCAAGAGGTGCTGAAAGTTGCGTCTTATGGGATCGCAGAAAATTTCTTTGAAGTATCCGACCAGCTGAAAAGCTTCGTACCCTCTTATTCTCATCCGGAATTGCAGAAACATGTGGCCGTAGCAGGTCAACAGCCACTTCAAAAAGATCTGACATTCCCTTCTCCTTTTCGCCCTTCATTTGAAGATAATGTTGATGTTCTTTGCCCATTTTCTGGATCACTTTGGCGTAGAGTTCTAAAAAAATAGAAATGAAGCTTAAGCATTAACTTACGAATTCCAATCTGGGCCTTGATATAATCCGGTTGATGTAGACCAATGATGCGGAGAAGGGAGAAGCCTGTGTAGATCGTTTGGATGCTAGCATTTTGCGACCTGAAAATTCAAACAGAAGGTTTTATTTAACCAACTTTTCATAATTGAATAGCTGGTTGTGGAGATGTTTGTAAATAGCCGTGTTTAGCTCGTCAAATTGATCCAATCCTTTTTCGGAAGAGCGCGTCTTCTCCAAAAGCGCCTTTACGAGGGCATTCACGGCTCGGACCAGCTGGAAAATATTAATTATTTGTTGTGAAACCCAATAACTTGCCCCAGTATTGTTGCTCAGCATACAATCCGAAAGTGCCGCTTGCAAACTTTGGACGGTTTGAACAACGAGTGGAGGGGGCTGTAAGAAGTTAATTCTTTTTGGGCAACAAATTTCACTCGTTACCATAATCTGGATCAACGTAACAAGCACTTCCAAAATATGTGCAGCTTGGGCAGCCTGAGCCTGATTTCCCTCTTTCCGGTACGCTTCAATGCTTTGGATCAGTTGCCGCTCCAGCCTAATTACATGTAAATTATCTGATCCTATTTTGTACCAAGATATTTTCGGCATAGCAATCGATCCCCATACTCGAGGCTTCAAAGCAGCACGCAGCAGGGAGAAGCTCCTGCAAAGAAAATTAGCTGCTATGCTATTTCTCACTTTTTAGTAATTTCAGCATTTGATTGCTGGCTGCTGCTTTGTGACGAACTGCTGTACTGTAAATTAAATCGGATTATTTTCTGCATTTTAAAGATTACATGAACGGCCATTCGAAGCAATAGCGAGATGACTTGTTCAACATGTTCTTTGGCAAGAGGTTGGTGCTCCTTAGGAAGTTGTGGATCATGCCCTTCGCGAAGTGGTGTTCCATTTCCAGGTTCAACGACTAAAATACTCATTTCACGGCGACCGTCACAAGGTTTCACCTTCCCGCTTTACGTCCTCCTCCCGAACATCAGGCTCAGGTTCACCCTTCAGCTTTTCAAGCAATCCATCGACTTCATCTCCATCTTGGGACAGGGCACCGGTAGATTGTCCATATCTCTCCTGGACCTTCTGATTCCGCAGCAACTCCCATTTTATTGCAATTTCGCACACCTCCACCGCAAGTTTCTTGCCCTCAAGGTGGCCACCCGCCTGAAAATGCAGCTGTTAAATGCATATTAAGGGCGTTATTTTGAAGGGTATCTTAATTACCTGCTGTTGGAAAAGTTTTGTCAAGGTCCCAAGAAGTGACGTCAACAGCTCGTGACGCACATAGTAGAAAACACGATAGTTTCGGCACACCACATATCTAAAATGCCGTAATTAAATTTTTGGATAATTGAATACGTACATGCAATAATAGGCATGTGTAGCATTATGTGTCTCTTCCAGTAGGATCCTCCGTACGGTGCTGAGCAGTTGGTAGTAGCTAAAAGCCAGAAGTTAAAGCGTGTTTTTATTAAAATACCCATCGTCCATCCGGACCGGAACAGCTGGGGTGATAATATCAATCGCATGCTTAACGACATCTCGATTATCGATGTGATAAGCGGCCATCAGGGAGTGGTACACCTAAAACAATTGTGTGATATTTATACTACTAGTATTAGCACCTAAAATGTAATGTTAATTGCGTAATTGCGTATTAAATGGCACCTGGAGGACAATTTTTCGGTTGATGGCGAATTTTTCAATGATATGGGCCAAGAACAAATGAGCCGAGTATCTAAATTAAGTAATTTAATTAATTTTCGAGGTAAAACTTTACTGTTCAGTGTTCAACTTACTTAATGGTAATATCTTGAGACGGCTGGTTAAGATACGGCCATCCCAGGAGCATCAACGATCGAAGTCGAGCCCCTTGCTTTCTAAAATGGATTTTAAAGGGAGTGTGACTATTAATGGATTTTAAAGGGATTAACGACTAACTTGCTGGCATTGTCATGAATATGGTGAGGCGCAAATTTCACGAAAACTGTGGCCAGTTGGAAGATGACAACTGTCATCCGAGCCGACATACTATCCTGGCATTTTGTGAGCACCTAATATAAAATGTCCTTTAAATACGAGCATTCTTGTACCTTTTCCAAACGTGCCACCATATTCTGGTTTAGCAAGTATGGATCATGCTCCTCCATCGGGGTCGAATCTGTCGATCCAGGCGCTTGTGTCTCTTGCAAACAAAGAGGCCCGACCACCGCATCAACGTCATATCTTTAATGAAATAGATATTTCTCTATATTCTTATCATACCTTTCAAGAGTATACTGTAGACAAGGGATCAACAGATACTGGATCACCTTCACCCAATCCAAACTTTTCATTCTCAAGGTGGGATCTTCCAACAGCCGATCCATCACTTTGAAGAAGGCATTACGGATCCATTCAAGTGGATATTTCTAAAGACGTGTTCCTAGCTTTTCCTAGTGCAACTTACGGGGATGACCTCTTGCTCCAAAAACGTTCGCACAAATGTGAAATCGGTGGCGTAGTTGCCGACAAAGCAGCTCATCGTGTCGAACAGAATTTCAATTTGGGTATAATTTGTTCTAATATTTGATAATTATATCTCTAAGTAGATTCAGCTTACCTGAGATATCGGATTAGGCAAGTGACCAGAAGTTTGGGTACTTTGTATTTGGTAATGTGCAGCATTCGCTAAAAAATGATTAATGTATTTTTTAATAGTTTTAAAAATCAGAAGGAGGAATAGAGAAAAAATCGATAAAGACTTCGATTAATGACTCACGACGGGGATCTGCTCCGTCGGTTTATTCTGGCTGTTTGCTTCTTCGGGTGCCTCCGGGAAGAAATGATGATTGAAATTGTCGGACTTCACGAGATGCCGGATTTTGAATTCAGGGCTGACCCATAGCTAAAAGTTTCAGCCGTTGAAATGTCTATTTCTGATCCCTGCCTCGCGTAGCTGTTCAACCAGGCGATGAGCATCCGCATACCATACAACATTGTCTCGAGAACATCTAAAAAGTAGAACCAAACTTATTAGTTATTCTTACCTGTCTATCAGCGTCAGGGTCATCAACTCATATTCAGAATATAATTGCTCGGTCTGGTTGAGGGGTGGCAGCCATTGCCACGCGCCATTAGGGAGATTCACATCGTCCTGAACACGTTTTTTTACCATTTGTTGTTATTGGATTAAGATCTATTAGCATATATACATTTTTTTTATTTCGCAAAACCAACCAGCATCCTGCCCTGCAGCATATTCGAAAAAATGGCTTCATCTTGCGTGGCCACATCCTTGATCGGAGCCGAATCTTCCGATTTCAAAAAGCGCCTCATCAATGCCCGACGTGCCGGACAAATCACACTTTCGCGTTTCAAGAAGAAACGAAGAGTCTCCCGCGGGAATTTGCATAGAAACTTTAGCGCGATACGTTCAAAGTCCAGAGGTTTCTAAAATTCCGCATAGATCTGGATTCAAGGATTTCTTACGTCAATCACATAGTCATAATCTAGAAGCGTCAAGAATCGGCAGAGCGGGTCGACGAACCAATCATTAAATAGCGGTGACTGAAAACAGGTGTGTTTCCCTTTTTTGTTAAATTTCAGACCATATTCAGAAGCTGGCTTAGGGAATAAAGGGAGTAGATTTGATGGGAACCACGCTCAATTCTTCCCTCGGCATTCCAGGCAATTAATTGCTTCTAAAAATTCAATTGGATTAATTGAAAAGTGTTTAAAACCTCGGCAATATTGTGTACTTTGGCGTTGACAAGGCCATTTTCGATATAGACAAAGTGGCATAGATGACGTAGATTGACGTCAGTTACCTAGATATAAAAAAATGCAAATGTTTGTAAATTGTTACCAGCTCGTCAAGTTGGATCAGAACTCGATTGAAGGCTTCTTGGAGGAGATGGGGAGGTATTGGGTGAGATTTGTGGTACTGAAAATATTTTTTTAATACTGTTATCATTAATACTATAATTTCTTTATGCGTTTGTATTCTACAAAAAATGAATAACAATTTACTACAATTCATATAAGCTACCAACCCGTTGAAGAGCATCTCGAGTCGCAAGCTGAACTTTTTCTTGTTTATCCCCAAGCAATCGAAGCGCCTGCTCAATGAGCTCTCCTGGTTTAGGCATTGGTTGACTGGCACTGGATGATGAAGTCAGCCGAATTTTGTGTAGCATCCGAAGGCAAGCAACCAGGCATTCTAAGAAGGCTTTTCCAATTTTTCAACCAAAAATACCAGCTGCAGACTGGCGCAACGGAACAATCCTTTGCAACAGATCATGGGGAAAGTGCGAAGAAGGACCCAGCATTCTGTACAACGGATCTTCGAGCAACGATTCTTCAGTCCCCGCACAAATCCACATCACGCGCTCCAGGAAAGCAAAAGGCCATTTTTCTAAGCAAAATATGATTCTTAAAAGTTGTTCATACTAACCATCTTCCTTCATATCAAGGAATGGGGTTTCACCGGCAAATAGGAAAGTGAACGTTCCCATTGTAGCAATTTGGGCATGCATCGAATCTCCCTAAATATCGTACTAAAAAGAAAAAACAATCTTTACCCCAAATCTTTCGATGGCCACATCAAAATCTTTTCGGACATGCTGCTTGATGGGCACGAATAGGGTCTCAAGTGGCAGATTCGTGTGTTTGGCGAGATTATGGAGGAGACCGTACACCTAAAAACATCTTATATTCGCTGGTCTTTTTAATCCATACCTGTCTTCGGAACGCGGCGTCCGGGTTGAAAAGCTGTCTCGAATACTCCAACACCATTTTGGTAACGATTCCGCGGGCGAGTTCGTCATTAGGTTGGAAATTGGGTAGGCATTTCTATAAAGTGTAAATTAGAAAATGTTTTTCATTTTATTTTAGCCTTAATTCTAAAAGCGTTTGACATACCTTGTGCAACAAATGCAGTCCCGCTAGTGCCATATCAATTGCGCCCTGCGAAACCTCGTCCTGTAGCCCGAATTGAGTCTAAAATTCGCCCATTTAAAATATAGGTTCTTGGCCTCGTACCTCCAACAAACTCTGGATGATTAGAGAGATATGGTAAACGAGGAATGGCTGGGGAAAAGTGCCGATAATCGAATACAGTGCCGTTGCTCCACCCACACGGGAGAACCTAAAGAATCAAAAACGTTAGGTTCAAGTATGAAGTGATTACCATGAATCCGCATGGCATAATTTGCAGACTTGTTCAAGGAGGTATTTAAGGAATGGCATTTTTGCCAGCTAAATAATAATAATTTCTTTGTCCTTTATTCGTAGCAAACCTGATTCAAATCCTCGATAAAAGCCAGATATACATCAAGGATGTGACGAAGTGCAACAAAGGCCGATTTAACAAACTCCTAAAAATGGTTATCCAGCAGACCAAAGTCTAGAACTACCTTGCTAATATCAGAAATTGTCGCAATAAACGCATCGACCAGAATCGCCGAATCCATGCAGTTTTCGATGGGATGTGCACACATCAGCTCGTCCTTTGCTAAAATTTTCAAAATTACCAAACATCATTTGTGGTCACCAATCAACTCCATCAACGATTGCAATGTCAACTGTTTCACGACAGCATTGAAGAGTTTTAGGTGCTTTGGGCGAAGGTCTTTCCCGACGATTACGACTAAATTTATTTTAAAATTCAGTTTTAGGGCATCAAACTTACAAAATAGGGCTGTCAACGCATTGACATACACCTGTCTCGTCACATTCTTCCGACAAATATACGCCGGAGCGTCAGAAATATTCTCCATTTTCTAAACCAAGCATTGCAATTTTGGATTGCGTTTTTACCCTCAACGTGTTACGAATTTCTTCTACAATGCCAGGAGTAAAATCGGTGGGTACTGTAGGTGAGAGAGCGAGGAGAATAATCGAACGAGCCCACTAAATTTGATTGGGTTTCAAGTTTATAAGATTAAAAATTGATTACCTCGGCACAGAGGTTTCGGAGCTCATAGTTGGGAACTGGGTGTGTTGAACTTCCCTCGACACCGGAAGCATTTCTAAATAAACGATTTTGCTCTGATTATTACTAATCCATTTCAGTATTCTTTATCAGTTTAATAAAACTTGCTTGAGCAGCTCAATGACACGCGGCATCAGCTTTGGAAGCGGAATATGAACTTGCAGATCATTCTGCAAACTTCCATTAGCCAAAAGGGTCTCCAGATCAACGCCCGAATTTCGGTCGATTGTCGTTCGACCGTCCACATCAAGAACGAGATAGAATTTTTTCAGATCGTCTTCGGTGAGGACTTGGAGTCGCTAAAAAAATTTTGCGCATTAGTGGTGCCATACCCGACGACCGTGTTCGATGACAATTTTTGTGCTTGTAAAACCTTCATTTTTATGAACACATTAATTAGTTGCCTAAAAACCAAGCTACTCACTCCCCTTCGTTATTTTGGCTACGGCTTAACATTCCCTAATTCTCTCCCATATATCCAGGGTTTTTAGAAATTATTATAATGCAAACCTGTGGTGTGACAAGCACCTTGCGGTTGCTCCCTCCCAATTTTCCCAGAATTCGTAGCGCCGAAGTAGACGATTGAAGGTCATTGCCGCATCCAACCCGTTTCCATAAACCCTCAATGAGATACGGACGTACGGAGCCCATATGTTCATAAAGATATTCCGGTTGAAGGTTGTCAACGCAAAGTTCAAGGGTGCGCAAGCCTACAATATGACCTATTACTGACCGTTTACCATCTATTAAACTACCTTGTTGCATCAGAGATGTGCTTCCATTAAGCGCTGATACAAGTGGGTCCATTAATAGGCTGAGGTATGGTAATAGGGATGACAGCCGTACGGGGATCGTCAGACATAGCTCGGTAAATAATTCGCGCATTATTTGACGGTGAGCTGATGACTGGAGTCTGTTTAACTTCTTTAGAAGATCAGGCAGCAATGGTAGGAATTGTACGTAGAGCATATCGTGGGCTCCACCACCAATCGATCGGAATAGAGCACTAAAATAACTTTTAGTTATTTTATTCATTGATTACCGTAGCAAATAGAAGTAGTTCTGTGGATCCTTGCTGGTCAGCGCCAACTTCATTGCTTGACTAACAAGGTCATGCATATACGGCTGGAATTAGCAAAAATCTTTTAAATAATTTGGAAAACTATAATTACCCGCAGCATCTTTTCAATATCCGCACACCCAGAAGATTGAGCACAAGAAACCGCTGAGAACATCAGCTTGTAAAGCTTGAGATGAAGCCCAGAGCGATGTGTGTTCACTAAAATAATCATAAAAGTTATTCAAATACTTTTACCACTCATTTGCGGCAGCCTTTCAAGCAAATAGTGGACCAAAATGCCGCCAAATCGTGCAGACGTGGTCGGGTTGACCAGAAATGAGTTGCAGATCAGTTGAAGAGCGAAATTCCGGGAGATACGTTCGATTAAAAACTATAGAAATCATTGAGATATTTCTTGGTCTCGTTACCTCGATGTGGTTCGAAAAGATCTCTTGATAAACGTCCGGATTAAGATTGGCAAACTAAATCAAGGAATTCAATGGAAAGGAATTTAACGTACGACGTTTGCAAACGAATCGATGCATTCTCGCTCGTCTTTGGTTCGAACATTATTATTCCTAAAATAGTAGTTTAGAATAAGGGACTATGACTCCACCACCTTCCCGACGTAATCGGCAGCATGAAGACATCCAAACAAATCAAGCCGTATTTGAAGAAACGTGAGAAGATATCACGTTCCTCCATGTAGGTAAGGCTGTCTGAATGCAACGGTTTGGGAACCACATGGCGGACTTACTTTGAGTGCGCTTTAAATTTGAATCGATGAGTTGGGCAAGGACGTATTTGGCGCATTGGATCAAGTATTTGATCATATTTCGGCAATCATTGAGGTTTAGTGGAGGGGCCGGGATTGCCCAGACTAAAAAATTTTGTGATGAATTGGTTTTGTGGTAATTCGGTTACCATCGTGTAGCAGTTGCTGTACGGAAGTCCCCCGAGCGTTTGGTTTTTCTTCCGGAAGCGGGGGTGGCATTCTGGCAATGGTATAAGCATAAAGTTTATTTTGTGGCCTTACCTAGCTCTCACACGTTCGTCAGCGTAGTATGCCTCTGGAGATTCCAATTCTGCTACAGAATCTACTGAGGATGAGGATCTTCTGATGCGAACTTCATACGCATCACCATTCGTTGGCATTATATCGTCCCATGGGCCATCCTAAAATAATACAAAATAATAGATTGTGGGTCTTAATTCTTACCTCAATCACAACATCATTTACTAGAAAGGTCTTGCTCTCATTCTTCTCTTTATCGACAGTAATATTTTCCACGTCCGATCTCCACTCCATGCCATTGCCATGTTGTTTGAATAGTAATGGCATGTGCTGATAAGCGAGCACTTTCAGCTTCATGTTGCACGTCTCGAGGATGTTGAACAAGATATCACGACCCTGGAAATGAAATTAACACTTTTATAGACTGTAACATACCGGCGCTTCCTGTTCTTTTTCAAGCTTTCCGAAAGCCTCGCAAAGATTCATCATCAAACGCACGCACATTGATTGCAAATTTGCTGGCAGCGAAATGTCGTGAATACAGCGTGAATAGACGAATATAGTGCTAAAATGTGTCATTTTTAAACTGCTCGAACATTCCCTATCCTTTCAAACCCCAAAAAACCTACTGTACGAGGATCGGATATGATAGCTGCAGCCGAAGATGATGTAGCAAGTCCGCGTTGATCGAATACATCATGGGGCTACAAATGTTTGAAGGTTTTAATTTTGAGACATACCGTATCGTATCCTGGCAAGTATAGCCAGTCCCAACCATCAGCTTCTCAGAGAACAGTCTTGCGACGTAGTTCCGGAATTTGTCGCGAAACTGAAAGAATCGCATATACAGAGAAGTTGTTTTTATGAAAGCCGAAGAGAAAATTTTGCAAAAAAAAATCGTCTGGTGTTACCATCGCTTCATAAGAAAATCCAATGGCTGGAATTCTATCGGTTTGCTCTTTCTAAAAGGTTTTTTTTCCAATTTATGCCTAGTAAAGAAATTAATGGGTTTATCTGTCTTTTTAATTTGAGCGCTGTACCAGCTTTTGTAAAAAAAACTGCAAAATACTTACATCGCTTGTGTAGAAATATTTGACAGCCATCAACAGCTCCCTTCTAGCCTGTACCATCTCGGCGGGGCATGTGTCCAGCAAGTTGAAAATGCCAGAGAGCAATTGGGGCGAATTGGCGAAGACGGCTTCTGGAGAAGACTTGGCGATGAACGCCACAAAGTTCAGAGTCTTCATTTGACAATTGAAGAATTCGTCTCGGAGCTCGCTAAATCATTTAGACAATGTAGTTGTGAATTTCGGATTATCTACCTATTGACTGTATTGCGTTGATCTTTGACGAATGGTGGAACTGGGACCGTCAGATTTGTAAACGAAATCATCGCTTTCATCAGCTCCGAAATCTGATTTTCAATGTTAACCGCGAGTGTACTTTTTATACATACCTCGCTGACAATCTGTGTTTTGTAATGATGATAGATCAGAATAAACAACAGCGCCATTTCAGACAACAGCTTCAGCGACTGAGAGGCCCTCGGGATCAAGAAGTACTAAAAATCATGTGTAATTCCTTTTGCTAGGTTTACCTCGGGTTCTTTCGGTTGTCCTTCCTGGTTGTGAGGCCCTTCGGAAAAATAGACCTTTTGAGGGTAGAAGCACGTGAGTAGATACTAAATGGTCTATTTTATATTTTCTGATTCAATCTACATGAGCAATAAGCGCATCCTCTTGCATCGGCTGTGTGGGTCGTCGTGGTTTCAGCAGCTCAAACATTTTCGGGTCGGCGATGTGTTTGTGCATATCAAAGAAGGCATTGCGGAAATGTTGTACGATAGAGGCAATATCTAGAATGGCATACCATTTTTATGAAGCGTCTAAAATATCCTACCTCGAATCTGCACTTCCTGATGTATCCGAAACGTTCGAACGTGATCGACAAGAATTTTTAGAGCCAGACACCCGTTATCCTCGTTGTCATCTTTGATCAAACGGAGCATCAGTTTTTGCGTATCACATGTATGACGCTTTGCTACCTATAACCAGCCTTATAAAAATTCTGATGATCCTCCCCTACCTCGTGAGAGCTCGTCCTCAACATTATTTCCAACACCAACTTTCTTAATTGCTAAATTCGCAGTAGTTTGGGTCACGCTTAATTACCAAACCTGTGTGTTATTCTCCTGAATAAATTGCGGATTTGTGTCCACAAACAATTTGAAGAAGGCTCTAAAATTTATGTTATAAAACGAATTTTTAACGTTGTCCGCTGACGCGAAATTACATGAAATTCCTCCAAGCCCTTTGGAAAGGCAAACATACCGATACAAAGCGTCCAGTGCCTGTGCATAAGCAGGAGAATTTGAGTAGATGTCGAACATTGTCCAAATTTCCTAGAATTTTTCATAGTGAGAATATTTATCCGGAAAACTTACCCGCAAAGCGCACAATTTGGCATCATCCCGTTGCGTATTCTCAGTTAATGTTTTCAACAAATTATCGATGTTGCTGGGTTGTTGCGGCTATGATAAAGACATGTAAAAGTTGATATTTATAAACTAACCGGAACCGGTTGCCTAGATGGCGCAGGCGAACTTGCAGCCGGCTGCTGCATTTTCAGATTTGAATGGCCCGCTTGTGGGGCTACTAGAAAACAATTTTGATAAGAATATTGTTACACAAATGCAAATAAGGGAAACGGGGGAGGTTAAATTTATAGAGCAACGTCTCATTACTGAAAATAGATCAGAAGGCGCACGTTCGAACTCAAAAGCACGAGTTTTCGATCAATCATCACTTCTACGATTCTTTACACTTATTAAATGAAGAAATTTCGCAATAAAAACCATAATTTTACAATCTACAAAGGCTAAGTTTATTGCTCCACAAAATAGGCTTAGAAACAACAAATGATAACTCCCGGCACTCCCGAACCGCTATAAATATCATCACAATGCCAAGGAGAAGCTGTTCCAATAATTTTTTGGTCATGATAAATTCTATAACATGGAGTTATACTAGATCTTATATAGAAGACCTCGACTTCAATCTCCATCCTGGGTGTTTGAATTTCCCGGGCGTGCCGAGGATCGGTTCGTATTTACCAGGGTATGCCCGCGTACTACGCAGATGGCACCGTAGGCACTTGGGAATCCAGAATTGGGGGGCCCAGCACTGAGGCAGGGTAAGCCACAAAACATTAATGGGTGTGAATTAACGGAGGGTGATGGGGGCTGGGTCGAAGGGGTCATGCGTGGTATGCAAAAAAATTTTGGAATGCGGGAATATTGGCATATCATTTAAGAAACACAAAATTTGCGTGAATAGGCCAGAAACGTCAAAAATAATTTTTGGAGTTTTGCTAGGATTTTCGGATAGTTTTAGTGTTGACGAAACTTTTCATGTAATGGTAAATCGTACTCACAAGGAGACGTTTTGGAGTGTCGTCTGGACCTCGGGATGGGACCAAGCCTATCTTCTTCAGAATTTTGCGCTGATTCCAAATTGGAAAATTATGAAGGACCAGGGTTCAAAAGCCGCTTCGCGACTTTTCAACCCTGGCCCCGTCTGATCCCATGATATTCTTCACTTTGCATAATTCTCGCGATTTATGATGACAAAATGCGAGACGCTACCCCTCTTGCCTTATATAGGCTACCGCAACTTCCGGCGTATGCAAATTGTTTCCTAACAAAGAGGGTGTCCGATTTTTCAACTAAAACTTAATTTTAACATCGAAAACAGCTACTTTTTGAAATTTTTATAGGTGTGTAGTCATTCCTAGGCCATTACGCAGCTAATGATGTATAATAAATACCCCTAACTGCCCTCTTTATTGAGATACTACTGGAACACGCTGACGGAAGTTGCGTGCAAAGTGGCACACACACACACTATTTTTTTTATATATAGTAGGATTTAAGCCTAAAAACGCCGGAAAACAGCTAACTGGATGGACATAAATGGTTTCGGAATATGTTTAGAAAAAAACCAGCTGGTGCATCTTGTTCAAAAATTCATATTCTATATCTCTATTGAACAATCTGCTTAACTTATAAATTATGAAATTTGAAAATTTTGATGAAATGAAAGCATCCAAATGTATAAGATTTGTTACTTTTTCAAGCATTTTGATTAAAATGGTACATTCTTGAACGAGAGAAACGGTTCTGTAGGTGATTAATATTTCTGCTCTTTTGCAAGGACAATTTTGCATTTTTGTTTATAGTGTAATAAGAATAATAAAGTGTACATTGCATTGAAAAATGATGTAAATCTCGAGCTTTATTCAAAACCGTGGAATGCCAACAACCCGATCTCTTGGCGCACTTGCTCTAGGTAATGTTGTTGGCCCTTTTTTCAGAACTGAAATCTCCTTCATTTCATTGTTGTTCGTTATCCTCGGCGTTCCCATCGGTGCTTCTTGGGCAATCTGAAAAAAAAACGTTGAATCAAATATAATCTGTAAATATACCATTTCAAGACGCCAGTCCTACCTCAATTGGTCCATAATGTTCTTCATTCGCGGGCATTCCATCGCCGCTATGCCGACTAATGGTCAGCCGACCAAGTTGTTGTCCAATCGTTTTCAGTCTAGCGACGACTTCGGTCCTGAAAGCAAATTTTAAATTTTAATAGCAGAAATTTACCTATCAAAATCGCCGGAGCTGAGCTCGTTGACGATTTCTTTAATTTTTTGCGCTGCACTAGCCGTGTGGATGTCATTTTCGTTGAGGCGTTGTTGTAGTACAGCCACTTGCTCTTCCAGTATTTGCACTTCCTGCAGGTTGCTTGACATTTGTGGGGTTTTCTAAGTTAGGGAAGGCCTGCTGCCGGCACCCCCTTAATTTTTCGACGGAGGACCCGTAATGGCAATAAAATGATTAATTGGGGGATGATTCAGATTTCCTCGATGAGACTAATCATAGCAATTTTCGGCCTTATGGGATTTTTTTAGTAAAGGGCTCCGACATTTGAACATTCTTAGATTTATAAAACAAACCCTACCGTATCGGTTACTGGCCGTGGAGTGTCGGATTCTTGACGTTGATATCTGCGACTCTGACGATGGCGTTGTGCTAAATATAAGAAATTAGTTTTAGATTGAAAGGATTTGGTGCATTAATCCCAAAATTGTAAGGAGTTCAAAAGGAAAAGCTACAAAGTAACCTGAAATACCGAACAGACGTTTGCAACAAAAATTCCGGAATAGACCTAAGCAACGGGTTTCTCGAAATTATAAACACTAACGTTTAGTTATGGACCAAAAATCGTCCCTTGAACAGTTATAGAAATGTACCTCTGCTCGGTTTCACGGGTGGTGGCTGGGATGAAGTACGATACTTTTGTGAGCTGCTGCTCGGATGAATTGTGCCTTGTACCGTTATATTTGTATAGTTACGCACTGTTAATTCTTTGGGCTTTGGATATAGCTAAATATAAAGTTATTTTTAAGTTCTCTCTATATAACCTGAGGAGATTTGTAATGCAAAACCAGCTGCGCAAATGAGGCGACGTCAACGACAGGTGGATATCGCATCAAGTATTGTAGACAAGCACCGTAATCAGAGACTAACACTGGAAGAATTTTTAAGATGGTGATTTTTTTATGTTGAATGAAATTAAGCACTTACAATTTTCACGGATATATACAAGCATTGCAAGGAAAATGCATTTGACGATTTGAGCAACGGGTCGATCTGAGAAAATGAGATCCCAAAGGAAGAGTAGGTCTGGTAAGGGGAATTCACGGCCAAAGAGCAATCGCAGCCATCTTCTAAAATTTCATATAAATCTATAATAGTAACTTGTAAGGCTTTCGAATTAATATGTTGAATTCCTCACTTACATTCCATAAAGTTGAGCCGGTATGTCCAAGTTTGACAAATGCTTCGAAAGCTCAGGGTCTTTCAACTCCAACGTATTTCCATATTCTTTCAGTTTTTCTAGAAGCTGGGAAGTAGCTGTGGAGTCCTGAAAACACCGAGAAATAACCAAAATTAGTTAATAAGTAAACCTGAAGTCTCTCAAATGGATGTGGTTCCGGGGGGTCGGTAACTCCATCTTCATACCATGGAATAATCTCACGCATTACCTCACAAAATATTGAGCTTAATGTTACGATATATATTATTAAAAGCAAAGATGACCTACTATGCATCAGCCTCTAAAAATGTGTTGTCATGCAATTGATGAAGGAGATCCTGCTCCACTCGATCAAGGGCCCTAAAAATAATTAAATTAAATCGAGAAATAAACTCATATATACCTCAACTGAAACTCTTCAGCGGCGTGATGAAAAGCCTGCTGATCATTGTACAGAATAAAAACGAGCGGCGCCAAAATTTCGTGCATACCCTAAAATATAATCCTTAATAGACAAGAAATAGTAAATTTTACCTGTTTGTACCCGAGAAAACTATTTTCTTTTGCATACACTAATAATACATTGCACATCATCTTTCGCACCGATGGATTTTGGAAGTATTCCATTTCAGGAAAGCTAAAAAGCTCTCAAAATCAAAACATACAAATGAACTGCTTACGTTCTTTCGACATCTTTCAAAATTAAACTTCTCAACTCTCCATCAGCAAAATATCTTGACCAGCAAGACTAAATAAACGAAATGCAATGTTATGTAAAATTTTTTTGGACCCACCCTTGTATTATTACTGAGTGGATTGTCGATTTCCGGATCTTGTGGGCAGGAGTTACGTGGATTTGCGATATGTTTGTTCTTAAGACAAAAACCTTAGAAAGTAAAAAAACTCCAGCATACCCTTAGACCCATATAATTTTGACGATGTCGGTCGAGTACCGTACCCCATTCGAGACAATTTAATGGTAATACATTAAGAAGAATCTGAAGTTCATAGCTTAGACTTTTATATTCAAGACTGGTAAACTTAAAAAAAAAGATTTTAGAAGTTTTAATAAAGTCTGATAAAAAAATGTCTGATAAAACGGCTTCTACTATTAGTGAATAGACCCAAAGATTATAACAAATTAAACGTACACGCCATGATATTGAGCGCGTGGCAGCTGTCCGCAAGCTTCCCGTTCGGCATAAATAAACAAGATCCGCCCATCCTAATTCATTTTTGAGGTAACGGCGGTATTCTTCGCTAAAATGACTTATTATTTGATGTTGATTAATTTACTATAGTTGGTGTCCCATTGAAGTTTTTGGAAATAAATAATTAATTTTGTATTTATTTAAGTGGTGCCGCCGGAGAGGTGTGGCTATCATCTGTCTGACCTAGGTTGCCGCAGGGCATATGCTTTGGCCGAGTGACGTAAAGGTTTTGGCCCAAAAACGGCTACTTTTTGTGTAATTTCATTGACGTAAGGCCAATAATGTTATCAATAAATTTTTGGTTGTAATTTAGGGCCAGTTTAAAAATGCTCCTAATTTGCAAGGGTGTTTTGAGATTTTAGACAAAAGAAAACAAACATAGCTGCTGAAAAGTTGTGCCTTCTAACTTAGTTTTAATCTTAAAAACCCACACAAATTGGTTGCTGTGAGCGGTGGCCATTCCTTAGCGAATCATTTTTCGCGGAGGGGGTGTTCGAGAGGGGGATTAGTGACAGGGCAGATGCAAAATATCAGTTGGGAAGGGGGGGGGGGTAGAGGTCGAGGGATAATAGGGCCGAAGAGGGGACAGACACCAATACCCCCGGCACACACAAACACCCTCTTTTTTTGGTCTCTGACACACGGCAATGGGGGCCGACAAGCCAATTCTACCACAAAGCCCCCGAATTTCTTTAAAGGAATGGGACAGAAAACGGTTTTTGGAAAGGCATACTGTGTTATGGACTGCAATCCTCTCATCCGGGTTTTTTAAAGGGACCGGGAAGTCAAAGTAAAAACTCCGTGGTAGAGATGCTGTATTTAAATAAATTAATCGCCCAGCTAAGGCTATTTTGGGATGCTTATTTGATGCGAATTTCCGGTTTAGGTTGTACTTGAACAACGCAAAGCTTAGAGAAAATTATCCGATTTCTCTAAATTTATCTAAATGGCATTTAAATATGGTGAAAGTTGCTAAAAGTATGCCACTGTTTCGCAAACAAATGGTCTTATTCCACATCGCCCAATCACCCCAGTAACATTTTTTCACGACAAGAACTCGCGGGCTTGATCTCAATCCAATCCGACCAGCCGACAATTCGACAGTGCCACCCGATTGAGGAGGACGAGGGGGGATCGTGTGAGCATTGTGTCTCCCGGCACAATGCCACTCTCTCCTGACCAACAATGGATGCCCGGATCTTCCCTGCTTTACCCTTCGCTCTTCCTTTTTTTTGAAGGGAGATCAGACATCTTTTAAACCCCAGGCTAAAGGGATTGAGAAGTGATCGGTTTGAGGACGTGAAATTGACAAATTTTGTGGGAGTGAAAGCATTAATGGGAGGTAAAAAGCTACGTTATTGCTGAGGAGGGTATGAGATAGTTCATTGCATAGAACTTAAAATTATACAAGGTTCCAATTACCAGAAAAATGCTGAACGATTACATTTTTCAAGAAAATCGCTTTGAAAAGGCTGGTTTTGCTAAATTTTGCTAAATCCGCTTAACAAAATATGATTTTCGGTAAGCATTTCTGTCAAAGTTGTTTAATAAATTTTATTTTTTGGTATTTTTAGAGCTTTGGCTGGTTGTTTTCTGAACTTTCAAGCTCTATCGAAGAGCTATGTGACTTCGTAATGCTCTATTATTACCCAAGAACACCTGCTGCTGTTCTTCCACATTGAATTGGCTTTCACGGTAAAAGTTAGCGACAACAATAAACAGTACCTCACCGATAGACAACTATCAACACCGGTAGGCACCCGCAGTTGCCAAATCCTTTTTGGCCATAATTGATGGATGGTTCCAGCTCGACAATATCTAGCCCCAGAATATGGCCTCACCTCTATAGTGCATTCTGCAACGTTGTGACGTCTAGTTTGTGTATATCGCTGGTGTGGATCGGTCTCCCGATGAAAACTTGATCACGACGAGCTACAACGTCCCCATTCGCATCCCCCCACAAACACGACCGCGAATTTTTGGTGTCTACCCCGGACAACAATTTGTTGTTCCTGTCTGGACCGATACAGTACGATGGAGTCGAGTCAATCTCGCGACCTCAAATTTACACTTTCGCTCTCAGTCGCTAAAATCACTGATCCCATCCCATTGACCTGTAAATTGCTGGCTACGCCGCTGAAAAAAAAAACAGGTTTTCCTGTACTCTATTAAAATGCCCCTGATCATTGAGATTATTGGTCTTTATCACATCATTCAACCTCCTCGATTTTCAGTAATTTCCTCGGCAACCCCCTACATCACTTTTAAGCAAATATTTTTATTATTCGCCTCTCAAAGCGCTGTAGGCTAAAATCAGCGCGGGAGCCCAGGAAAACAGTGGAACGTTACGGGAACAGGCCCAGAAACCGGTGAGAGAAAATGTGCTTCTTTTCAGCTTCTTTCCAGCTTCTTCTCAGCTTCTTTTCCCTTTCATAGGTTGTTTGGAAAATGGAGTGTGCCTATCCCCAACCGTGTCACAATGCCCTCCGAGGCTCATTTTCATCCATTTTTACTCTGTTTTTGCGTTTTGACAAGCCTCTTCTCTACTATCCGCCCACCTGAGAGGGGGTTGGCCATACAAGGACTGTGGGCAGGATCTACCATCACGGCTTCACGATATAAAATGTATTTCGGAAAATGCCTTGTTTTCCACAAGGTATTTTTATTTCTTCGATCACTCTCCGCGAGACTAATTAATCGATGAATTTAAATGTCCTCGAGTATCACACTTTTATAGATTCTTTACCTAGCTACCTATTTTGACAAGCCTGGCTTACGGTCTTTTATTTTTATGTTCGCTTGTTCATTGTGTTTTCCCCTGAATTCCCTTCTATTAATTTAAAAACTGAATTCCTATGCATATAAAACGTCGACAATTTTCTAAAAACTAACCTTTTCCATCTCGACACTATTATATTCAAATATATCCAAACCCTTTAGAGTACCCCTTTCGCAAAATGGGCATACCGTACAGGATATTAGCATTGGTAAACATTCAATCTCACCCACCAACTCAAATTTAGCTGTTACTTACATGGGAAGCTTCTGCTCAGGAGGCAAATGCTCTTATAGCCGGTGATAGCAGCTTTGTAAGTTCGAAATTCTAAACCGTAAGGCTCTATTCAAATAAGATTGGTGCTCCGGGTGTCAAGGCTAGATTGACCCTCTCCGGTGTGACGGCCGTCGCCAAAATGGTCGCAAAAACTTTAGCATCAGAAATTGCGCAAGCCGATCATATTGTGACGTCTCCGGCTGTCAAGGTTGGATTGAAATATATTAAAAATACTATATAAAACCTACCTCAGCTTGGTCAAACACAAATGATGGCTAATTCGCCGAGGTTAAAGTTATTTAATGATGTCAATCAGGTATGGGATATCTAGAAACCATAATTTATTATTAAAAACGTTATTAGGTTACGGTAGATATGGTGCCGATCGGTGCTCTAACTGCACATATCACGAATGTTAACGCAAGGTTTGTGGTTTTGATAATTTTAACAGGATAATGCCATCAATGAAATGGAAAAAATTGTTGGCGCTTGATAACTGTCAGATTTTAGTGTCCCATTCGATGTTTCCGGAACTTTCAACGGAATGCCCGTTTCCGGGGAATTTGAACTTCTCTCCTCTGGATTCGGAATGGATGTCACGCTGTCAATCAAACGAAACCCCCGAGGCAATCCTCTGATCACGGTATTTTGGTGGTTGGTGTGCCGGAATGTGTTGTTCAATTATAGATCCTCTCATGCCGTGCCATCCCTCCACGTGCTCCCCTCATTGTTCATGGCTCCGCGACTGCCAGGAACGATCTTGTCACTCAGCTGCAGGTTCGGCTTCATCCTCACTGGCTGTTGCTTTTCCTCAAATAATTGAGATAAAATCGGGCGGAAATAAATGGGGGGAAGGGATGGTTAGACTTTACTTTACCCCCTTTCCCAACCGGAAGTTCCGAAAAATTTTCGAGAATTCCGCTTTTTCGTCGGGATTTTGGCTACGCCATTCGATAGATCAACATAAAAATATAGTAAGAGTTTTAATTACAGCCCAAAATAATGTAAAATCAAAAAGTTATAGCGAAAAACTTTTGGGAACTTCTGGCTGGGGGGTGGGGGGTAAAGTTAGGGGTAATTTTTTGGTCCACGTAGAAAAAACTAGAAGCTTAAAAAATTAGAGAGCATATAATAGCGTAGTTTTTGTGGAAATAAAGAATGAATCAACATTTTTTTAGAGCACAGCTTCTTCCTGGGCTGTACCCCTCTTCGAATCAACAGTCTGTGCAAAACTTGAATTCATCGTCGACCACCGTGTCAATCAAAGATTTGCGCTTCTTCCCTCTAAAGCAAGTTTTCAAACCGTTTAAAAACATATTCGCCTTAGATTACCCTTCAACAAACCGCAAACTTCGATCTGATGCAAGCGATGATCGATGCAGATAAAGAAATCAGGAGGAAAGCCCGGTATGCGGAACAGGTCCACCCGAATTCATTTGTTTAGCAGCCGCTCACGTCGTGCTCCAGCTCCAGGCACCCTTCAAGCTTTTATTTCCAGCAATTTTAACTTGGTTAGTGTTTACCTAAAATGATAAGACCACTTTTGACATCGAAAAATGCATTGGTATCGTTTTAGTCACGCGCCGAAGGCCTAGTGCTAGATTATGGAGTCGTTACAAGTCCGACCCTTTCTGCCCGGGGCATCGAAATGGATTCTTCCGGTTTGCCCCGAAAATATAATCCTTTGATCCCGCTAAATTTAGGCGAAATCTCGGCCCATAATGCGCCAACCCCGTTTGGCCCACGACCAATTGCCCTATCTCCGGTTGTCGGAAATGAAATGTTTGAGGTAGAGGATTTACAATAAAACATTGAAAACGTTTTAGATTGTGGTGTCCGATTTTGTGCCCAATAGCTTTATGTACCACGGGCATCGGTGAGTGTTGCTTCGAGAATTAAGAACTGTATTTAGGATCGGAATGTTTAACACACGAGTGGACCCGACCACGCCTCATTTTGGGCCTACTATGCGAACGACTTGTGATTTAAATTCGGGTAGGTTAGAAGATAGTAGACGGGGCTTATCATTGCCGAGAGGGCAAGTAGGGTCGAGACAGGGCCATGGCTTGACAGGCAACTGTCAAAGGAGCCCTCCTGGACCCAACTCCCATCCTCCGTTGTGGTCTAGTGGTTAGGATTTATGGCTCTCACCCATAAGGCCGGGGTTCGATTCCCCGCAACGGAAGAACGTTTTGCTTTTTGAAAATTTGATAGTTGCACTGTTGCAGAGTAGAACTTCTGAATTTTCAAGATTACTTTTTTCAGGCTCCTTATTCTGTGTTGGCGATCTCTTCCCCACTCTCCGTGATCAATTCCCCGACAAGGAGCTTGTATTCCTCTTCTCAACCCTGAAAGCACCCGCAGTCATTGTTCACAAAGAAAATGATGGTATAGTTAGCACACCGGCAACGGCTTCCGGTCCGGGTTACGGTAGCTACTAGGTACCGAGAGGTGGAGGAGCAGGAGAATGGTGGCGGTACTATTCAACGGATAGCAACTAATCCCCCTGTGTGCACATCTAACCAATATAATTTTTAGCCTCGTTGGGTGGTGCCGGATGGATGGAATAAGATTGTTACGGTGTTGAGAGATTTTTCATTGTTTAGGGGGAATTGCATTTGATCTTCTTGGTTTGATCCGAGTGCAACAATATGATCCAGTGACGAAGAAAGAAACACCTATTGGGGAGATGGAAATTCAGGTAAGTAAAAAGGGTCTGATGAAAATGCTCTACCTATCCCAGATCACGGCACAAATGAAGATGAGGATCACGAGTAAGGTGGTAAAAGGCAAAGTTCTGTTGGACAACATATTCTTGGTATGTGCAAATCGGAATATTAATTTTGCGTTTTAGCGAACCCGAACGCCAAGTGTTCTCGTTCAAGAAGAGCTGGATGATGCATCGCTGTTGTCACGTGAAATCCTGCAACGAATGGTCAACGACATTATCAAGCAGGGTGTCCCAATCCCGGTTCACCCACTGTTTAGGCTCAAGAAGCCGACGGTAAGCATTTAAACGCATTTAAAACAAGCCTTCTGGTTATTACCGTATTATTACTTGCAATCCTTTGTACATCTCAATTTGCAGATGAGACTCGGCGATCGTTCACTGATCCTTGAGACTTCATTCACCTTGAATCGACGCCTAATCAATCAGTTGACTGCTGCCCATTTGTCTTCTGCTTAATATGACCCACTTCACGTTCAACCCCACCCTTTTTAGAGCAAATTTCCAATTTTTGTACAGCTGATGTGGACCTTTAGGGGCGATCCTTCCAAAATACAAATGAAACACGTGTGCTATGAAATTCGGGTCCAGCTTCTCCCAGTGTTGCCTATTTGTTTTCCACAAACACTGATCTCATGCTAGTTATTTAGGCCTTGGAATAAAGTTTTTTTTTTTTGTAATTGAGCCGAAATAAAGACACATATTTATTAGGAAAGACAGGTTTGTTTTGAAAGCACTTTGTGGGATTAAACCCGTGGTGTGATAGAATTGGCGATGCATTCAGCCAATGACGTCTCACAAGGGAACCTAGATATGTTAAAAAAATGTATCTAGGCGCCTTTGGAATCCATACTTGTGATAGAATGTGGTGCGATCAACTTTGTAGCATCGATGAAGTAGTCCGTCCATCAGGAGATCACGGCCCAATTCAACAAATAATCCATTGTCAACGCAACCTGGTAAAACATCATGATGATCACGCTTTTTAAACGGCTTTACAGTTACGCTGAGCAAGCATAACTAACATACCTAACACTTGCAGAGTTCCATCTTGCATACACTGGTAACGAACATGACGATCGGTGAAAATCTTAAAAATATTTTTTTTTTGTATACCTGTATTCATTTTATAGACTAACCTGATTAATGTTATACACCTCATCATCACGAACACATCCGATTACTTTAACAGTGTATCGCACCTTTCCAGATATAATTTGCTCGCATTCATGCCTGCAAATATGCTGCTCTCCTCACAGTTCCTATAGGGATATCGAAACATCCCCTACCTATAATGGCCAACAATTCGTGATTCTCCAACTTGGAGCACGTCATAGATCGAGTTCTGCAGATAGCAGCCTGAATTACGGATCGATTGACTGTATCCAATTACATAAACATACCGTCAATTGCGACACCTTCGTCACGGCACGTCAGTTTGAATGACCCGTTACGGAATGAGTCGCCGACATTGTAATGGACACCATTTTCATAGCACATCGATTCTAGATGCGGCTCATCTGATCGTAGAAATTACATACCTTGCTCATAAGTGACAGTATCAGCAGCCACATTACACTTGTGGCGGATTCCATTCTTCACAAAGGTCCTTCCCAACTGAATGACCGAGCCGTCCTCACTGACACAGGCTAAAGGGGTCAATTACAAAACTGTCCAATTATTGTGAAAACAATGGATCAGGGAATGGGCATACCCATGACTTCAGCGGTGCCATTGTTGCATAGGTAATGGAAATTTCCCTTTGAGAAAGACGAGCCATGATCATGGACGCCGGCCTCGTGCATGACACACGGAAGTGGGGGCAAGAGGCCATCCGTCACTAAATGTATCAGTTGTTTTATGTAATTATTGAAGTATTGCTTTGTTATCTGCGTCTATACATCTATCTACCTCCTTCGGTCGAAGATTATCTTTTGTTTTCAACGAAGTTATTTATAGAATATGCCACGGTTATTCCCCAACTTTTCATGCTCACTTTCATAAAGGTGTACCTGGGATGACGATCCTTTCAGAAGCATGCATACCCATTCCATGAGGGGTCAAAATCACTTCGCCTTCTTCGATTGTTCGTCCCAAGAGACAAGGCAAGAAAACGGCCAGCCACAAAATGGGCCACATCATCCCTAGGGTTGAGGATAAGCTTCAATTTAGGTAACCCAAGTCGCAGCATGTTAAGACCGTGAAGAAGCTTTTTTAAAACCCCTGATAAATCACCTTAAATATTTTTTGGATTGGTAGCTGTTAGCTCTAGTTCAAAATTAAAACACCGAGGAAACCCTTAACAACTGAAGGTTGGGAAGAAAGAGAGTTGGAGATAATTCGTGAATCGAAGGGGAAGTGAAGGGATAAGTAGGTGTGATCGTCGGTTCTCGGCGGACAAATCGTGTCGATCCCATCAATGGAGAAGCTGGGTCACCACGGCCATGCCCCCATTTGGGGTCAACTCATCTAGCGCAATGGCTCTCGCTTTTCGGTCCGGACACCTCGGACCTTTTTTCAGCCTGTTTTTCGGCGCTTTGTCTCGACACCACCCCAGTCGAATCGATGTGTAAGATCAATCGCAAGAGAAAATTGACACGCCCTAAAATGTCGATGAGGAAATAGGGCAATGCCAGTGCAAATAACTATTCGACGTTAACTCCATCGGGTAATAGGACCACAAAATTTGGTGTATAGTAGTATCTGCGCCAAAGCCACAATGTGCCTCATTAACGCAACTAGCTTCAATCAAAGGAAAAGGTATAATTTGACACATTCCTTTGAAGCAGATACCCTTATTTCGTTCCTTTCCAGCAATAAAGGCCCTGCAAAGAACAATAGAAGCCTTAGAAGAGAATCCATCGCCAGGCAGCTTGGACAATCAAGTACACGCCTAGCTATCTGGAGGATGGACTTTCCTCAAACGACTTTACTAGCGATAGATACGAATCCTCGAAGACGAAATACTAGCAACCGACTTATTGGAGGTGAAAGCCACCAGCCAAGCTTATAAACGCTTAGTGGAACTGTTTACGTAAGCTATCCGTGGTGCGTTTCTCCGCCATACCAGTCTATTTGTAAACAATCAAACCATCAATAGTCCATGAACAATATACGGGGGCGATAATTAGGTCTGCCACCCGGCCCTGAAGAGGTTGGTGGACACGGTGACAGCCTTCCACCCACTAGGATACCTTTCCAGGCTTCATCGCTGGACCATTGAGACTATTGAACGCGGAGCAAACGGTATTTCATGCAACGTTTTTATTATTAGACAAAAGGAACAGGAAGGGCACCACATAAAATCACATCGAGTTAGACTATTGCATCTAAAAAACAGACACGAAAACATGACTCGCATTACATACAGTTGACCCAATGAAACACAGGGGTGAGACAACAAAGGCGCGGGAGAGGTGATGAGATTTGGGGGATGTTCATAAACCAAGCAACTAGTAATTTGTGCAGCGATCGAGCATCGGTCTATTCGAAGAACGCCTCCTGGCTCAAGCGAACGCAGCGGGCGACGCGTTTCTTGTATTCAGCCGGGTCCTGCCTGTACATCTTCTGGAAAACAGAATATTAATAAAAGCCACGGTGCCAACAAAAGCGCTATACAAACTGAAACCCAATCACCACGTGGATTTCTACAGGCTCTAGAACATGAAAAGCCGTAATCAACTCACCGCGGCGTCAATGTTGGCTGGCGACTCAAAGTTCGGGTCGGTCAGCATGGAAATGACCGACAGGAGAATCGTCTCGACGGTGTGGACCGGAAGCCACCTTTCAGCGGCAGCCTCATAACCAAACCTAAACAAAAATGTAATAAGCCATAAGAGGAAACTTACGAATCATTTCCCGGCTCATGCAGAATCGAGATGCACACGTGCCCATCGGGACCAACTAGAAAAAATACGTTTTTTTCCACCATAAAGCATACTATTAGGGTGCCACATCTCGGACACGAAGCGCATCTTGGGCGGGCGCGTAGGATATTCCTGGGGGAAGTTGAGAAGTGCCTTGAACGTGCCCCCCTCGCTGAAAAGAAATGTATCTGGACAGAATAGGTATTGAAAGTGGCAATAACCGCTAAAATGCGCTCTATTGGAGACCCATACGTAAAAAATCTTGCCGAATCACAGAAACATTAAAAGGAAGAACATACTATGGGGAGTCCGGAGGACCCATAACCAGAACCTCCCACGCGAAGATGTTGATTTCGCTGACCAAGCCGGCGCTGAAGCCTTCGACGGGTGTACGCTGCAGATCTACAAAAAAATATTTAAACGCTAGCAATGTTGTACCACGGAGCTGCTTGGACAATAGAAGACCAGAGATGCTGCTCGAAGGAACGTTGGACATGACTCCCTGAAATCAAACGATTAAAGAATACATGAAAACGAACAGTTCGTGACGGAAATAAACGAACCGAGACACGAGTGATGATCGAAAGGAAGGCCAATAGAGCTGAGGGAAAAGCTATGGCAAAGTTAAGTTTTCGGTGCCAAATTTATCTAAGCAAATGAACGATTGCGCAATAAACAAGGGACAATCAAGTGCATGAACTTTTGGACATAAAGAGTAAATTTAAAAAGTCATTTTCATGTAACGAACAAGTCAGTCAAGAATTTCGTGGTAATCAAAAGATGTTCGGACGCAAGTAAAAAGAGCAGGCAGTAAATGAAAATGAGTAAAATCAAACGCAGGCGAGAGTGTTATTACATGAAAGGTCCGGGTCCCGAGTGGAATTGCCTGCCGTGCACGGGGTGAAGCCATCGCTTTAGCTAACAATGGAAGTAGGAAGAATGGGGTGTTAGAAGATGGCCAACCGGTGGTTAGAAAACAAATAATATGTCTTCTAGGGCTATATTATCTTCTAAGACCTATTTTTGACCTTTCTGAGAGAAGCCTGTGGACGCCTGGCAGCGGCTTAGCCAAAAGCCTCGCTATCTTCGATAAATTGCAGCACCAGAGCTTTTGATGTGGCTCATTGCGAGTAGTTTCGAATTTGAGACAACTTGAACCTGTTTTGTTCTGATAATGGCGCATTTGCGGTCGAATCCGCGCGTTCTGTCATAATCTGTAAGGTTTCGCTGCAAGGATTTCAAGAAATAGCTACCTGTTGACCAAACCAAATGAAATATTTGGTGCTCGAGATCTTCCTGCATTACGATAGGGGTTTGTTAGAGATAACTCCGTTCTAGACCTTAGAAGTTCGATGGTATTGGCTCATATTCCACAAACGCATTCAGCTATCTTACTTTTAGTCTGTAAATATGCGTCGCTCAGCGAATTCGGTTGCCCACCTTCTCTATGGCCGGCATCATTTTTTCGAGAGTGCAGCTACCGAAGTTCTAGAGTTCAAACGGAAAATGTCTCAAATTTTAATTTCTTTTAATCCATGACTCTAGTTGTAGGGAGCTTCGAGACGTCTTAATTTACCTAATCATTGTGATGTTCATCACACCCAAGAGTTTTGGTAGAACCGTTTTGCAATGGCAACGTCAATGCTCAAGTCTTCCCAACATTTAGACGTCCCAAGGGAGCTTTCCAGTTTCCAAGATTCGCTGCGTTGGATAAGGGGCTTGGCGGTGGGCTGGCGATATTGCGGCCAATCTCCGGTTTATCCAGGGATTTTCGAGGATGTAATGTCCATGTAATCCTTTTGTACTTATACCGCCGCCTAGGTACAAAAATGGCTAATTTCTATTGCTTTCTTTTACTGGTCGTGCATAAACACTCAAATATGCGACGGGCTTTCGAGTACACTCGGCTCTATCAGTTATGCAACGGCAGTTCTTACTTCTTTTGCTGTACCTCCTATGCAGTCTCTTTTCCCGTTATTTTATTGCTTTACTGTTTTGCTCCGCTTTGCTAGGGGGAAGCTCTTCACATCGTACCCCCAACTTCCATTCCTCTTCCAAAAAACTTGCTCGGCTTCTGGCAGAGTGTGAGCCGGGGAGTAAATGGGGGTTGGTTGGCCCATCTCACCAAGAGCCGGAGAATCGCTCGCTGAGCATTCAAAGGGCCCAGCGAGGCCCCAATATTGCGGCTGCCTAGGGAGCCCGAGCCGCCGGCAGGCCGTTGAACTTTGCCCCATTTGCTATCTTTTTTGCCTTTTTGGCCAGACGGAAGCATGGGGGTTTTGGCGTCCATTAATAGACTGGCGTTGAAAAATAATAGCCCGAAATGGCAATTTTGGGTTACGGTAGCGGATCCACGTTCCAGGGGTGGGGCACCCTTTAGCGAACAGTACAATGACTTGGATAATAAAGTGACTCCAATGTAGTTTTCTATTGGTTATTTCACTTTTTTATGGATAAAAATAATTTATAACAAAAAAATCAGACAAGCACACGCCTTACGTTTTTTGCTCGCGCTTTCTTGCTGATTTTTGGCTCGACTGCTTGCTGAAACGCATTTAGAAGTCTTTGTCTCACCGAATGAAATGGATAGCGAGGATTTTCCTATAATAGTGAATATTTCAGGCAGTATAATGTCGGAAGTTGAAGAGTACGCTTGTCCAGCGATGTTTTGTCGCTATAGTACCCCATGGCCAACTACGCTCAAACGACATGTACAGTCCCAGCACCCTGGCATCACTTACCCGGCCTCCCCGGCGCCTTTGAAGGGATTTGCGTGCCAAGAATGCGACAAACGCTACGGCACACAGAAACATCTGCGCGAACATCAGAGATTGAAGCACGCAGCGAAGCCTACTGTTGGGGAAGCGCGAATCACTTGCTCGGTGTGCCCGGACACGTTTGCTAGCCACCAGGAGCTAGTTGTTCACTTCCAGCAGCATGATGAAAAGTACGCGGGTGTTTTTAAGTATATGCTTTTTAGATGTGCAAATGCCACGCTTGAGCTCGACTCTGAAACTATGTTTAACGCATGGCTAAAAGCCACTGAGCATGAGAACTTTTGCTCCTTTTCCATTAAAAGCTCAACGCCCGGCCGCCGTCATTATCTGTGCAGCTATGCTGGTTATGTCGTCAAGTCACCCCCTGCCAAAGGAAGACTAAGCTCAAAAGGCGCCACACACTGTACCGCCCATGTAAACGTATGTTGATTTAATGTCATTTTCGTAAAATCCAATAAGACACACACGAATTCTTCAGGTAGTTGAAAGAAACGATGGCAAAATCAGCGTTAAATACTGCACATACCACAATCACGCACCAGATGTCAAAGCTGTACGCTTATCCGGAAGCGTAACTGAAGAGAAAGTCATCAATTTCCTACGCATGGGTATATTACGAACATATTTTAAATTTTTGTTAGGTATGCCAAGTGCCAAAATTATTGAATCGTTGCGCGCTCCTTTCAACGCCCAGCTATTACGTGGAGAATCGCCAAAATGCCTTGATTTCTATATCACCCCGCAAGACGTCCTAATGATTCGTCAAAGGCATAACCTGATCGAAGGCAGACTGCACCAGAATGATTTGATCAGCATCGGCGAACGTGCGAAAATCGACAAGAACATTATGTATTATAATCCGCCAACCAAATTGCCACAAGCGAGCGGATTCTGCCTCGGTATGTTGCGTTGGATCTTGGAAATTCTGAAATTTAGTATACATGAATCACGTCCAGAAATCCTCCTTGGAAAAATACGGCTCCGGGGGCGTTGTCATTGATGACACGTACAGTGTCACACAATATGCTCTGAGACTCACAACTATGATGGTTATTGACGAACTCGGCCGAGGAATTCCTGTCGCTTTTATGCTTTCTGCCCAGCTGCGAGTTGAAGACCTAGAAAAGCTCTTTGCGGTTGTAAAGTAGGTCATCAAAAAATCGATAACTTCGTTTCAGGCAGTCTCAACCAAACTTCGCTCCTCGATGGTTCATGTCTGACGACGACACCAACTTTTGGAATGCATTTGTAAAAATTTTTCCAACTGCCAACACCACGAAATTGTTATGTCGCTGGCATCAACTGCAGACGATTAAAAGAAACCTGCAGCGTCTGAAAAAGGTTAATTAATCTTACGTAATAGAAAGTTGATAAAGAAGGAACACGGCGAGCGCGTCATGAAGGAGATCCGTGTCTTGTTTTACCTCAATGATCAAAAAGCGTTCGACTTACAACTGGCATATATAACAAACCTTTTGGAAAGCTCACAGGAAGAAGAATTTCTTCAATACTTCAAGGTGAATCCAACCACAAATTTTTACTAAGCCGTCCTAGGAGCGCCACCTCTCACGTGTCGATGAGTGGGCTTGCTGGAGCCGGCTGACTGCGCCGTTTACAACCTCGATGAGCGCCGAGGCTTGGCACCGCCGTCTAAAATCAGAAGTTTTGGGGAACAAACGGACCGGACGTGTTGATGCCTTGATCGACGCGCTCTCGGGATATCCACTTAAATATTACACTCATCTCTTGGTGCAAGATTCTCGATACGCCGTGTCGGGCCGGCGCCAAGAAGAGAACAACCGCCGTCACCGTCTGGCTGTCGAACAGCTTTCAAACTGCACCATTGTCGTTGATGACTCCGGAATGGTTGCTCGAGTTCCATCCAGTGGCGGTGCCGGAAAATTCTACCGCGTCGTAAAAATTGCGGAATGCACCTGCAACGTAAGTTAAGAACTTATTCCAACAACTGATCCTAGGGCGTCAAGAATTTGCATTGTTCCGGTTGCAATTCCTGTCCTTATTCATGGATTTGTGATTGCCAATCGGGTACGGCTTCAGGAATCGCGTGCAAGCACATCCATGCTTTGCACCTAAACTACACCTTCGATCAAAATGCGCGGCAAAATACTTTGGGCGACGCAACCAACGTGCCTGAAATGTAAGACCACTAATCTTTCCTTATCATGCTTCGCAGGGTTGAGTTGGCGAATGACGTTCCAGAGCTTCCTTTGCCAATAGTACACGACCCAGAAGCCGAACACCGCGCGAAGGTCAACCAGTGTCTAAATGTAAGTCGAATACGAAAAAAACAACCTTTTCCAGACCCTCAACGCCTTGCAATTTGCCGTCCGTTCTTCCAAAAACACTCCAAAAATCGATGAGCTTAATGCCTATTTGTCTAAAAAAATGGAGGAGTTCATGGAGGAGGAGAAGTTCGACAAACTTGCCAAAGAAAATAGAAAGGCGACGCCGATCCGCGATGCCAGCAAGACGTACCAGATGGAGAAACGAACCGCAAGGAATGCGTTCTTGGCCCAACAAAGAAAAGCCAATGATTAATCTTTCTAGTCATGTTGTTATTGTTAATTCTGTTGTTCTTGTTGTTGTTATTTTGCTCTTGGTGTTGAAATAAACACTTCTAAATGCGTTTCAGCAAGCAGTCGAGCCAAAAATCAGCAAGAAAGCGCGAGCAAAAAACGTAAGGCGTGTGCTTGTCTGATTTTTTTTGTCATAAATTATTTTTATCCATAAAAAAAGTGAAATAACCAATAGAAAACTACATTGGAGTCACTTTATTATCTAAGTCATTGTACTGTTCGCTAAAGGGTGCCCCACCCCTGGAACGTGGATCCGCTACCGTAACCCAAAATTGCCATTTCGGGCTATTATTTTTCAACGCCAGTATTAATAGTTGCGGGAGCGGGATATAGATCCGGAATCTGGAGGTCCGTAAGAAGAGCGGCCAAAGCTAAAAATAAGGTGTTTAGAGACGTAGTTTTTGCAAATTTTCCGCTTACCGGGCCGATGTGCGCCTTTAGCTAGTGTGTTAGGCTAAATTTCAGCATTGTTATTCGTTTTTATCGCTTCTTTTTGCATTTTTTTTTTCAATTTTTAGCCTTATAACTTTGAATCGGGCATATTGACTGTTTTAAGCAGCATTATAGCTTTGACCTTGATAATTGTGTCGAATTTTATGCGTACGAGACCGGCGAGCGCCTTTATTTTAGTTCTTGAGATCAATATCAGCATTATGTGTCGTTATCGCGCCTCGTTTGCGCGTTTTATCACCGTTGACGATCCAGTATTTGACCTTTAAATATTATTAATTTAAAGTGTAATTTGTGACATTTGTTTCACCAAAAATTGGCTTTACTGTTTGCTAATTTTCATTTCCCGAGCCTTTCGTGCCCCTTCAAACTATTGGTTTGCATGTACGGCATTGCAATCGGGTTTCACTTCCATGTAGGTTTGGCTCCGAGGTGGTGGGGTCGAAAAATGGAAGAGAGCAAAAAGGGGGAAGCAGAGAGGGGGAAAAGCGTGGTGGGCCCTAGGGGGAGGCTTGGTGGGTGGGCGGGGCGTATTCTAGGGTGGAGGGCCCGTTTGCGGAGGCTCGGTTGGCTGTGCCTCTCACTCTTGGTCTCTCTCTCTCTCTCTCTCTCTCTCTCCTCTCTCTCTCTCTCTCTGCCTCTTTGGTTGTTCATGTGTGCCCCTTCTCTGGGGCGTTGGGTCCTCTCTGGTTGGGACGGCTCGTGGGCCCATTTTTGGGGGGTCCACCCGGGGGACACACTTGCCCTTCCGACCCGCCTCAGGGCCCACCTCCTCCTCCTCTCTACTCCCACTCCGGAAATCTTACGTCTTGACCGCACTCCACTCGTCCTTCAATCCACCCCGGTCATTATTATTGACGACCTTCGGGCTCTACCCCCACACTTTGAAGCTTTCCTTTCCTTGCCCATCGATTTCAAGAATAAACAAACAAGGCACAACTTTTCGGGAGCTTTAATTAAATCGAAAAGTTGAAGGCTCAGCTGGTGTTTGGGCCTGTTCGTAGGATGGGCTCGCTTTAAAAGGGGCTGTGCAAACATCCAGCACTGCGGAAGCCTTTCGCAATTGTGGAGTTTATTTTTTACATCGTAATTTCTTCACTTCATGTAAAAACCGGATTGTTTAGGGAATTATACAACTTTAAAATTGTTTACTGAAAATGTTTAAAGTGATAAGGACGGCATAGGACGATCGCCCCCGGATCGACTTTTGGACAAATAGCCAACGGGGGCAATCACGCGCCCAGACTCACAAGGAGATGGTCTCAACTGGGAATCGAATTCGGATTTGAAAATTTGCACACTTATAGAGCTCGACGAGACAAATCGATTGGTGTAACTTTCAGCTGCTGATACAATAACCGCGCCGAGTTATAAGCATTTTAAGTTTTTGCATACATTTTGCGTTTTTTCGGCCATAGCTTCATAGGCCTTCCCCGCCTCCCCATCACCATGGTCTGGTGGCCTAGTGGTGTAGTAGGCGGCCTCCGGGGAATCTAACGATGGTTCGAACCCGTCCACGATTTTTATTTTTTGCTTTTTTGTCCGATGGTTCCTCTTTGCTTTCTGAAGACCTTGAATAGATTTTTACGCATTATTTTAACTCCTCTGGTGCGAAATGGCTAAAAAACATCTCTGAAAAAAATTTAGATTTTTTACCCGAAAGGACTATGCCGGTCCCAAAATAAATTGAAAATTCAAAGCATATCAAAAATCGTGGAGTAAACGTAATTTTGGTAAATAGTGTGTTATCCGAACAAAAACTTTCATCCGCGAAAATTTTTTGGAAATGGTAGTCATAGGTCGGACAAGGGCTCGATGCCCAGCAAGAAAAATTTTTGCGGTGAAGTTCGATGTTGTCGGCGCATCAAAGGAGTTAAAATAATGTGTAAAAATCTATTCAAGATCTTCAGAAAGCAAAGAGGAACCATCGGACAAAAAAGCAAAAAATAAAAATCGTGAGCGGGTTCGAACCCTCGTTAGATTCCCCGGAGGCCGCCTACTACACCACTAGGCCACCAGACCATGGTGATGGGGAGGCGGGGAAGGCCTATGAAGCTATGGCCGAAAAAACGCAAAATGTATGCAAAAACTTAAAATGCTTATAACTCGGCGCGGTTATTGTATCAGCAGCTGAAAGCTACACCAATCGATTTGTCTCGTCGAGCTCTATAAGTGTGCAAATTTTCAAATCCTAATTCGATTCCCAGTTGAGACCATCTCCTTGTCAGATACATTTTCATTCCCTCGCGTCACTTTAATTTTTTAATGAATTATTGTTTAATATTGTTCTGATATTGCCCCAAACGACAAGGCCGGAAATTAGCTTTGCGTTTTGCATATCGGGTGGGGCATGAATATTGTTTTGAGTTTATTTGGACCTCCAGGCTCTTTCAATGGCTGTTTTTTGCGGGTGTGAAGCTGGATGTTGGAAAAGCGGTGGATGACCCATCAACATTCTCATCGCACGCCCATTTTTGCCATAGCCAGGTCGGTCGGTTTGCCATGCGGGGGATGGCCACGCCCAGTCCGATTCGCCAAAAATCCATATACGAGGCCGCATCCCTATTCAAGCGCGATTCGTTCCGTTTCGTAATCCGCGGCAAGCTAATTTTCGGTGGGGGGGGGGGTGGTAAATTGATTTTGCACGGAGATATCATGTGGCGTTAATGGGGGGGATGGAAAGGGTATGAGTTTCGGGTGTCAAGAGGTTTAGCACGGAAAATTTTTGATTTTAGTGGTTTTTTATAGGTTGAATCTCCACTACAGCTATCCAAATTTTAGCGACAATTTTCTGAGAACATGAATGAGATGGGACCTAAACGAGGCCATATCCCGGGGCGTCGGGGGAGAGGGGGATATTGTTGAGCCCTCGGGCTCTTTGCATCCATGCCCCCCAATTAGCATATTCGGCGAGGGACGGAAATCCTTGACCCCGGCTGTCACCACTACCAAAGAGCCATCCGCTGCAACCAGCTACCGCTATGCATATAGTGACAAAGTCAAGACATACAAACCGTATTCTAGCGTTGCTACTCCGACTCAGTAATAATAACACGAACCGGCCTTTAAAATACGGGTATCATTAATTTTTAATTAGTTTATCGACGCTAGATTTTATAACATGCTTTCCATATCAACTTCCCTAATTATGAATTAATATTTTCCCAATTATATAGGCAGTTTTCCCGGAAACTCTCTCTTCACGCATTTTCGCGCGAGAAAATCACTTTGTTTTTGGCTCCTCACCTCCACCCAACCGAGGCCCACATTCCGAACGAAGCTTATTAGTGTTCTCTACCCACTTTGTTTTTAACCAAAACCCCCAAGCCTCCCTCCCCCCCGTTTTTGACACAATCACGTCAACCGAACTGGTTGTCGGGTGCTTTTTCGAGCAACCAGGCAACCCGATTTTCAATTGTTTCTTTCTATGGTTCTATACAAATGTTTCTAAATCATCTTTCAAATCTATATTTTTTTCAGGTCGAGCTGGACGGTGGACAGTATCCAGGCTCTGCCCTGCTCCACCTGCCCGCCCTGTGAGGAGGTATAATCATATCTAAAATGGGCAGCTTTTAGAATATCCCCCCCCCCCCCACTTCCTCCCATAAAAAGCAGTGGGCATTGGAGAAGAGGGGGGCCGTTCCAACGGAATCCCACTGCATTTCCGATATGCCTCCTCCTCCTCCTCTTCTTTGGCGGAGCTCCTCTTTGCCTAGAAGGGGGAGAAGGAGGGTGAATCCGAGATTTGGGGTGACCTCATTATTATTTCATCAGCCCCTATCGATTTCGATACCCTCCCCCGCCCACTCTTCCATTGAATTTTTTCTAGGGCTTCCCCAACATCGCAGCCCTGGGCACAACCCCAGCAGGCCATTCCTCAAAATGACCAAGGATCGGCTTGGAGCCTTAAAGGTGCGGTGGAGTGAAAAATATAAGTGTGGTTTCGAGAAAATACGCAACAAACGTTGTTTATTATTTTGATCTCAATTCCAGGCTGCCCAATCAGAAGATGAGGGCGATGAGGACATGCAAATGGATACGGACAATGCCCAGTTCATGGAGGAATTCTTTGAACAGGTTCGCGTTTCAATTATTTTTATGTTAAATCGTTTCTGCAAGCCTGGGAACCTCTCATTTTTTGACTCTATAAAAATTGTAGTTTCCCACGGGATAGTTTGGGGTAATTTTTGCCTCGGAATCCCTGCTCCGTGCCAATTTCTTATTTGACCGCCACTTTTCCCGGGTTTTAAGATCTTTCTAGCAAGGTTTGGAATGGTCCTATTAATCTATGCACATTTCCCTTGCCTCGAGATGCGGCTCTCTATAAGTTGCGGCTCATTTTCCGCAATCTTTTTTGTTTAAAGGCCATTTCTCACTTCATTTCAAAACACATGATGACCTCGTCCGTCATTCTGTGCGTTGTTCCCACGCGTTTGCCATCATATTTCCGGGGCTGTTCCCCTCGGTACATTTTCATCGGAATTTCGCCTTAATTACCCCGTCCTCTACCCCTTCACAGCATCTCATCTCGTTTTTGTCGTTCCTCATCTCCATCCACCCCGCCATCCCCAACCACATAAACGGGTCCTGAGAAGGAAACCGAGCATATAGACCGACTCAAAAAGAGCCGAAGAATTATTAAAAAAGGCGGGGTCCCCAGGGGAGATGCGAGGGGGTTGTCTTCGAAAATCGATATGAAGCCCTCCGGGGGCAAGAGGATTGAGGGGGAAAAGGAGGGGAGGAAGGGAAAAATAGGAGAAAAGAGGGGGGAAAAGGGCATGAAGCCCTTTTGGGGCCATGTGTGCTAGTTATGGAGCAGCAGCAGAAGAGCTCGACTGGTAGGAGGGGGGAGGAGGCCCATCTCTGGGTCCCAGAGCCCGAACGACCAAACGGACACATCAAATGGCTTGGAGGGAGGGGGAGCCTCGAAAACGGATGAGACACGCACCCCGTTTCCCTAGAAAATTTCACCCCCGGATTTTGGGCAGCTTTTCACCAAATTTTGGGGAGCGAGGGCCTAACGTTCGTTTAGACGTTCCTCCCCCGGGGGGACAAAATGGCAAAATAGGGAGAACGGATTGTCGCGGAAAACTAGATGACGATTTTCAGCGAGGGTAGACGTTCAGCTAGGGAAGAAGAAACAACAAAATATCATAAAAAAAAAGATTTTTTGGAAATTCTCTTCTTCGTTTCTGGAAATTTTTGAAGTTTTTGTTGTTTACTCGGTTTGAACAACTCAAAAGATACCATGGTATGGGTTTTATACCACGATTAAAGTAAGATTAAAGGGATAGGGGCGGCATAAGTCAATCGGTTACGCGCGGGAAAGAAAATTTCTCTGCGCCTCTCACTGGGCGCCCTCTCTCGCCGCGGCATCTCTTTAAGGCCGTGGTTTTGCGCTTCTCGTGGCTGTAGAAGTTTAATCGTTCCATAGCCTAGGATCTCACGCATCCTCGTCCCTTTAAAATAGCTCAAAAGTCAGTAAATCACTCCTAAAACGACGCCAAATATTCAGCCTGCCCTAGAAAAAAAAGTGTGATTTTCCCATGAAAATGGCTTCGGGATGGTGTCCATAACTCCGGAATTACTTCATAATTAGCATATAATTGCCCTGAGCATATGTATGTCAAGCTTCATCAAGATGGAGCCATGATTCCCTCTGTCAACCTGGTCAAATCCCAACCTTCAGTGGCACATTTGACCCCCCATTATAATGAATCGACAGCTGGGAGAGGCCCTAACCCGGGAATATGAGACGACGTGGCCCACCCCCTTTTCCCCGGCCGATTTTGGGCAGCAGTTCCCCGCCATTTGAAGGGGGTCTTAAAGCCCTACCCATTGGTCATCCATAGGGCCCTATAAGCTTCTTCCTCCAGCTTGCTGCATGAATAAGTTGGGACCAGCAAAACACTTGAGAAAAGCCAGAATCCATAGCAAAATATCAAGTCGAGCTAGTGAAAATTATATAATGATATGATAAACCTCTGTCAAATTTCAGGTAGAGGAAGTGCGTGGCAGTGTCGACCTTATCGCCCAAAATGTGGAGGAGGTCAAGAAAAAGCACTCGGCGATCCTGTCCAATCCCGTCAATGACCCGAGTAAGTAAAATTAGCCGGACTACAAAATCGAATTTAGAAACGAAAGAAGAACTGGATGAATTGATGGCATCAATAAAACGGACGGCAAATAAAGTAGGGTAATTTTTACCATTTTTAATGCGTTTCTTAGGTTCGAGGGAAGCTGAAGATGATTGAAAATGCGATTGAACATGATGAATCGGCTGGCCAAGTTAACGCAGATTTGAGGATAAGGTAAATAATAATAATGATATTTTTCACGAATTCTTCAGAAAAACACAGCATTCCACACTATCACGGCGATTCGTCGAGGTGATGACCGATTATAACAAAACGCAGACAGACTACCGTGAGAGGTGTAAAGGAAGAATTCAACGACAGCTTGATATTGGTATGTTATTTCAGCAAGCAATTCATTTAATTTGAATAAATTTTAGCTGGAAAGCAAGTCGGGGATGAAGACTTGGAGGAGATGATTGAGAGCGGAAATCCTGGAGTGTTTACCCAGGGCATTATCACGGATACCCAACAAGCACGACAAACGTTGGCTGATATTGAGGTGGGTTTTTGAACTGATGAATTTGGATTATTAAAGGAATATCAATTCTAAGGAAAATATCAAAACTATCCATTACAGGCAAGACACAACGACATCATGAAATTGGAGACGTCCATCCGAGAACTCCACGATATGTTCATGGATATGGCCATGCTTGTCGAAAGCCAGGTAAGAAATTACTTGATCAATATTTCTAAAAATCCTGCCTATTTGTGCTAATCTTCATATAATTTAAACATTTCTAGGGTGAAATGGTCGATCGAATCGAGTACAACGTTGAACATGCCAAAGAATTTGTGGATCGAGCAGTTGCGGATACAAAGAAAGCCGTTCAATATCAGAGCAAAGCGCGGAGGGTATGTTCTTATCAGTTTACTCGTTCTACATCTAAAATATTCAACAACCACTTGAAAAAAGCATGCACCGTACCGCCGTCGTGAATCGATAGTCGTTCATTCGTGGTAGTAAAACGCAACAAAACACTCGACAATTACAGAAGAAGATTTGCATAATTGTGTGCCTATGCGTGTTGATCCTTGTCGTGATCCTTGTCGTCGTCATTTGGGTCGCCGTGTCGTCATCAACCGCCAAGAAAATCGCCCCGAATTGAATGTCGTGTCCGTATTGTTGTGTCATGTTTTAGAAATCAGGCGGACTCTGCAATTTTTTTTATATCTTGTCCATTTCTAGTCAATTTTCTAAAAAATGAGCTTTAGCCAATTTTTTTTACCGTTTTATCAGGTTCTTTTTATATTCGCATACCGTTTGACCGTATCCCCCAAATGCCCAGAATTCTACGTGTAAATTGCCTGTGATTGTAGCCGCTGCATCGAACGAACGCTTTCAAATATGTTTAATATATCTTGTTATGAATACGTCGTGCTTGTCGCTGTTATTCTAGTCATAAAAAACGACGAATAAATAACGTGTCTTAGCTGTTTTTAACGAATAATTTGGTCATAAATGGTGTTAAAATTGTCCTCGTCAACCCGTCCACTCCTTTTTTGTTTTTCAGAAGAAGATCATGATTCTGATCTGTCTGACGATTCTGGTGGTATTCGCGGTGCTGCTCATCATGACGATGGTCCCGATGCCATTCTGATTTCCTTCACAAATACAACGACACCACGCCGTCGAGTATTAGCTTTCCTATAGGGCATATAGATGCTTATATACCCCGAGATTTTAGACCCAACCGATGGAATTTTTTCAAATCGATCAAAAGAATTTTCCTGCCTTTTGCAAAACCAATCTAAACGTCTTTTAGGTAAATTTTTGACACAAAAACTTTCCAAAATCATCTAGCTGGCCCTTTTTTAACTATGTACCCATTTCACTTGGTCTCAACTCATCTTAATTCCTGCCTGGATAGCTATTTCAAGGGATACACTATTCATTCCTTTTTTACCGGATGCCCTTATTAGCGGGAAATGGTAACGCTGATCGCATTCCGTCCGTTTTGCTCTCCTTTTCCGCAGGCTCTGTCGGCTTTTTTGGGGGCGCAAAACGCATTAACACTACGGAAATTAACTCTTTACGGCTGGGCGCCCACCCGTGCCGACACGACCCTTCGGGAAATATACGCCGAAAAAACTCGTTACGATCGGCTTACTGTGACTCTGGTAATTGACTATATCCCCCCGCCCACTGAAGTTTCGCGTCTACTATAGCTGAAGTTTTTTATGGAAGCGATGGATGGAGTTCGGGTGTAATACGGTATAAATTCAACTAGAAACTCTAAAAAAGACCCACGCTCCATTAACAGCTGCGAAAAAAACTTCAGAAACACTCGCTTAACCCCTAGAATACCCCCAAATTCGACCAAAAACTGTGCCCTTCGCGCTCCTCTCCGTGTCACTACTATATACTCCCCCTTACCCCTATTTTTATGTGTGAATTAGCAGCAATAATGCTTGCCCTTTGGCCATTTAACCCCTCCCCATCCGCTGACGATATATATTCTCATTTCCAATTTGCTCCTGCTTCCGGTCGCTTTGCCAGCGCCAACTCTCCATATACCTTTTATTGCGTGTCTTCCTTTCCCCCAATTTTCCCTATTATTTTTGGCTAGGCAATCTCAACTCTGGGATTTCACTTTCAGAGCTGTCCCCTTAAGCTTCATTAGCTTTAATAAAGCTTGAATTGAGGCACGGAAGTTTGTTGGATGTTTTAAGACTTTCTTGCACCTGAAATTCTAATTTCCTCAAACTTCCCGTTTTTAGATAGACAGGTCAAACGCTTTAATTATTCCTCACCCTACAAATAGTCGCAGGCTCGACATAGGCCTTTCCCTTGAATTTAGTCTCGATCTCACGCTTCACTATCCCATTAAAATCTTCCCCTTATAACAAAACGCTTGCTTACCCCTTAATAACTTATTATCCTCGCGCGTAATTCCCAGCAATGCAATTCCCTAAACCGCGCCCTCGCCTCTCGCTCCTCTTGGTAGGGTATCCATTTTTGTATTTGTTGAATATTTGAATCTCTTACTATGCACGCGATCTCTTCTTCTCACACATTCCAATCTTTTTAATTTATTTATGCAATTGACGACCCCCTCCCCCCCCTTTCCAAAGCTTCTACTCAATGTCTATGTTTTATGACATGCATAATGAATAAATAAATTAGCCATTGGCAAAATGACTATCGATGAGACGACGGTGGTACGGTAATAGCATAAAATTCACTACAGAGCTGCAATATTTTTTGTAGGCTATTAAAAATCAACCATGTTTTCAGAAGAAAGTCTGCATCCTCATCACGGTAACAATAATCCTTGCCGCATTAATAATATTTTTGATATTATATTTTAAGAAATAGCTGGTCAAGTGCCCTTAAATGTATTTAGCTCAACATGCCTGTGATACCTGATGACTGTGATATTCCAAAGAGAGCTTTTTTGATAAATATTTATTGATTTATGCAAGAGTAAGTACTTCTCCTCTGAATCAAGCTTATTAGATCAGGGTGATCTTTACACCATTCGACCGCTCTCGAAAAGGCGCGGAAACATGCGCTTTTCTTTTTATAATTTTTTAGCCTGCGCTCGATATTAAACGATTTCTTCAAAAAGGGTAAACTCAGCGTCGTCCTGTTAGCTTGAGGAAACAATTAACATGCGCATTTTGCATAAAACCACAGTTTTCATGAATTTTCGTTCTAGAATTCGCGCATCAGAATGTTTGTTTTAAAACCAAAAAATTCTTGTTTCTCGCCTTTACGAGAGCTTTTGATAAATACCTAAATCGTTAAATTCGGACGCTGCTGCGGCCCTCTAGATGGGGTCGATTTTTGGTACACCATGCATAGTACGATATTCAAAACCGTCCGTTTCTTGTGCTCTACTGTGACAAATTGTTAGGTAATATTCGCATACCGTATTTATCAAGTTCTTGATCTCAAATTTCATCAGCCCTGCTGAATTTTGAGATAGCAATGGCCATAACGGTCTTCAAAATCGACTCTATGACAATAACGGTAGCCCATTTCTTCACATTGTGCATCGCTCGAGCATTGCGGATGATCGTCGCGTCGCTCACGGGGAGACCCCTAAAATTGCTAGAAGACCTCAAATAAAAATTAAATAATGGCTAGCGATTTCTTCAAGAAATCTTCCAAACCACCAACAGTTTGTACGACATCCGCGTTGCAAGCTACCAAAAAGACGGCAAGCAGCAGTAAAAGACGATATAACATTCCTCTTTTGACTTGGTGTGAGACACTTCTCCCGTTCGATCTCCCAATTTAAACATGAAGCTACTTGGAATGCTTTTTGAATTGCAAATCGATCAAACGAGCAATGTCGACCATAGGTTAACCACAACTAAAATCTCCAGCGAAGTTTGAAGTTCCTTGACCATCTTAGCTTTATTTAGCATCATACCCCCTTGAAATGTTCTATTAACTTATATCCAAAATTTATCGTATTTGCTGAAATAATATCACCAGATTCTCACAGATTTCGGAATGATAAAACCCGTTATAGTTACAAGACAAAAAACACAAGAAAATCCATTCGCGTTCAAGCGTTTTGCGTCGTGTTGCAAATTAGATTATTTAATACAGCAAGCACACCAGCGATTTCTGGACGCATAGTAGGATCCACGACTAACATCTTTCGAATTAACGTAAGTGTAGATGATTGATATCTAAAAATAATTTTACGGTATCATAAGCAGATTGTAGCTCACGGAGCTTCCTCTGGGTACGGTATCTTTTCCGGACTGAGGACGGCAAGCCCCACTGAATTCCCATTTTCGTATGCCAAATCGAAGGGTGAAACAAAATGGCATAAAGCGTACAGACAGCATCCTAATGCCTGAAAAATGTTTTTGCAAATAATGGAACGTTAAATACCCAAATGTCGACTGACTTGTCGATAACACAGCCTATTTCACAGGAAAATAGCTCTGGCGCTCTGTAAATAGCTTTTTAAAATCTGCTAAAGATTTATCGCTGTGGGAATCATATATTTAAGCCTCAAAGTCTTAAAAAGTTTACCGATACGGCATGGAACAATTTTCGGCGGCATCATCAACCGCCATCTGCATCTCCCTCGAATTAGTGATCGACACCGGGACCCTGAAAAATATACGGTATTATTTTACCAGTGGAAAAAGACCGCTTCGCGGCCATTTTCCACTGGACCCCGTCCAGGAATCATGAATTTGAATACCTTCTTCTTTTAGCCTGCGGCGCAAGAACCTGAGTAATGGCGCCATTCTTTGGCCTGCGGCGCTAGAGCCAGCGTTCCGCTAAAACCTTTGAGCCTGCGGCGCTAGTTAGTGGTTTTTCTCCATGGCTGGGCCTGCGGCGCGAGAGCCTGGACCAAGGGCCTTTTCCTTGGCCTGCGGCGCGAGTTACTGGTTTTTCTCCGGGATTGTGCCTGCGGCGCGAGAGCCTGGGTCAAGGGCCTTTTCTTAGGCCTGCGGCGCTAGAGCGAGGGCCAGGCCTAAACCTCGCACAGCGAGAGCCTAGAAATATGGTTAGTTGCTAAACTACCAAGAAGCAAAAAGTTGGATTTGCTCAGGATCCGAACCCACGACTAAAGGCGTGGTAGGCCGGGCGTAGATCCACTACACCACGGGGTAGATGGGAACAGGCGGCGGGAAAGCTCTCTTCTGTTCCGGGGAAACAGGGGGCGGGGAGGCACAGAAAGGCCGACCCAATGCCCCGGGCGGGAAGCCTTCTGGTCACTTTACAAAATTAAGTTTTTAAGTCTGAATCTGCAGAAAATTTGCAAAGATAATAAGATGCGCGTGATCCCCACCATCGAATACATAACTGGTCCAAATTACAGCCCGAAATTCCAAATGCGAATCGAGTTATGCCCCGAACACCACGGCTCGTCGCCAATTTTGTTAAGGATTTTTACTATTTTGCTTGTAAAATTGTTAAATCAAAAAATTTCGGAAAACAAAAAAATGCGTGTTTGGCAAATGCATTTCTCCGCCTCCATGCCAAAAATCAGCGCGAAATTCGGCCTGACGGCCGAGAAATCGTCATTACAGAAAACAAACATACTTTTCTCGCTTATAGGATAGGATTTCCAAGCCATACCGTATACTACTACCGAAATCTATCAAAACGGGCTGTCCTGTCTCGTCAGCTATCAAGAAATTTGCGGTTTTTATGTCCCTGAAGAAAAATCGTAGAAATAAAATTATTTTGGATACCTATGTGCAATGCCATTTTGGTGTACTACTTCCACAGCCTCACACATTCCTTTGAACCAAGCGAGAACCTAAATACCCGAATGCTTGCACCAAAATAAGCAACTTCTTTTTCAGGTAAATAATCCTTAGTAGCACGTCGTTTTATGAGCATATCAAAGAAGGAACCTCTTCTGTAATGTCATTGCAAATAAAGCAAAATGTTCTTAAAACTCACGCGTAGAATGGGTATACTAATTGATAAATCAGCCCCTCTTGTGCCCAACCAATCAACTCGGCGATATTTACATGCTTGCAAAGTTCATTCACTTCTATCTAAAAATCCTTTAATCCGTAAGGAGGTAAAGATTATTATCTGCACATTATAGAAACTCACATACCTCCCATTTAATCTTTTTTACATCCCCCTCATCACGAGCTGTCATTTTCTTCACAGCATATTGGTCCCCGCTATCCACATCTGACGCTATGAACACCTCAAGTAAAAAACTCTATTTCTTTTTCTAGATGTACCTGGCTAAAACCACCCTCAGCCACAACTTTATTCAACTTCACCCGATAGCCACCGGCAGTGAAATCCGGCCTAGAAAATAGGCATCCCATTCCAAGGATGTCCAGCTTTCTAAAGTATCACATTTACAAAAATTTACCCTTTTAATGGTAGATACAAACCACAACTTGGATGACGGTGAATTAACTAGACCCAGGCAATATAAAAACATTTATTGCACAAATTTAATTATTATGACGAGTTTTTGGGTTGAGATGGCAAGGCAATTCAGATCCGTATGGCTGGCGTTTGGGGGAAGGCACTTGAGAATCCTTGATTAAAGCACCGCAGTTAAAGCTGGAACGTCAACACGTAAAAATGGATAGTGACTGTATCAAAAATACGAAATAAATTAGAGTTCAGTGTGAGCTTGGGAATCAGAATTTACATGGATATGTTGAGAGGTTTCTCCGTGGCTTTCGAGGAGTTCGACGATAGCGGAAGATTCTGTATCGCTGATATAGCCTGGCTCGAAGGTATATCTGAAAAGTACGATTGGATGCTATGGACGTTTGATGAATCACCTTTGAGGGAAGACGACTGATGGATAAATGGCGAAGGCCTTGATTTTTTCGAATTCATCGTAGGCTGATGCCCATTCTTTGTTTGGATGTTTACCATACATTACTGGCAGAAATTCATCGACCTGCAATTTGGAACCTTATATTAAAATATTTAAATTTAAGCTAAATCGGTTTTCAACTAACCGGTATCATCTGCTCAAGTGGCTTGGCATCTAACAACTTCCTTGCTCCTTTGTAAGAAATCATATAACCCAATGTCCAATAGCTATACCCAATCGTGGTCAGGTGACGATTTTCAGGCACCCAGAATTCTTTCTATAAAAAAAGCTTATAGAGTTTCCAAACTTTTACAACCTGATTTGGGTCATTCAGCTTTCGACCTAAATAAATTAAGTCCCAGGGCATTTTCGACTTTTTCAAATCATCGACCAGTTCCTCGATTCGCTAAATAAATTGTAGTGGGAAATAATTTGGACTACAAACCTGGATACCACCATTGCTGACCCGAATATCGTCTTCAAAAACTATAACCTTCTCAAGCTTGTTCGCAACCACTTCCTCCCAGATTCTAATTATTATTGGCTACAGAAACATCACAAAATCCTACTTTAAATGTGACATGAAACATCCGACTTCCCCGGCTTTCATCGTCCTTTGATGGAATGGATCTTTGTAGTTTTTCATGTAGTTTATCCTAAATACAAAATGAAATCTGACTGTATGTGACTGACTTGATCGATTTGTTATTGACCAATTGGTCTCCTTCGAATGCCCGGAAAATTTGATATTCGACTCCAAGGTTGTCCAAAACTTTCTCGACGCGTTCTCTCTTTTCCGTCCGTTTTTCCAGGTTGATTACATAGATCTGGAGGCCTATTCGTACTTTTCGCTGATTTTACTTACCTGATCAAAGCCGAGTTTCGATTTTTCAGGATAGATTGGCTTAACGGTTTGGGAGATTGGTAGTGTTTGGGCTCCATTCATTGCAATCATGTCAGCAATTTGGTAGCGGAACTGAAAAAATATTATTATTGATTTATAGCTTGTATACACAGAACTGAAATGAATTGGTACAACACTGCCAAATGATCTTCTATTTTATTTACACCTACCATCCAACGGTCAGCCTCTAGGTTCTCTTGGGGTTCCAACCAATAGCCATAGAAAGAACGTTGTGACGCATATATTCCAATATGCATCCGCTTACACGCATTCGCAAAAACCTCCAAAGCATCCGTTGACCCTAAATTTGTGTTTTCGAAGCTCCTCCAAAAACCCTCTCCTACCTTCGTACCTATACAAGTTTTGAGCATCAAAAGTGTAGTAAGAACCTCCTTCGTACTCCAATGATAAATATAACGGTAAAATAGGACTTTCAATCTAGAACGATAATTATTGGAGGATATTCGAAGCCTTACTTCAAATTCCTTTTCTTCAGGGAAATCAGACTCATCCAACACATTGCTAACTTTCTCGACATCCTGGTCAGGTTCCAGGTAAGATGGAGCATCAAGTTTTGGGACAACCACATTGCCCTAAATATTATCAAGTGGAAGCTATTTTGTCTACTTTATTCTCGGCCAATTTTCGCAAAAGTTTCGGATCGAAGACAAGGGCGTTTCCGGGGAGTATGAGCAGTCTGAAATATTTGTTGACCAGCAATGCCAAATCAATGCACCTGCTCGATTTCCATTGACGAGCATTGAGGAGCGCTGATTCATACCAATTTTCCTTTAGTTCACGGACTTCGATAGATTTGAATAGGTGCTTAACAGAGCCTTTCCACCTAATTTTAGATACCTTCTATATGTAAACATTTTAAAACTACCATTTCAAGGTCCCTTCTTCCATCCCAGTCACATGAAAGTCCAATCGAATACTTTGCTTTGGGTAATCAATGTTTTCTAGCCAACCAAGAAGATATGATTGAAGTTGGGACGCACCATTTAGACCTGATATTCCAGAATGAATTTAGTTTTGTATTATTTTTTACCTATTGCTAATGTTATAGTCGGACATGTTGCGCTGACGTCACCCTCGTCTACGAAAAATTGCCCGAAAGCTGCCGGATTTCCATTGATGAAAGCATAAATCAGGAGTATTAGTAATTTTAGCATCTATCCTGAAAGTTAATTAAATTCTTGGCATTTTTTAAGGATATTATAATCCATCTTACACGATTTTAATTCTATGCGATCTCGGCAGTATTAAACCGTCGAAAAACGTACCAATCTAATTATCCCGTAGCAAAATCAACCCATAAATAAGGTGTCGTAATGTTGCCAGTTGGACACTAGCCCCGGGCCCTTCGCAGTTGTTTAAACGAGGGGCCAATATGGGACGGGTACGGTGGGTGATCCACGGAAATTCGATGCCTAGCTATCATTAAAGGGGCCGGAAAAGGTTGAGAAGATCCGGTAGATCTCGGTTTTTCAAAAAAAAAACCCTTAGAAATTTGTTGGAATTTGAAAAAGAATTTTTTTTTCTAAGGCACACGACTTCATCTTTCGGATTTTGCATTTTTGAGAATAGAATATTGATTTTTTTTGTATTTTTGTCATTTTTATCGTTAGCATTTATATATTTATTCAATTAACGCTTCTTATTGACTTCGTCGACATCTGCCGAGCTCTCCTGACGTCGCCCACGCACCAATAGATCCCGATCGGTGTACTGAAACGTAGCGTACTACTGTAATTTATATAAATTCATAGCTAGCTTTATTTTGGATGTTTGAAAAAGTAGGCTAATATTAAGATGGTATTTTTAAATAAACTAGCAAGCTCACCAGGCACAATCCATTCACGCAATCCCTGTACTCAATCCGATTTGCACAAATACAATCCAACACGTCATCGCATTGCTAGAATTTAGAAACACAACTACTACCCGGTTTTTCGGGAAAACGCGTAATCTGCTCACGCACCACATTACGGTCGCCCAACGGTGACGGGCAGCCAACGGCGACACCAAGGAGCACGAAACACAAGAATAGACGAAACATCTTCGAATAGTTCACCTCAACCCCCATACTAGCTTTTATAAAAACGCTCCCCATTATAAAAACAATATCAGTCCCACAAAAATAGCCAAGCCTGCCGTCAAAACCGCGCTTGAATTGAAATTATATAGGTTTCTATTTTTGAACATTTACCTTCACCGTTATCGAACGAATCTATAGTTTCTTATTGAATTTGAATTTCAAATTTTGCGCTCTATTCTTACAAGTGTTATTCCTTCGCCCGTTTCGTATTGCCAGAAACGTGCCAGAAACGACTAACGGTAATTTTCGTAAGACAAAAGCATTTATTCAATATCTCAAAATCCAAGCATCAAGGCCTTTCTTTAAACTTACAGAAAGATGAAGCACCGACAAAAATTTGACAGAGGTACGATTGGTCAAAATGGACACGGGTATTAATGGAAAGAGCTAGAAGACCGACTTTGGGAAAAATGGGAGGTGGTCCTGGGTGGCGGTAACCCATAGAAAAACCCGTGTTTAGGAGGAAAATTTGAGGGCGATCCGGAAATTGACGGCTTTCTGGATTCATCGTCTTCTCGGGCGCCGTTGCTCTTCGTCGCGTGCTTTTGAAGATCCGGATGAGATTGTTCTTTTATCCTAGAACAAATCAGGCCATTAATGCTTGGCCCTCCCTACCTGATCCGTCTTTTCTTCCGACAATACATCGTCTTCATCGTCCTCTTCCAAAATATCATCATCATCAAGGTCAGACTCGGAATCGGTCAATTCTTCTTTGACTAAAATAACTTTAAAAGTCAGGCAAAGCTGTTTTACCCAAAATTCCCACTTTCTGCCCCAGCCATCTAGCCTTTTGGACGACGTCATCCTAAATTCCGATTTCAGGATCTAGATTATTTTTCGAACCTGCATCAATTTGAAACACATAGCAATTAATGCCATTCCAAAAAGAAGATATAAAGCGCAGCCCAGCAGCTTTTCCTGGGCATCGTCATCGACCGATTGTCCCGGAACGATGTCACCAAAACCGATTGTGCTAAATAATTTCTGATGCTAGAAGTTTCGTTCGTTTTTCTACCTGAGAGTGATGAAACAGTAGTAAGCCCCATCGAAAATGCTCCAGCCCTCCCAGGCTGCGAATAGAATGGCTCCACCGACGTTGAATGCCGTAACGATGCAAATTCCGACCGTAACAGGCATCTGGAATATAAACGTTTGTATTTTTCAACCCACTTTAAACGATTTCTTAGGATATAAACTACAAAATACGCACCCTTTCTTCTTCTTGTTCGTAGGGCTGACGTCGCGTGGAATGCAGCGACAATTCATCGCTTCTTTGATCGCTGCGTTGTGAACGGTATGATTTTCCTTCGTCCAATTCATCACGTAAGCGATACCTAAGGCGAATTACGCATTAATAGATATTGTTTTTCTGTACCCTCTTCCACTATTTGTATCCAAAGAGTTCTGCTTTGACGCGATATAAGCGTCCCTTTGTAATTCTCGTAGTGGGTCACGGCCGTGCACCTGAAAGAGCTTTTGGCAATTTTCGACATCAAAAAATACTTTAAAAACCAAGTACTTTTGTCTTAAACCGTACCCGTTTCGGCCTATCCCTATCAGGATCGTAATGCAGATCGTCATCAGAGAAGGACAACTAAAACATCGTCTGTTTTTGAAATCCCATTCCTCTAACCTGTGCACTCGTTTCCTCCTTCTCCACATCACTATTGATTTTCTGTTCGTCATCCCTACAAAGCTATTTTTTAGAGTTCGCTGTTTTTTACCTGGATATAATAACATTAGGCACTGTGCCATGTTGTTCTTCACGCAATCTCCTTCGGAAAGAGCTGAAATTAGAATTTGTAAATTTTGTATTTCTTTCAATTTTAAATTTGTATCCTTTTTTAAATTATTTGCCATGCATTCCTTTAAATACCTACCCTCCTGGTACCCTGGCACGATCGCTGCTTTGCCTGGTCAAATCGGCCAATGGCCCTTGTGTAAAGTCCTTCAAATCCAGAACTCCATCACCTTCGCGCCCGCGCACAACGATACCGCCTGAAAGGATCTTTCCAAAATATATTTTTTTGCCAACCCCTAATTTGTCGAGCCGGGCTTTCACTGACAGCATGTCTACCCTTATGCGGTCTTCTCAATCTCCGCTCCTCGAGCTCGATCAAATCAATATTGACAGCGGTATTCGATTTTTGCATTTGGCCGCTAAATTTGTTTTACAAGTTAAATTATCAAGAAACCGTCTTGTTCCTGTTCTCCTCATCGTACCATTCGGGCTCCTGCTACCATGACTGATCTTACGGCGACCGGGTAGTGACATTGTTTCAAATCTATGGTAGAAGGTTGACAAATTCTATAGTAATAAAACCAGAAAGTGATACAGGGTGCCCCAAAAATGACTAGCACCGGATAGTATACCTTACAATCCCTATCTCTCCAGAGGCATAGACCCTAAATTCCAAACTCAAATTCCAAACAGTAAGTGCAAATACAGTGAATTAATGCGGTCAATCTTTTTTTGGGGCACCCAGTAGATAATCTGTCTCCAAAAAACCTACCTCGGCTGAGTATCATATCGACGATCAAATGATCGAACGCTCTTAGTATCACTCAAAGGACGTCGAGGGCGATTCAAGGAAGTGTGCCGCTTTACAGTATTATACCGCTGGGCCGAACGGGATGATTGGGCTAAGTAAAATCTCCAATAAATCGAAAAACTCCCACCTCGTTTGACATTAATCGCGGCATTTGGATGGTAGCGGAAGGACAAGGCTGCCCTGCGTATCCGGCGTCGGTTTTTCTGCCATCGACAGTAGGCGCAACAGACTTTGAAGTAGATGTAGGTGAACACCTGGGGGTTTATTGTGTGTTGTTTAGAATACTTACGGAGGCCAAACTCTCGGCGATATTGGCAAGACAAAGGAGCATCAATGGGATGCCGAGCATCGAGTAGAAAATGGTGAGCACTCTTCCTTGAACGGTCTTCGGGCAAATGTGCCCATAACCTGAAATGGCTTGTTTACTTTTTATTTTTATTTTGTACTGTTGAGGTTTGTTTTATTTTGTGCTTTTCTTAGCTTTGTCTTGTCCGACCAACCCTACTAGCGCTATATATGTTTTCTCCAATTCCCATCACACACACCCCTTCAACTTCCCCAAAAAGACAGAGCCGTATCGAGACTTTGCTACGACTTCCCATATCGGACCCCTCAAAATGTTCCCCCTTTAGGCACACAGGGGAGTTGTTTTCCGGAGGGCTGCTTCCGAAAAAAGGCAGCCCAGGGGTGGATCCAAGAGGTCCTCGGGGAGATGGGCCATTTTGAAATGTTGGGCCGAGTCGAGGACAAATGTGAGGAGGGAGGGCCCATCCCTTGGGGCCCCACAGCTTCTGGGACGGGAGGGAAGGGTTGCCCTTCCGGTGGCCTACCCCCCGGAAGACCCGGCACCACGACACCCCCTCCAGGCAACCATTGATCCATCATGCTTATCAGTTTTGATAACCGGATATTGGAGAGGTTGAAAATGAATGGCAACAGGGAAAATAAAGAGCAGCAAGTCATCTCGGTCAAGCTGCAGTAACCAGAGATGAAATTTAACAGCCAAATGTCCATTAATCAAGTGAGGTATATGCCTACCGATCGTTGTAAACACGGTGATCGAATAAAGAAGCGCCCCGGAAAATGTCCATTGGAATTTCTGGGTTGTCCGGTGCTCATCGGAATCGTCGTAGCCTTAGCAGTCCTTTTATTATCGTTAATCTAACACCAACCTTCGTAGTTGACGGCATTGGTGAGGTTTCGTTCGAAATGTTTCAGGAGATCGAACATTTTTGCTTTTACCTGAAATAAATAGTTTGTAGCTATATGACGGCATACGGCTGCTTCCTCGATGACATCTTGGGCCTTCACGTAGTCGTATAGATCTTCGACGACCTGGAATCGCATCAAAATTACGCTAGGTTCAGCGATGATTAGATGATTGTTTTTCTTCTCTTATTCTATTATCTTTTAAGAATATTTACGGTGTCATCAGCGTATCTCTATGCGCGTTTATTCCAGTTTTTTAATACAAAAATAGGCTTCCAACAAAAAGCCTCGATTAAAACTTGCCTCCCGTGTTTTGTTCTTGATATGTCCCTGGAATGTCTTCTCATAAGGGTATTCGATCTCTCGGAACATGAATGCCCCACCAATGGCATAGAGACCAACCAGCACGCAAAGTCCCACATGAGAAACGATAAACGTTATGATCTGAAATAATGATCCAGTGTATATCAGTTGATGGTATACCTTTTTTAACGCGGTCTTCGTCCGGAGACAGCATGACCGTACTTCGTCTCTCATTCTCACGCATTGGCTCTTCTGATCATGCTAGAGGCTTCTCTGAACGCGGTTTATCGAATCCGTTAGTTCCGTAAAATAGCAATAAAAGGTAAATGATAGCTTGGAAAGTCTCTGTAAGGCATCACCATTAATAGAGGCGGTCCAAAACTGAGCTAAATCTAGGCCATCCGTGGCTGGAACGGATAAATCGCTTGAGGACTCAATGCAGAAACGTAGCTTGGAACTACAAGGCAACAAATAATGGCAGCAAAAATGTGATTGATTTCCCCGGTTTTCACACCTGTACTCGTATTGAATCTTTGTGAGAAAGTGCCAATTATTAAGCCAAGAAATGCCTGCCACAAAGGTCTGCCATTTGTCAACAACCAAGCCCAATCGTGAACAATCGATTCTCAGAATCTGTTAGAGGCGAAGAAGCCAAAAGAGGAGCTGGTTGAAAGGGACTAACTGGGTAAATGAAGGCTTGTGACGCGCCTCCTCCTCCTCTGGGTCGACTGCCGGCAACTTGCGTGCCGAAAGAAGCATGCAATTGGGCCCTAAGGGAGGGCCCTCAATCCGGGGCTCCCAGACTCGACACTCAACACAGATCCCTTCTCCCCCCTCTCTTGCTCTCATCATCCAGCTCCTCCCCTTCTACAGCCTCTTCAAGAAAGCCACACTTGGAAAGGAAATGTCAAAATAGGCTGCTTTGTGAGTGGATTCTAGCACGGAGCGAAAAAATGCCAATCGTTTCGTGTGTCGGTCACACGGTACGGCCAGAACGTAATACAGCCCTTTGCACCCAGGTTAAAAACTTTATCAGTCAACAAATCAGAGAAAACGAACGAAACACCGTTTTAAATTTCACAGGATATCAAGGACCTTCTTCAACTCAATCACCAGCTGCCAGTCGGCCTTCGTCAATTCCTCTCGGAAATAGGCCTTCAAAACATCGATGGACTCACGCGAAATCTAAAAACAATCATGGCCGTAATATGGAAGAAAACTTACCCGACTGACTAGCATATCTTCGTGGGTGAAGTGGCGTCCATAAAGTTTTGGAGCGTCACCAGTGGTATTTTCAATCTTCACACATACCTTAAAAGAAGGCATAAATCTGCGAAGAATATCTTTCTTACCTCTTCTCCGGCTTTCGCAATGTTTACTTCGTCGTGATTTTTCTGGATGGACGAGATATTGCCAAGCCAGATACCCTGAAAATAGACTTTTCAATCAAGGCTCCCCCAACGAGTAATCGAGGCGAAGCAAAGATGAATTTCAAATATTACCTCTTTGGAAGGAACACAAATTGGGGTGCCCTTCTTCAGCTGTCCGGCTTCGATAGAAACACCGACGACGATCGGATTCCGGGCGTTGAAGACGTGCTGCGGAAGAATGCGAAGTTTGCACGGGAAGATTGCCAAATGCTCGTGCTCCCGACGTTTCTTCATACGCAGTTCCTCGCTAAAGGCATGTTTACCCAATAAATCAACAAAATAAACCGATATTTCAGGAAATCATCCTCCAAGTGGTAGATGATATCGGCCTTGAAGATCCGGATGCCCTCACGATCAGCAAATAGTTGAGCTTCGCGCTCGACACGAACATCAAATGCAAGAATGCAAGCGTACCTAAGAAGAACATCATAAAATAGCGATCAAAATTTACTCTTCTTTTCCGTGCTCTTTCATTGCAGCAGCTTTCTGTACGTCCTTTTTGTGGACCGGTCCGATATTCACATTGGCGTACTAAATGAAGGTATTTCTCGCGTAAACGTTGCCTACCGGGATTTTCTGAGATTTCAGGAATTCCAAAAGTGCCTCCAATGACCCAAGTGTACTGGCTTGGACATAAACGCCCTCATTCTTTTTCTTGATTGATGTGAGGGCATTATCGAGAGCAGTCTTGCAATCGGACCTAAATGAAAGGTTGCATATTTCAGCGGAATTTACATCAGCACATCCAGTTCGTCTTCGCTGGAACCGACATATAGCGGGAAGCCGGCCAAAGCTTTATCAAGATTCTTCGCCAACAGTTTAATGCCTTGCGCGCCACGAACCTCTTTGAAGCTGCGATACTCATTCTAAGAAATTGTATTAGAAATTATTGGGGGGCTTACCTTGACACGCAACTCTTTTAGCGGCTCAGGCATCTTCAAGTCTCGAATAGCAGTCAAAATCGGCCCCTCCGTGCCGGACAAAACAATTAAGTCGTTCACCTATACCTGCAACTAAGAAGCATAAATGTTATTACCCGTAAACGTCCGTTAACCAAGATGACGTCAATCGTGGTGCCAAGGCCAGGAATTGCCTTGACTTCCATGACTGTGGCCTCAAGTTCGTCAACAAAAGCAAGACGGTCGGCATGCTTTGTTTGCGTCGTCTCAGCTGCGAAAGCCATCAAATTGCCAACACCTAAACAAAGGAATAAGAAGAAAACGGCATGGTGCAACCATCTCCACAAAATGCACTGGTCGGCACCATCGGGATGTAATCCGGATCAGCCAATGTCTTTTTGTCATTTGAGAGACATACGTTGAGACCCTAGAAAGATTCGTTCCTATGCTTTGTAAAAGGATTACCTGCTCGGCGAATTGCACTACAACTTCATCGTAGCGCTTCTTGAACTCAAGCTGGACATTGCTCGCCTAAAAACCCAAATAAGAAAACGGATAGATCATGTAGTAACCTGGCTTTTCAAGTGGACGTACACGTCCTTCTTTGGGCTAGACTCATACTGATGGAGGCGATCAATCTAAAAGAAGATGCTTAAAGGGTAATCGATTCTACCTTGTTCAGCGCAACAACAAACGGCGTTTTCCTCTTGACAAGCAACTTGATTGATTCGATAGTCTGCGGCTCCAAACCGTGCATAAGATCAACGACGAGGATAGCGAAATCGCAAAGAGAAGACCCGCGAGAGCGAAGGTTGCTGTAAAAAACATATTTGCTTGCGTATGACGAGCATAGTGAAAATAAAAACCCCATTTGCCCAGCGGAAAACCCACGCAAAATGTTCGTGACCAGGAGTATCAATAATTAGGAAACCCGGAATCTTCATGGCATCTGGCTTGAACTCGCGGACTTGCCGACAGCGCTCAATAATAGCATCCTTCGGTACCTACAACATCGGGTGTAAATCCACGCACTCTATCAACCTCTGTAGCACCAATCTGCTGCGTGATTCCACCAGCTTCACCTTCTTGAACATTCGTGCGCCGGATCTGAAATGTAATTCCATATGCAAACAAACGAAATACTACCGTATCCAACAGCTTTGTCTTTCCTGTGTCGACGTGGCCCAATACGCAAATGATCGGAGCCCGGAGATCATCGGTAGTCTTCTTGGCAATAGCTTTCTCACGGCGTTGCTAAGATCGGAATACTACTATTCAACAAATGCGACCAACCTGTATTTCTTGTCGGATTCGATCCATTTTCTCCTCCTTCGTCTCTTTGACACGTTCGTCGTCGCTAGAAGATTCATCAGAATCAGAATCGGATTCATCTTCAGAGCTGGACTCTGCTTCAGATTCAGTCTAAAACCGTTTGTCCTAACGACAATTACACGGAAATCACCTCATCAACCTCATCCTCGACGGTTGTTGTTTTCGCAACAGGCTTTGGCGCTGTACCGGAATCAGGCTTCTTCTCTTCCTTAACAGCTTCCGCTTGCTCAGCAATAGCCTCCTCTGCCGCTGCTTCCCAGTCGTCTAGCTATAAAACTCCAATTATGATTATACTTTACAAGCACCTCATCATCTTCTGCCTGCGTTGGAACGGGCGTCGGTTCAGGCTGCGTCGCCGGCACCGGCTCTGGTTCAGGTTTTGGCTCTGGCGTCTTCGCCACTGGCGCCGGCTTCGCGGGTGGCTTCGATGGTCCGGCCACCGGCTCCTTCTTCCCATCTTTCTTTGCCTAGAAACAAGCATAATTCGCAAATATTGGCTTACCTCCGCCTGTGCGCGTGTCCTGTCCATCAAATGCCCAAGGCGAGCCAGTTGCTGAGCCTGCTTGTTCTTTTGAGCGGCTGTGAGGTACTTCCCCTGTCGTTTCAGCTCTTCCTCTTTTTCCTTCTTGCGCAACTTCTCGGCATCCTTTCTCTCTTTAGCAATGCGCTCCTAAAATACTTTAGAAACCACACCCGATGGTTGTAACCTCTTCCTCTCGTTTCTTCTCGGCCGCTTCTATCCTCGCTTGCTCTTCTTCTTCCTTCCTTTTCAATTCGGCCATCATTTCTTCTTGCTTCCGCATTGCATCTTGGATCATTTTAGCCTGAGTGCAAAGCTTGTAAAAATCAAGGAAAATCCACCTGTTTACTCAGTTTCTTTTCCTTTCCCTTTTTCTTGCCGCCGCCTTCTTCACCAGCTTCATCGCCCTTAAAACTATTGAAAAGGGGGAATTCCAATGGTACCTCAGGCTTTTCCTCGTCATCCTTCTTTTCCTTCTTGTCCCTCTTCTTTTTCTTTTTCTTATCGGCTTTCGAGGTCTCATCCTCGCCGCCTTCAGCCGGCTCCTTGTCGGCGTCACCTTCCGGGGTGACCTCCTTCGCAGCGTCGGCTTCCTTTTCCTCCTTGTCCTTCTTACCCTAAATAAAATCATCAGAGTAGTACACTTTCCTTTACCTTTTTCTTTTTGCCTACAGCAGGCTCGGCTGGTTTTTCGATAGCGTCAAGTAGAGCATCAAGATCATCGTCACCCTCGGTCTTCTTGGCCTAAAATTTAGCATAAAGGGGATTTTTAGAAAATATACCTTGGTGTCCTTTTTCTTTTTATCTTTCTTGGCCTTGGCTGCGGGTGCTGGCACCGGAGCCTTATCCTCGGGCTCGCTGTCCGACTTTTCTGAAGGCAGGTCATCATCTTCCATCTAAAAATACATGGGGCATTTTTTAATAAATGTGCTACTAACCATCATAAATGCGTTTCGATTCATGGGTTTCGAAGGCGCCGCTTTCTAAAAAAAATTGTCGGAAAGCGCAATCGGCCTTACAACGGGCTCTTCATCCGATTCATCTGACCAAGATTGCTTGGGATCTTCCTTGACTTGCAGATTGGCAAGCTTCTTCTGTGCTTCCTTCTCCGCAGCTTCCCTAAAAAGACAATCTGGCGGTAATAAAAAACGTACCAGTCATCTCCCTTCTGGGCCTTTTTGTTCTTGGGAGGCATTTCACCTAAAACACACGTTTGAGGGGTCGAAAGAACATTGCCCAAGTATAAAACTCCGTTCAAACGAAAACAATATGCAGGTAAATGCCCGAAAACATTGTCTGGTAAGTTAATTTTCTGAAAAATTCGTGGTTAGGATTAAGCTAGCCCGGCGACGCTCTCTTCCTTACGGTAAATTGTGCAATATGACGAAATATGTTTCGGATATGCTATTTCAGTCGCAATTTAGCTTGGAAGGGGTTCATACGAAGAAATACACCACAATTTACCGATCTAAGCCTAATTTCATCGTAAAAGACCTTTTTATTTGTAGGCAAATCACGGAATCGTTCAGCTTTTCGCCTGAATTTATTAGAAAGAGAAATAAATTGGAGGGCGACGCGGTACCCCTCCGGACGTCTAAACTCACTGCGCTCAAGAGAAGTGTTCCATTACGGCACAGGACAAAATCCACCGACGAACTGCCGATATTAGGTGTGAACTGGAATTGAAAACATCAAGTTTACGAACCGTTTTCTGGCTTCACTAGGCTTCGATGCAGCAGAGATATTGGCGTTGGCTCGTATTGCGTCTACCCGAAGCGCTTGACCTTTCGGAGACATATACGCTCAATGTCAAAATCAACTTACCACGCTGCTTTTAACATTTGTTAGAACCCATCGAAAACCACAAATTCTCAAATAGTAGTGAATGTACATTCATTCACGTGAATGAAACAAAATTTTTGGAACCATGGCAAATGAGGAACGATATTTGAGCAACTGGGGCAAAAACGACGTTTGAGCAACATTGTTTTCCCGCGTTTACTAAGAAATCATTGTTGCTCAAATGTCGCTTTTCCCAGTTGCTCAAACGCCGTTGTTCATCTTTCATGGTCTCATTTTTTTGTGTATGAATTTCCCGTCCTCTATTTTCGAAGTCAAACAATCTTTTAAACCTCGTTTTCAGGGGTCGATGGCGTCTCGCATAATCCGGAATGGTTTTCGTCAGTCAAGTCGACAATTCGCCTTTAGCGCGCCTAGTTTAGGAAGGTATTCACATTGTTCGCAAACCTGAGTTTACGGGCTACATTTAGATTCCGTTCGAATCCCCCAGCACCGGTGTTGCGTGAGATCGGGCGGATGCTGAAACGTACAACCGCTGAAGAAGGAGGACTCTATAAAGTCGGACAGGTAAATAATCCTTTTTTTGAGCATAAAAATCTACTCATCGGGCGAATGGACAGCTTTCCAGTTCTAAAATTTTAACGGATATTTCCAGTTGTTCATCCATCGTGCATTTGCCTACCGTGGAATCATTGTATTGGCTAGTGAATGTCCAATGGAAGTGAATGACCGGTAAGATATTGACTGTTTCCCCGTTTATTGGTATTTATAGATCAGGAAGGCGCGGTCACACTGAGCCTTTCTACCAGGTGTTGATACATCGTGGCGATTGGGAACATATGGGTTTCCCGATAAACATCACTTCTTATCTTGGAGAGGGTGGATCGCGTCAAGAGAAGATCCTGACTGTCATACAGTAAGCTTCTTGATCAATCTACTCTCTGGCGCGAATCCCGGGGATCCATGAAGGGTGGCGCCGGTCGGTTTTTACGAATATAAGGTTCGACAGCAAGAGGTCGAACTAAGAAAATGGTTCCTGTTCCACCTCAAAGGGGGATGGATTTGTTTGATCAGCTTCATGAAAATAGATCACAGGCGAATAATAATAAATAACATTTTTTCAGTGGGATGGATTGCGTTCGGCACGCTGATTTGCTACCACTCGTTGCAACCGATCCGCGGCCGATAGAGCACGATCTCTTCGACAGGATCTTTGAATGTAAACGTGATCCGGAGGCTAAACAAGGTATCGTCGATTCTTCTGCTCTATGGTTTTCTAGATGAATACAAGTTTGCGTTGCATCCGGAACTAGAGAAGCATGCCATCATGAACAAAGACAACAAATGGCTGGCGCCGTGTCAAGCATACATGTGAGGTTTTGCTTGTGGCAAATTAATTTTCTTTTAGTGAGAAGACGGAGAATATCGAAGTGATGGTGATCACGTTTTATCTCGGAACGACTATGGTTGGCGGTCATATTAAGCACTTGTGGCGTTACGTGAATCGCATAACAAATACGACGCCGAAATCTCCTGTGATACTGCGTGAACGGAGCGTCAAGGTGTTTTCATTGAACAACATGCACCACCTGAATGGAATAGGTGTTGTGGGAACGGTGAGGAATTTTTTTCTTAGCGAAACCGAAGCCTAGCAGCCTGAACTTGGGATGAATCGACCTTCCTTCCAATTCAGCAGCACCGTGGAATTCCCGCATTCCAAGGGAGGACATCTTTGGTAAGAAAATTTCAAGTGTTTTAATGCTTTTTTCAGGGGTCGTTTTAAAATGGAACGTGAGGATCGTTCGGTCTTTGATGTGGCTATACCGTCGGTCCTCCTCGATAGTGAAGCACGTCTTCCCGAACCACGAATCGTCACTGAAGAAGATACCTGATTCCTTCGAAAGGCTTGTGTTTTGTGTGCCGTTGGGCTATTTATTCACTAGAATTGTTTGATTGATGCCTAGTCTCACTATCAGTTATGTATAGGTAGAACAGATTGCTAACGGATTAGTTCTACTTAATCCGAGCTCGTCAGGGGTTACCTTACGAAGTTTTTAAGTGCTTTAGAGGGAACTCCGGGCTCCTGTTTATTGAAAAGTCTTTCCTATATCTGTCTGTTTTAACCGTAATTGTGATTCGTCCACTAGCATTACCTAACTTGCCGGTTTAATCGAATTTTATCCAACAACTTACCTAGGGCAATAGCTGCTTGACTATACAGGCTTTCCAGCTTCCCATTTACCCCTAATACGGGTCAGGGCTGACACGGGTTTTTTTTCTTCGATGCGCGTGATAGAGATGACCTTTCCTATCTTCTGTCCTAGTTTAATAAACTGTTAGTGGTCTGTTTGAACACACTCGGAACACCGTTTCACAATTTCAAAATGCCAGATTATAAAATAAAAATAAAAATTCATATGGGTCGTGGAGCTAATGGCGTTTAGTGAACATTGGCGAAAGTGGCGCTTTGCTCTGCATCCATTTAGGAAAGAGAGCAACAGCAAAAGGGTAGGTATAACTGAACCCTGCAAAAAACCGACACGAATCCAACCCTGCAAGCGTGATTGAGCAGTCCGGAGAATTTTTTGATAATAAGGATCCTGGCGATTGTTTGCTAGCCGAACGTCTTTGAAATATGCAATCTGTAATTTAGCAATTAGAATTTTCCGGTTGAGCGTTCTTGAAATATTTTGAATTTCTACCTGCGAGCCGCGGCCCCGCCCCTCCGCTCCACTTTAAAAAGGGCTCCTCGCCATTGGCTCGCGGTTTTTGAGATAGTAGGACCAATTCTTTTTAGTATATTGTGGTTGTTTGTCGGTAGCTAATAATGGTAGCCATTTGCCGGGAGGATGTGGGGGAGGAGAAATTGCTTCTAACGGCCATTATTTGGGTTACAGGATTACGTTTATGGCCTATAAATCAGCATCTACCCAAACCAGTATTCTATTTTGCGTTTTGGTCTGCTATAGCTATGGCTCAAAACATTGGTTTTGGGTGATTTGAGCTAGGTTGTTAGCAGTCATCAAGTAGTCCAACTAGTTTAATCCAAAAGTCTAGTTCAGTTCAAAGAGTTCAAAGCACTCCGCACTCGGATGATTTCATGGCAGGTAAAGAAAATTTCAACCCATTGTGTCGGAAGTGAAGCCAAAATCGCCGGGAAGCGGCGGATGTAGCTTTTGTTCAGATAGAAGTTATTTAAGTCTTTGGGCCATGGCTAGATTTTTTTTGGTCTGATGACTGAAACGGCATTTACTGATAGTCTGGTGTGTGTTAGAAACTCATTAGCGCGCACGTATTCTCTTTTATCCCTAGGGATATTCTGCCTGATCCAAGAAATGTTATTTTACCTCTTAGGCGAGTGAAACAGAATTTTTTTAAGCTTCCCTTGACTTTATGGTGCCCAAAGCAAAGATGACTTTTTTGGGAGGCTTTACCATGCGCCCGGAAACCCACATAGCTTACTTTAAAACCGGCGTTTCCGGTTCATTCGCTTCCCCCCTCAATTACGTGCTCTAATCCTATTTCGGGCCGTGAAACAGAGGGCCTGCTCAGCCACACTACGCCAGACGTTTATGTCATTTAATTAAATGGGCTGCATCTCAATCTACAGCTCAACTTGTTTCCGGTCCCTCTACCCTAACTGGCTACGGATGATGTCGCCCGCATAGCGCAGTAGGGAACGGCTTCCGCCATTTCGAACTAGCAATTTTTACTGTTAAGGCCGGCGGCCGGACCCCAAATTACAATCCCTTTAATAATCTGTTGGTTCCGGGTAGTCGTACGTGGAACTTTGCCCTAGATTATACCTGTGAAAAGACGGCTGGCTATCGGGTTTGTATTAATTTTTCCAAGTTTTCAATTAGTACCACTCCTAATTTGATAGATTTGCGCGTACACTTCAGTAGTATTCCGAAATTCACGCATCTCCTTTTTCCACACCAATAATTTATTGGGCAAGAATTTTTTGGATGCTGGGGGTGGGCCATAAGGGGCCTCCCTACCTACCTAATCTCTACACTCTGGTCCCCTATTTGTCATCTCGCCAAAAGCCGAAAAGCATTCTGAATTTGGAGCCGTCGGTGCTTTGTGCCTAGTCGAGAGGACAAAGCTTCGACCACTCCTCGCCAAATCTGCGAAATAATTTCCGAGCTTGTCCCGGGCTGGGGGCTAGAGAGAGGGGGTTCCCCTGAATTTGATTTGCTTCTTTTTCATATTGACGTAGAAAATGTAGTTTGACTTTTAATGCAACACTAAGGGGAATCCAGACTTGTTTTTTTTTCTGCAATGGGGTTTGGGCGCAAAAGCAATTATTTTCCTACCTGAGAAACCAGAACTATTACCCCGAAGTGGAATTAAATTCACGGGAGGTGTTTTCTAATTTTTGCAAGTACAAGCTTCAGGGGAAAGTGGCAAGGAAATGATGCGATAATGGCGATGTTTCTTGACCAGCAAAACCAATTTCTTTGTCTCTTCCCCTTGGGGGCATTAATCTTACGAGGGTGGGGGGTGATGCCTTGAGGGGTTCGCTTTCTTCTACTTCGTAAATACCTGATTAGAATTAATGGGATTCGGTTGTTTGCTTCTGCTGGGTTCTTCAGACGTTTCCGGCGTGTCGGGCGGGTTGAGCAGTTTTCGGAAATTCGCCCGGCATCCGCATCACTGCCCGGTCAGTAACGCTGGGAAATGTTTTCGAGGTGTTGCGTTTTTAATCCTTCCAATTTCGAATTAGACACAATATTCATGGATCTTCAGGGATAGCAGATGTATTAATCTAAATTACATAATAGCTCTTATATTTTGAAAATGCTGTGGAATTTTTCAAGCTCTATTCTATAGATTTAGCCGAAAAAAATATAGTTCAAAAGTTTTATGCACAAAAGTTTGGTCGAATCTATAGGTACCAGATAGGATAATGAGGCGTATAGTATACAGCTTCTGAAATAATGCCGTTTGGAAGGCCAACTTATCGAAAATGTTTGCTCGCCCCGTTGTGACGCAACAAAAGAATCAGTAATGCTCTCTCCCAGTACGTTGTGTCCCCCTTTTTCTGGTTATAGCGTAAAATGGGCCACGTTGATATCTTTTAATGTGGATTTTTCTTGTTTACGTAAAATAATAATAATATACATGTAATCATTGAAAAACTGCAGCAATGAAGTGCGAGTCATTGGTGGGTGCATTGGTGTTGCTGTGCACAGTCGAGGCGTTCTTCCTCTCCCATCGCACCATCAAGCCGGACGACAAGCCGCACACGCCAAATTACATTCGGCTTCGTAAAAATGATGGTGGGTTTAGAGTATAGTTTAGAGTAGGCTTGATCGGAATAAAATGGCTTGCGAGCAAGCTATACAGGGTGTCCCAAAAAAAAACCCCCCCTCGGCATTTGGCCATCTTCCATCCAATCGGGACCAAATTTTTACCAGTGATGGGGTCCCATAAAAACTATGTGCAGCCGAATTTTCTAAGCAAAATATTGTAAAACAAGAAGATATATCAAAATTAAAGTTTATTTTGCCGATTTCACTACGATTTTGACGGATTTCGGCCTCGAAATGTTTAGCAAAAATGAAGAGGGCACTCTTTTCTACCTGTAGAAATTTTTTGATTTACAAAAATTACGTTTAAATTGGGCCTTTTGATCACTTTTTATTATCGAAATTGCCAGAAACTGACCGAGAAATGACCATTTTTTGGAAAATTACTCAAAATCCGCATGCTAATTGCGAAAACATAGCCAAAAACGAGTACCAGCGTTTTCCAAAAATCAGTTTTTTAGCGATAACTTTTTGGTTTTACAATATTTTGCTTAGAAAATTCGGCTGCACATAGTTTTTATGGGTCTCCATCACTGGTAAAAATTTGGCCCCGATCCGATAGAAGACGGCCAAATGCCGAGGGGGGGTTTTTTTTTGGGACACCCTGTATTTGCCTTTTTTAGCTTTGCATCATAATAGGCCTGCTATTCAGACGCAGAATTTAGAAACACAACTTACAGTTTTTTAATTATTTCATTTTTCAATAAGGTTTTCTAAGGTTTTCAGATTCTGGCAGATCTTTCCTATGATATTAGTTATTCCTAAAATGTGACCTGCTAGTCTTTATAAGCAAATGTAGGAATTCCGGAAATCAGGGGGGTAAAATAAGATAAAATAATCGTTGATGCTATTCCAGCCTTCCTGGCCTGCACCACCGACTCGCTGCAAAACGAGTGCGGTCCGAACGGGGTGGATTGTGTGAAAGATGCGTGCACGAGATGTGCTGTCCATATCTCCGATCCGTACTGTAAGTGGCTACGGTATTTTGTTAATATTCGAGGAACTAGTGAATAAAACTTTCGGATTTTACTTTTTTGGCGAACTAACTAACTTAAGCCCGCCTAGATAGTTATACTAGAAAAATAGTGGCTATTTTTAGCCTACTGCATGCGCGTGACATCATGCGTCTGCTCGTTGACCCGCGACCCGGACTGCTTCAAGATCGTCGACGAGTGCTATTGAGACCCAGGGCCACCGAATGCATAAAGATGTTGTATATATCAGAATCCTGGCAAATTCATCGCAACCGAATTTACATCGTACACCATTTGACAACCAGTAAAAACCGTTGATCATCCTCCTGACCTGGCTAGGCGACTACAAACACGAGACACGCGTTTTTTTCGGGGACCCCCCCGAAACTGTTATTTAGCATCGAAGTATGGGGGGATCGGCTGACCAAACAGTTTGTGCATTCCATACTTTACTAAAAACGCAGGCGAACGGACTGGCACCTGTTTTTTGTGGGTATTGGATTATTACGGAAGCTTTCAGCATTGTGTAGTTATATACCGGTGCTTAAGAGAATTGTTTTTAGCTTCGGGGTTTTAAGCTTGTTACTTCAGACATTTCATTCTTATTGAGATGCTATTATTTTAAGGAGGTCTAGTGCTATATTTATAAAGATCGAAAGAAGACCCTTTCCTCCTTACTCCACCTCCTCCTCTACTTATTGGCTTGTTGGCATCCCTTCTCAAGCTATCCTCCCCTGCCCCGTTCCATCCGTCTATCATGTAATTGTGTTGCGTGAGCAAGATGGGTGAGGAGGATGAGATATGGGAGGAGAAGCTAGCCGATCCTCAGGGCCACACAGCTGCCAATGGCCGTGCCGTCCGTCGTGTTTGTTGTTCAAACTTTTCCCCAGAGCTTTTCCGCTGGCCAACCACATGCTATACTGATAGCCGTTACTCACCTCACACTCTCGATGCTAGGCTCGCTTTTTTTTTGAAACTCGCGCCGGTTTTAGGTTACTCGGGAGGAAAAACTGTCTGAAATTCTAGGTCTCATGAGTCAGTTTCGGAATTTCATGTAACGGGATTGCTTTTTTGGATTGCCGTAATTTTGTATGGCATTTTAGCTTTATACCCAAATTTTAATACCTTAATACCGAAATCCATTATTTTTCGATAGGACTAAAGCCAATCTTTCTATATTTAAAATGAGTTTTAATTGAATTTCTGTATATTGCAATTTTGGCGTAGTGTTTTTCTCCGTAGTGAACTGTCGATATAACCTCAGTCAATCCTTTCGTATAGTGTAGATAGATCCAACCAACACCCCCCCGAGAACTCTTTGGTCGCATAAAACCCAAAAAACTTAACAGCCCCCCCCCCCCCCCCCCCCATTTGAAGGCGATACAGAAGAAGCCCTTCAGGCCCTCTGGGGCCATTTCCGCTGACAGATGGAACCGACGTGAGGCCAAGGATTGGCACATTTCGACGGGGTGAAAACAAAATTTGGCGCTACTTAAGTTTGCTGGCCCCACTTATCAATGGCCAAATCCTCATTTCTTTGGTTCAGTTTTTTGCGCTGATTACGGAAAACACTATCCCAGTCCACGAAAATGAAATCGTGAATTTTGAGGGGAGAAAACACTTGATTTTCGATTTTTCTGGTTTGAGTTTTTAAAGGGGATCAACCCGGTGTTTTGATGCGGGAGGCCTATAAAACAGTGGAAAAGCTTTTTCCAACGAGGCTGAGCGATTGCATCCGCTTTTTTTTCCTAAAAATAAGGCTTCGTGCCACCCCGGGGCCTAGTCGCTTCGGATGGGTGCGAGCTCGTACAGGGTTTCGAAATCGGGGCGACCGAGGCGCGCGAAGCGGCCAGGCGCCCCGATTTCGAAAGAGTGGAGCGGCAGCCCATCCGAAGCGACGGCCCGCCTTGCCTGACAATGCTACTGGCTTACTTTATTCATGATAAACCCGTTTTTGGCCATTATTTAATTAAAAAACCACAAAAAGGCTCCTTTTACGCGACCGCCGTAAAATGGAATTTTCCCGACTTTCCAATTAAATTGTTTTACTAAATCGCATTTTCGTGGGCTGGGATAGTGTTTTCCGTAATCAGCGCAAAAAACTGAACCAGAAAAATGAGGTTTTGGCCATATATAAGTGGGGCCAGCAAACTTAAGTAGCGCCCAAAATTTTACCCTTTTCCTAGCGTTGCACTTTAGGATTTAAGATGGACGTTGCATGGCTTCTAATTCTGGCTTTTCGGGAAGGGGGGGAGGAAATTGCTTTTTGGAAGTTGTTCTAGATAACACGTACGTGTCTGAATCTGGCGTAAAATGGGATTTAGACTTTAAGGTACGACGCTACTAAATTTCAAAGTAGACAGATCTGGCAATGATTCTATGTGGTATATTCTTGCTCTGGTTACGATGAATAATTCTGAGGTATATCTTGCAAGCCTTGCAACAATGTCTTTTTGACTCCAAAAATATCCAGCCTTGATTGAGGCACTGCACTATCTCTCTCTCTCTCTCTCTCTCTCTCTCTCTCTCTCTCTCTCTGTCATCCTATAAATTCGGAAGCTGCCGGACGGCTCGCTGGTTTGTTTTTCAGTGTTTTTCCATCTGACCCTCCTCACCCCCTTTTAGGACGACTTCTTCCTTCCATCCAGAGCTTCAATCTCTACTCCACTCAACTACCCTTTGCGGCCATCCATTAGCCACATAGTAATACAAAGCTTCGAAACTTTTATGGGCTTTAAAATTTTTACTGTTTCATAATAGCTCACTTTTCCGTTTTTCGAAAATGACGTCAAATTTTAATTACCCATTTTCATGGACATGTCCTAATTTCAGTGTTCGTGTTTGCTGCCTTGACCTAACCAAATATTTTGTTCTGTTGGCCCATCTGGATGCTAAAGCTCCACGTGTTGCTTATTATAAACACCCTTCCAGCATTTTTGGGTCAGCCATGTGCGACATTTCTCGCTGGGCTCTGAGAATGTTTTTTTGTTTCCTTAACTTCAGAGACGGGTTTGGTTTAAAATTAATGCATTTAATGGCCTGCTGGCTTTTTCACCACTTCTACAGGATTCGTCTAAACTTGTGAGTGTCTGCTTCAGCTTCGGTCGTAAGGAGAAAAATCGGCTAGCCCCAACCAGTAGCACGTACCAATTAAAAGCATCTCAACGATCCGAAATAACAGCCAACTCGGCATTTCTCAAATTGGCGCTCACCGAACGGCTGCTACACGGACTTAAAAAGTTATATTTGGAGTCGGGTTTCCTGGAGTGTAGAAAAAAAACCGAGCGCGACATGGGCGGCAATTAATTTTGCGCTAGAGATATAATTAGAGTTAAGGAAGCCGTGTATTTTTGGTTCGGGACGTAGGCATTTTTTTGGGTATTGGTGGGTTTCGGTGGTATATGCTGTTTTTCAAATTTTTTTTATGTAGCTGTCTAGGAGTGTGTTGGAAGGGTCTAAACCCGATTTAATCCATGGCCCACCTGGTCCCTGTAAATTCCATTTTCTTGTTGTCCGTCGAGAAATGTTTCGCTTTCAACATTTGTTGGCATTCGGCGGCTGAATCAACACCTTGCTGCTGGTGGCGCTGGCCCGATTTCAAGCTGGTCAGGCCGCGCCAATTGACGATCGGCCGGCGCGAAAAGTGCACTGTTTTGGCCCGGATAAGAAGCGCGGAAATCTAATCGTTAGGGAAGGGACGGGGAGGCGTTGCCGGGGTGTGAATAAGATGACCACAACACAACCAGAGAACTAGATAGATCCCAGCTGACATACATCATTTGAGGCTTCGAGAAATGTTGTCGGAGTTCTAGAAGTTTTGTGTGAAGCGTTTTAAGCTTTTTCTGAATCTTATCTTATGTTATCCACTTATAGTCTATATATGTGATTTTGTCCCACCTGGAGTACCTTTAGGGAAAATACAGCATTTTCTGGGGCAAAAATCTTCTTTTTGATGGGCGTTTTTTGAGCAGAAACGGCCTAACTAAAAATTGGTCTTTAAAAATGCATAAATCAGCGACTTTTGATTTTTATGCAATACCAGGGTTGAAAAGCCGCTTCGCGACTTTTCAACCCTGGCCCCGTCTGAGCCCATGATATCCTGCACATTGCATAATTCGGCCGAATTTCGATGAGTAATAATGAAAAATGCACTCTTTCCGCCATTATACAGACTGCCGCCACTTCCGGCTTATGCTAATTAATTCCTAACAAAGAGGCTGCCCGATTTTTTGGCATAAATGGATTTTTAATGTCGAAAATAGCATAATTTGCAAAATCTGACATGCGTGCAGTCATCTCGGCATCGTTACGCACCTAATGACGTATCGTACGTAGCCTAATACCCTTCCCCCCTTGAGATATCCTCCGGACACCCTGACGGAAGTTGCATGCAAAGTGTCACACACACACACACACAAACACTATTTTTTTATATATAGGAGGATATCTATAGCTTTTTTAGTCATCGTATTCCAACGCCCCCCCCGCGAACGCTCCAACGTTTTTTATTGAATTTCGTTTAGCCGTGTAGCATCTGGTTGTGGTGCCCTCGGTCTCGGGGGCCAATGCTAGCCTTCTAGAGAGCTGCTATTTGGGGGGAATGATGGCTCATGCAAATGTGATTCCCTTCGACAGCTTCTCCCTCCCTCTTTCCCACCATCACCACCTCCACCGCCCATCTCTTCTACAATACTTTTCGTTCTTTTCTTGATATTTCTTGGAGTGGCTTGGCTTTTCACCTGGGTGTGGTGGGAGTGTCCAAAAACATCTGCGCACCCCCCAATTATGGCCCTCCCACCGGGTTGGGGGACTATACGACTTTTATTTCTAGTGTGGGAATTGGAGGGATGGAAAGACGGCATAACATACCAAATTTTAGTATTAGATTTTTGATTCGGTTTAGTGAGTTTTTGGGCTTGAGAATCTAATGATATATTAAAGCACATCCACTGTTTGCTTGTTAAAATCTGTCTATCTCATTTTAATTTTAGAAAATCTGGAGAATAGTTCTACTTAAACATTATGTTTGCATTAAAAGTAACCAAAATACATTTTAAGCGTTAGAAACCAATGCGTTCAACAAAAGCGAAAAATTTTGTCTTCGATTTGGGCATTTCTGCCGAGCGAAAAATACGACTCTTTCATTAGAAGCTCTCAATCGATTAAAGTCATTATTTAGGGTGCTCGAAAAACAATCCCGGGTCTATATGAGAACAAATACGTTACGTCGACTATTATCCATGGATTTTCTGAATTTTATTAACTGTTTATTCTATACCCTAAGATCCCACTATCGTCACATCCTTGTCGGTGGTCCAAACCACGCACGTGATCCGGTATCCCGTTTTGGGACATCGTCCCGGAAAAACGGTTCTCCTCTTTCCCCCTCTGCATCTATCACTCGTCCTATTTCCCCAAGAGCTTATGCTGTGAATAAGGGCCACGATCCCTTCGCCGAGTCACATACCCCTTCTCTTCCAACGTTCAACTTATTCTGAAACCGACTGCCCAACCGGCATTCTATAAAAATATTTACTAGATGGTCCTGGGTTTTGAACAGTTCTATTTTTGGCATATAACATTTGATATGGTTCGGACGGATTTGGTAAAACATTTTTACGCATTGGCTTTTGGCAATACTGTGGTATTGAATTTGTCTCATTAATGCTTTGGACAACTTTTTTCTGTCTGAATTCTACGTCCTAAATATTTAGTTGTGGAGGTAATATCCAAAAATACTGTTCCCATGGTTTTTTGTATTAATTCACATATAAAGTTTTTCCATATTCTCTTTCTGAATCCTATTGGGCACGTCAACTTCCACACCTACAAAAAGTGTACCCCGGAACCCACTAAAAAAAAACTCGAAAAATGAAAGTCGTAACCCAATCCCCCATAGCCACTTTTTCGCATCGTTTTTGCCGCGATCAAAGCGACGAGGTTACCCAAAACTTTCGGATCTCCCATCACTTCTCCCCCATAACCACCACCAGAAGTCCGAAGGCTGCAAAAAGTAAGGGTCGCAAAAATGGCTGCCCCATTCCCCTGGCATTGCGTTGGATGGGACAAACAGCGCGTGAAATTCCAGCCGCCTGGGTATTCGGAAAGGGCGGGCATTAGTCGAATTAACATGAGGTCATCTACAATTTTTGCGGGGAGGTGTAAGAATTTTGGGAGCACGCCCACAAGCCTTAGAGCTTGTTAAAAAGGGTGGTGCTTTTGGTTTTTTGTCTATTATAGAAACTGAGTCTTTGCGTGTTGAATATGAGGAAACTAGCGTCCAGTTTGCACCATTTATGATAGTTTTGTTCGTTTTAAAGGTGCAGGTCACGAAAAATTGTGCCATGAAAAATGCAATGGGCGCAAACATTTACAGTCGCGTGGATAGAGGGGGTATGGCTTTGAGTCCCGTCCGTTCCATTCCCATGGACCACTTCATACCACAAAGTCTATTTGACGTTAAGGCCATCGGGGATAGATGGGAACAGCACAATGGGGGTTTTAGGATAAAGTACGCATTTAGACGCTTTTACCTATCCTCTACTGGCTGCTGAGAGCTCTAAACTCAACTAAATTAATTTCTATAGATTTCTACCGTTCTAGTTCTTGATCACCCGAAAAGGGAGATTTGTTTAGAATGAGTCTATATGATGAAACACGCTACACTATAAAAACTCGACCGGAAACATCTAACATCCCCCAAATTTAACCCATTCTCTCCAACCCGAAAATCTTGAATACCTAATCCGGGTGCTACCTCGGTGTGGGTCTCTATTATTGTGCCGCCGGTTCAAGACCACTTCAACCCCCTCTAGCCGGTAAACAGGGAAAATTTCGCAGCACAAGTCCATTCCGTTTAACAACATCCGCACCACCAAATAAGGTCACGAGACTGTTTTTTAGTCGGACGAGGAAAAAGTGACGAGGTTTTTAGGGTAGTAATCATAAAAACTAAACATAAGAATGTTGATATAATGAGCCATAAGGCGTACGGGAAGCTTGATATGTTAAAAAGAACGTGTAAATTTTGGTTTCAATCTATCTTGGCTGCATAAGCGCGACCCGTATTTTTTAATTCAACGTTTTTGGGTGCTATTCAGGAAAGTAGGACATTTTTCATCAAACCCATAGAAAACGTGAGCTTCAATCCATCTTTCCTTATTTTTTGTTGTTATTCTTTCAGAAAGGGGTCAAATATCATGATGCCATAAACGCGATCCCTCTATTTTTATTCAAATTCCCATCTGCCGGCCTCTCAGATTGCCCAATGCAATGCTCGATGTGTTTTCGCGTTCTGGTTTCTTTTTTGTCGTGCTCGGCTCCCATTTAGAGAGCAAAGGAGAAATATTAGGAGTCGTGACATGATCCGGAATGGCTCGCCCTGTTTGGCGTGTGTGTGTGTGTGTCGGTGTGCGAGCAGCCCTTAGGGGGTCAGACAGACGAACACACAAACACACACAACTCCAAATACAAACAGTCCTCGCGGTCTCTATCCCCTTTCGATCCTCAATTTTGTCTTTTTCTCGGTTTCTCAGCCGTTTTGGTGATGTCTCGCGTTGGTTCGGTCTTCTAAGACCCTCCGTCCCGGCTGCTATAACCGGATCCGCGACCGCGCGACCGCCCCCGTTTGGGTCTTATGACCGATGATGAACCCCTTTTTCGTGTCTATGCTACTTTGCCCTTTATTTGGATTTTGCAGCGAATTGTGACGGTTTTTATGCGGTTTCTTTATCTCCTCAGTAACAAAGTTTACTTGAATAGCTTCCTCCCGGCTGAACTTGTTCTTTCCATCCCAGATCAAACCCTGTTTGTTTGCATTAAGTCCCACAGACTTGACGGCTTCGAGTGGTTTTAAAAACAGACCGAGACCCAGCCGTTTTTGACAGTTCTGTTTTGATGAAGCCGGCCTCGGAGATTTGATCAGAACGGTTGGAATAATGGCTGTTTTGGATATGTCAAGGCTTCTCGGAATTCTGGTGGAAAAATTAGTTCTGATAGCTGAACCAATGATTCTATGAATTAAATTTTTCAGCTTTTTTGTATATATATACTATTTCGTTTATGATTGCGCATTCCTGGAAATATTCATTGTTTTAACTAGTTTAAAGTGGTAAACTCATTTTTTGCATTTTTCATCGACCGAAAAACGCATATATTGTTTAAGGTGGGAAAAATAGACACTGGCCAAATAGACATGATACGCTACCGTTCATCGCCCTTGACACTCCAAATGTCAAAATGACCCAATGATTTTGTGAACCTTGATGTGGTGGGCGGGTCGGAGACCCTCACAAAAAAATGTTTCAAGGGTTGGTGGCCACCGGGCGAAACACCGAAATCCGAGACTTCGGCTGCCCACCGAATTCCCACCAAAATTCCGATGGCGGGCCCGTGCCGCTGTGTGCCGATGGACGTTCCTCATTTTGGGATAGGGATTGTAGGGAAGCGAGGGTCTAATTATGGCTCGACATCATTATTCGCCCGCGCTAACGTTTTTTTGTATGATACCATTGTTGGTATTGGGAATGGGCATCGGATCGAAATTTCGAATAAGAGTGCTTTTGGAGTGATTCTAAAACTCCTGTGCTACCAATAAAACACTCCTTTTAAGTTAGTCTGGTCTTACCTTTTAACTTTTGAATCTACATATTTATTTTATGCCCTCTTTTTTCAAAAACCTGTTACCTCAGTTCCTCAGAATAACAACAATTTTCCAGAATGAAAAGATAAACAAATGGAACTACGCTGCCTATCCGACGCCCAGCTCCAATTATGGCGCTCCTCCCTGGAGAACGTCCTATATACAGTACATAACAACACTAAAATTTACGTTAGTTTAGGGCCTTTTCCCTCCTCTTTGTGTATTGGGACTCATCGGAAACGCGTTGAATCTAATGGTTCTCTGTAGTAATGATATCATGTCAAGGTAATGTCAATAAATCTTACAAATCGAATTTCATTTAGAGCCAATGTCTTCTTGGCATGTTTGGCTGTATGCGACATTTGCTTTTTGTTATTAATGGTAGGTTTCGTTGGAATTTGCTTATTTTAGTGTATTTTTAGGTTCCCCATTCCATGGCAAATTTTGACGTCTTCGCTCTCTCATTTCCATTTCGATCTCTCTACCTACCCGCTAAATTGCATTTGATAGCATTTGCAAATTGGACCTCAGCAGTAGCCATCTGGTAGTTACAATATTCGCTCCTAAAATCTTATGCTTATTTAAGGCTGGTGGTAATCGTGTGTTTTGAAAGAGTATTGGGCGTCAGATCTCCTTTACATCGATTAGGTGATCCGAGCCGGATGAGGATGTTAATAGGTTGGAAGCTTATTGATTTTCATATCTGAATTTGATTAGGAATGCTGTTGCTCCTGATAACAGCTGGAGCTCTAACATTCTACAATCACGTCTCCCATCATTGTCTCGTACGCACGATTTGCAATGGGACACAGATCCTGTCGATTTGCATGGATGTTAATATGCATACGTAAGAAACAAAAATTGATTTTATCAAGCAAAATAATTTTAGATGGCCTGGAAATCGGCCTAATTTGTCGCCACCAGCTTTGAGAGCGTATGTCCAATGGACAAGGATGGCCAATGCGTTACTGGTAACCTCAACCAATTATATGGTTTGGCATTTTTGATTTTAGGTCGTTCTGGTACCACTCTTTCTTCTAATCGTCTTGAATATAATGTTGCTGTATTATGTGAGAAAGCGGAGTTATTTTGCCTATGAAACGTTGGGAAAGGTTGGATTTTTATTGGTCTTTGCATGGGGTTTTAATTCCAGGTGACCAAAAAAGTGGAGCGGAAAGGTTCCCCCGCATTACCGTACCTCACCACATTATTTCGAAGGCATTCTGATCAGGTAAACATTTGAGGGAATTTGGTTATGTCGAGATTTGGTCTAGATTGTGCAACAAAAAACGGAGCACCGCGTAGCTGTCACGGTGTGTGCCGTGGTTACCTCGTTCACGATAACCCAGGTACGTGTAATGGGGGGTGTCAGAGGGTGGAACCGGATATTTAGGCACCTTCGGCTGTCGTTCTTTGTATCAACTCGCTATTTGCTGACCTGGATTTTCGGTCAACAGATGCTTGGTGAGTCAATAGCAAGATAAAATATAGTATGCTTGGTTTAAAATAGAATGTAAAAATTTAACATTTTAAAAACCCAATCCTTAGGCCCAAGCCGTTTTCGTTAAACATACCAATGCTTAATTTAGGTATGAAATATCGACCATCACTTCCTTCCTCGTCGTCATCGGCAAAAGTCTAAACTTTGTCGTCTTCTGCCTCTCTTCCTCCAATTTTCGCCACAGGCTTTTCGCCATGCTTCGCGCCAAATGCGGCGGCCGAGAAGAGAAAAGGTTTGTCATCCCCCAACAAATCTTTATATTCAAAGGCAATCATCCCAAGCCCTATTATTTCAATAACAAAATCTATAGTTTCGTTTATGCAGGGACCCCCGATTAGAAACCCCCGAAAAGTGGTTTGTTCAGCTACCGTAGAGATTCGTCGCGCTCCACAGCAACCACTACATCGAAGACGTCCAAAAATAGTGTATGTCGGTGTGGAGAGCGCGAGACAACTTCTTCCTCACAATACTTTTTCTGAATTTGGGTGTTGAGGTTGATTTTGAAAGAAGGTACAGGATGTTCCAAAAACGCTCTAATGCGACGAAGTTTCGGATCGGGATGGTTGTTTCATCATTCCAAAGCCCTTAAGGCCGCGAGTTTGAAAAGTTTTTTGTTTATATCCATGTCTTGGTTTAAACGTTTACTGTTAAAAGCCTTGTTAGAATTTAGGTAATATCAACTTCCACCCATTGATGTCAAAAGTCTAGGCAGATCAGTTCGTATTTAAACAAAAAAGTGTGGGAAATTGCTAAAAATTGACTGTTTAAATAAAAAACATGGTTATCAATGTGTTTCAAACCACCGTCACAAACGTTTTCGAATGTTAAAAGCTAGAGTTTGATCTTTAAGAGATATTTTTTGGGACATCCTGTAAGCGGAAAAGAAAACAATTTTGACTCCTATCCATTAAAATTTAGCAAACATGACTGATTTCAACCACCCAACCCACCATCCTTTAGTTATCAAGTATGAAACAATGAATTTAACCGAGTGAGTGAAGTGACAATTTAGAAAACCCTCCATTTCCCCAACTCCTTAGTTTTGCCCCTGTATTTCAGCCGGGAAATCGATGCGGGATGGAATGTGGAGATGAGAAGACACTCCCATTGCAGGCCAATGTTACCCCTCATACTACGGACATCCATCAGTAGCGCGTGAGAATGAAGTGCGCACTTCTCAACGGCTAACACTAATCCCACATCCACATCCACAACCCACGCAAAGTCACACGGTGCGCAAGCTATCGCATCCCTCAGCCGTCCCTCCTCTTTTTGCATGGTGCACGCGTTGTGGGAATATTCACTTCAAAAAATCAACAAACGCACCGCGACAGGTTGAACCCGAAAAAATTCGAGATATCTGGGAACCGGATGTTCAGGCAAAAAATGAGTCGAGAAGTCATGACAAATTTGCTTTGAGTGATCAGCTAGAAATCAGAAAGTGAATCGGTGCTGATTAAATATAAAAAAAATCGCAAAATTCCGGGGCTTCAGTTGCACGCTTTCCACAAGTTAAAATAATCGAAAAATCGTCAAACACCGATAATCCATACCCTTTTAGACAAGCTAGAATTTGCAATATTTAAACGCCCGAAAATCGAGTCATTCTGTTTAACTCACCCTCGTCACTGAATGCAAATTGAACCACTCCAAGCGTTTCAAATCATGTAAATTGCACGAATTTCATAAGTTGAATTAAATTACCATAAAATCTATGCTTCCCCCCCCCGTTGCACACTCTCAAAATCGGAACGAGCCTGCTGAATGCATATAATTGCTACTAGACCGGTGTGACCTGCTGTGTGTATATCATCCTCTTAAAAACAAATAAAATTAACTTATTTGCAGACCACTCTCCTCCCTGACATCCTACACTAGCTGCAGCTCATCAACGAGACGACTGTCGCCGAAGAAGAGCGTTAACCTTTAAAAATAATGTAGACTGCCAATATGCCTGTAAAATGATGGCCTACCGCTAATAGCATAATAATGGCAAGATTGTGAAACGTTATAGGATTGGTGCCTTTGCATTATCGAGGAGGGCAATCAGGGGAGGGCGTATTTTAATAGTGCTTTATAAACTATATTTCTAGTTAAAAACTAACCAAAAAAACTTAAAAATTCTAAGAAAATTTTGGTCGTTCATTTTTGGTCGTTTCCATTTTTTATAAAAGTATGTAAAGTTTATGAGTTTAGTAATAGTAAAAAAACATTTGTTTAACACTTCTAGTTCTATTAGAAAACTTCCCAAAAAGATAAGTTAATTTTCCCCTGATTCCCCCGCCCCCGTTAATGCGAAAGAACCCACACAAAATCTGCTTAAAACGTTGTCTTTAGAAAATCTTCAAAACAAGCGCGTTTTTTAGAATTTCTAGATTCTGGTCCCAAACTCTAAAACGCGCTTCTTGTGTCCCTTTAACCCAAAAATGTCCCACATTCCATTACCATGTTTTTATCGCTTTTCCGCCATGACCATTTTCCGTTGTTTCACTTTACCATCCTTTGGGTCCCCACTTTCATTCAAAATAATATGAGCTGGATCTTATATACTTTATTTGCTGCTGTTTTCGTGTATTTTTTTATTAGTTTTTATGCGTAACTTTAGTACTGGATAGTTGTCCGCCACGATGGGTCACTCTGCAAAATACTCGGTGTACATTCTCTTTCTTGTCAAAAAGGTCCACATTTCTCCTCGCAGCAGCCTTGTTGTGTTATATATTTCGTGTTTTGGCATTTAGTTGTATCCCGTACTATATTGATCTCGAGGCAATAAAGGATATGTAAATGGCATTGGTATTTAAAATGAACCTTGGAATTTTAAGTACGCTAGGAAACCAAGGGGATATTCAAAAGAATTTTTTTGCTAAACAATTTTGGATAGCTAAAGATAGTTTTCTGACTACACAAATAGATTTTTACACTTAATAACCCAATTCAAGCCCGATCAGCTGTTCCTCCATTTCCACCAGCCTACAAGTTGACCCAGCCACCGTATCCCTCTAGTTTATAGCGGTGCTCTGCTCGTTCCCCCGTTGGTCATACAACTGGACCAGAAAACGACTGGTCAAACTGTGAAGCCAAAAATTCCCTGAAATTACCCTACCACCCGAAAATATTAGCGAATGCCCCCAATGCTTCGATGGCTTGGGGAGCGATTGGGTAAAAATAAGGCTATCGGCGTTTAATCAAAATTTTTTAGGCAATAGTCAGTCACCATCACACTCCAGTTCACCATCTACAGCCAGTAGTGCTTATTCGTCGCCTAGAAAGGAGGTAGAGTACTAGTAATACCCAAAGATGGATACCCAAATTATTGTTGCTCCATGAACCAAGCAGTTTCAGGGCGATCTCTCAGCCGCCTATGCCTCGGACCCATCACAATGGGAGAGTTCATTCGAAAAACTATGGACCAAGGCGGAAAAGTAGCAAATTTGTTTAAAAATAAGATACAGCTAAAGCCTCGCCATCATTGGTATTTATAACACATTATTTTTCATTTTTTAGATGCCTAGAAAGAATGGAAAACAACAACGAGCACGAGATCAGTTATGAAGAGGTACAAAATACCTGCCTGAATTTTTATTTTCATTTAGGTCACAATATTCGTGAGTCTCTTGAAGGAGATGTGCCAATTGTTGATGATGGAGGTGAACGCACAGCCGGAACCGGCGATTGGCCCTATATTGGATCGGTAGGTTAGGCACTGTAACCTAGGATTTTTTAGGTTTTTCACTCAACAAATCCTGGAGCGAACTATGGATTGGGCAATTCAGGTTCCGTTGACGTATAGGCCGATATGCCAGGTAAGAAAGAGAGCGAGAGAGAGAGAGAGAGAGAGAGACGGAGCATTCCCCTCAATTTCATAACATTTCAGCTCGCTCTAATCCGAGTCTACGACATGATTGTCAGCGAGAGCCACACACAAAACCATTGTCTGTTGGTGCACAAACCGGTCTTGATCCCGCTTTTCCGGTTTGCGCTTGAAAAATCTATCGTGATAGAATTTTTCAGATTATTTGAATGGTGTCGGAATGATACGGGTGCGAGGCAGCGAGGAAGAGGCGCAGATCCATCTGCAACTGACAAACATTTTGTGCTTTTGCTGTATCAGGTATCTTTTCACTGAACCAATTATAAAAATCTAATTTAAATGTGTATTTTTATTTTTTGTATAACCACGAATTTTCTAGATTTGCACAAAAATGGCCGGCGACCCAACGCTACTCCACTTTTTCTTCACTTGCGCCGAAGGGGCCGACCAATTCGTTGTGTTCAACCTACTCGTCAAATTCCTCTACGATCAGGTATTTCCCCATCCGATTTTATATGATTTCCCTCCCTTAACCACATCTACCAATGCCGTATTCTAGGGCTTTGCGCACAAGGTGGGCTTGATATTTGCACCAGGACCACACTCTGGCTAGGGTGCTAATTTGGCTTCACGGATTCTTTTGGGAATAACGCACAATATACAGGGTGTCCCAAAAAAAAAGTACCCCTCCGGCATTTCGCCGTATTACATCCCAACAGTCTCAAAATTGGACTGCAGGTGTATCAGACCCTAAATAACCACAATCCTGAGTTTTAACCCGATAGCTACAGTAGTTTTCGAGTTATCGTCAAAATACTGTTTTTACGCGGTTCTTAACAGTTTTTTCGGCTATCTTTTTGGACTTTGCATCGATTTGCATCGACTTCCGGCTGCGAATCCCTAATTTCGCTTAATATCGGGGTGACTTTGCGTTACAAAAATTGTTGAAATCAACGGTTATTTCACTATTTTTATCAAAAAAAAATCTCTAGGGGGGTAAGGCAGGCTTCCCGCTTCATTTTCACTTAATATTCGAAGGGTCGATTTCGACGAAAACCATATGAAAAACGGATAATAACGTTTATTTTTGTGGTATCTCGATGATTACTGTAGCTGGCGGGCTATAAGTCAGGATTGTGGTTATTTAGGGTCTGATACACCTCTGGTCCAAATTTCGGCCCGATCGGATGTAATACGGCGAAATGCCGGAGGGGTGCTTTTTTATGGGACACCCTGTACGAATAGACACTAAACTAATAAATTTGTGGGGGGCTTGGCAAGTGGTGGAGATAAGAGATATAGGATTCTAACATGCAAAGTTCAGAACGACGTGGGACAGTTGGCGCGCGATGCTCTACTCCTGATCCTTTCGGTGTCATCGAAAAATAAATCAGTTGCTGAATTTGTTGCAATAAAGGTAAGTAACAGTTATAGAAAATTTATCTATTTTTAGTCTTCGTTTTGCCCGGTATTGGCTACGGGGCTTTCCGGTTGTTTCTCCCAGCTATCTCGATTTTTGGGGGCGGAAATGGAGAGAACCTTGGATTCCGCAGCTCATGAAGCCCTTACCGATTTCCATTCTAGTCTCCTTTTTTGTAATGCTGTTGTACAGGTAATATTTTAGTTATTTTTTACTTTTTAAATCAAAATTTTCAGGCAGCTCACGGTGCTATCGTCGAGAAAATTGCTCAATTCTTTTATTCGGGGTTTTTGATGTCGGTGGTAAGGCCAGCATTATTACAAGAAGAACGGGAAGGTGAGAAAACAGTGCTAAAATAAATGACCTTCTTCAGGCGCTGCCGCGGCAACAGTCTATTTACAAATCTGTTTATCCACAGTGACGGAAGAGCCACTGCTACGAACTATCGTAATTATTCTAATTATCCACGGAATATTTTTCAGGTCCGCATGTTACTGCTCGAAAAAGACGATGATGACATTCTTCCCATAATTCAAATAATTATTTCAAGGATAAAGATTGCTGATCGAGTAAGATTTCAATATTGGTATAATATTTTAGATTTAATTTTAGCTGGGAACAGTATCGTTGTCACTTCTTGACGATTTGATCCAACTGGGATGCGAAGATGTGATGCTAGTGCTCGCTTTTCGGACGCTACTTCCATTACGGTAATTTAATCCATTCGATCGCCAGAATTTTGCATATATCTAGACATGCCACCCGTTCATTGTTATCAAAAGTCCGGGACCAAAGCCAATCGGTGCAGCTTTCGGAGAAACTGTTAGGTTGTGTGCCCCAATGTGCTTTAAAGTATGACGACGTAGGTCATGGAAACGTACACCCAATTTGAAGCAATATTTTTAGGTTGCATCTAGGCTTACCGTAAGCTTGTACATGAAAGAAGGGGCTACTCTTATTCAAAAACGAGTAGCTTCATGCGCAAGATGGAGATGGAGGTAATAACAGGCCCCTTGGTTATGCAATAATGTAAATCAGATACGATGGAGTGCAGCCGAGTCCATTATTATTCCGTGGAGATTCGGATGACGAGCGATCGCTTCATTCCGGTTTCCACCGACTTTCTTCTGTTAGATCTTCCATGTCTTCGTCAGCAAGGGGGATAAATCGCTATTTCAGCTCTAAAAGTGCCCATTTGACGGCGGAGAGGTGAGTAAATAAACCCAAAATGGTGTAAAGAATATTTAGTGGGGTCGGCGAAGCTGGACATAAGCTTGCGTCATTAGGAGGATCTGCCGACCAATCACCCCGCGATAGCCGTTCTTCATCCCCAGTCGTTGAAGATTCCGAATTTATCCTTCCACCAATCACGTTGGTTCTCCTACCTCGATAGCCAATAATTCCTTTAGTTCCTCAAAAATGACGAGTTCCATGGTAGACTATTTTCAACTTGTTGCCTACGATGATCTCTCTGACGATCCACCCTCATCACCGGAGCGTTCAAAAGTACAAACGAAGCCTATGAACGGTCATTCAAACGGTGGAGAGCTGATGTCAGAACGAGAAGAAAAGTATCCAACTTTCCACTAGAATAAAAAACGCGATTTTTAGATCCGAAGCTGAATCCTCGGCCCGCGGCTTCGACACCGATGCAGAAATGGCAAGGTCATTTGTGCTCTCAGGATTTGGTGATGTGGAGGTAGGAATTTTTAAAGCAAACGAGGCTTTTTAATCGTCCAGGACCTCGATACCTTCAAAAGTCTATTGGATCGACGTTTGTTAAACCCCAAAAAGATGGCTGGACTCGCAGAAAATATGGCTTTCATTGACAGCAAGGTTTGTTGAGCAACCAGGAGTGTAACTAATATCAAATCAGATCCAATATATGAGAGAGCTGGCTGAGGAGAAGGTCGAAGAACCAGCTGATATCTCTGGGGCTTCTGAACCACAAAATGAAACTGGACATGAGGAACCGTTGAGGGGACAGCCAATTGAGCAGGTTCCTGGAAATGGTAAATATTTCGGACTTAATAATCAATCCAGATTTAGAAGATAAATTCTTTGTGGATGATTTATTCGACCAACTGGATTCAATGTGTGGGCATGGATTGGCGTATAACATTCAGGTAAATTTCAAGATTTTATGCCAAATCTTTGTTTCTTTAGTTAGCGCGTGTCCTGGTTTCCCTAGCCACATACCCGCATCCACTGCTCGTCTCCTATATGTTTAATTATTCGAATGATCCCGATTCGCATGGGACACGATTGTTTGAGGTAGAATTGCCAGGGGATAAATGTATATTCGAGATTTTTACAGATTCTTGAATCACTTCGTGACCGCGTGGATGCATATGCAGAGACTGTCGAGGGTGTCGATGTATTTATCGGTCGAGCCGTTCGACAGTTGAATGCTAAAGTTGGTCGCGCAGGGCGACAGCCAGACTTTGCGACTCGTTTTATCGAAAGTCCGCGTGAAGATCCGAACTTAGCGCGTGGGAGGAATTACGGTGGCTCCGGGAGGAGGAATTATTATAGGTATGCCGGAAGCTTAATTCTTTGAAAGTCTTCCTGATTCAGATATCACTCCCATAAGGTGGTCGAATCCCGAGAAGCTGCTCGCATTGACGAAACGACAAAATGTGTCGTCCATTCCGCTATCGTTCTTGCTCATCTTGTTCAACAACTAGCAGGAATTGTCCTCCACTATCCAATCGCTGTCCTCAACCAGTACAATCCTCCAAATAATTCATAAAGCCCTAGTCATCTCACTATCACAAAATTCTATAACCCCTGTTTTGGTTCTATTTTCAGCTATACTTAATCCGTAGCGTTTGGCCATCCATCTTGGTGCAATACCGGTTCTTTGCCGACGGCATAATCATAACATAATCAATTTACGAATATTTATTATTTTATGCAAATCACCGCATTGCCTTTAAACCCCCTCAAACAGAGCAGCTACGCCAAATGAATTGATCGATTCTGTAGAGACCGCCTTGATGCCTTACAATCTCCCTCCTCTCCTCCAACATCAGTGCTTCACTAAATTTTCGGTCTGTGATAGAGTTTAATTTATTTGGGTTGCATTTTTAAATAAAGCTAATATATTTGTTAAAAGGAACATGGCATCAGATAATTTTTTCGTGGGGTTTAGGCCGTTTTAGCAAAAAATTGCATTATTCCTTTGTTGCCAAATATTTTCTTTCTAATTGTTCCTATTTGCTTTTTTAAGCTTTAAACGACTGTTGGATTTTTTTTTTGATTCATTCCATGCTCAACAGCAGGTCTAAAGAAAAATCGCTTCATGATCTGCGAGTGAATTGACAGGCCGGCGGTGTGTGCCCTGTGGCCAATCCAAAATGCCAGAAGCCAGCCGGGGTGGCTAAATGCACATCTGTATGTTTGTCGCCTTTTCCCCTAGAGAACATGTCATATATAACACAAGGCCCCTTCAATTGCCCTGTGGTCTGGCTGGGCTTCGGGCTGCATGGTTTTTGTGTGTGGCCCGTGTTTTGTGAGCTGTTTCGGGCATAGTCACTGTAGCCAGCTGCAGATGCAGTTCTGGATGTTGAGGGATAACCCGTGTATGGTCTTTTTCATTACACCGAATTCCGAAATTCCGAATTATCCCGAATTACAAAATGCAGTGTGCAAATCGCCGAATTTAAATTTGTTTTGAAAATGGAAAACTTTGCATTCATCCTAAACTTTTCCCAAAAATCTGGTTCTGAAGTTATGGGCATGTTCGGCATCCGACATTTACATAATTGTTGAGATCAGACGGACTGAAAAAACTTTGGATCAGGGTAAATGGTAAATTTTGGAATCCGGTGTGATGGCTCCAAATCCACTTCTCTCCTCACCTCCATTCAAAAACTGATCTGATAGGCCCCTAGGCGGGCAGGGAGTGAAGCGATGTGCTATTCGAACGGCCCGACGAAACCTAATAAAACTCGGGAGGAAGGGCGGAAAGGTTTGGTGAGGACTCATAAGCAATGGCCCCAGGGTCTGCCCTCCTTTTGGGCCCTCCCAAGCAAACACAGACACAGAGACCCAGCCCTTCTTTTCCTTGGCCCCCCTCATTTCCCTCCAACACGTACCCTTCTTGGCCCTCCTTCTTTTTCTATTTTCTCCCTTTTTTTGTCAACCCCCTTCGTCCCCTCCGTCCGTCCGGCCGAAATAAATAATTGCCACTTTTGCGACGAGCCGCCGAGACGCCCTCGAAGCTCCTCAAATCTTTTCAGCGCTTCCGAAAGTAACGCTTCACCAAAAAAAATGGGAGGTTGAGGTGCGGGGAGGTGCGTCCCCGCTATTCGGTGGGGTTGCCCCCTTGAGGGCTCAAAAAAGAAAGGCTTAGTTCCTTATTTGTGGCAAGGGTGGCGTTCGGACACACAGACAGACAGACAACCAACCAGTGGGCCTCAACCCGATGCGCGTCTAGTCTACGAAGTTTACATTGTTTCTGCATTTTCAGTCCAGATTTACTACAAATTGCTCCCCACCTGAGGTCTAAGGCCATAAAAGTTGATTTCAAAAATTTCTTAGTAAACTCGAGGGCCCATGTGTATTCCTTTTAGCGAAAGGCCGCCCCCAGAGGGCCTCGCGGTCGTCTTAATTTCACCAAAATTGGCTTTCCATTCGATTCGGTGGGCGATGGGTTCTTAAAGTTTACTTTTTGTTGTGGTGTACTGTATTTTTAGTCAGGTAGCAAGTCAATTCCGGGCAATGCGGGGTAGCAAAACATTAGGTTCAGCTTTAAAGTATGATTAATGCGTAGAAGGTTTGAAAAAAATGCTTTGCGGAGTTTCAACGCTATTCTTGACGAATACCAATGACAAAATCATAAAAAGCGCCTGTCGACTCGTTTCATATAGGCTAGATTTTACGTTTTGGGCTTAATCAAGCCATGGTTTAGGCTGAAGCTCCATTGAAACACTAGTTCTCAAATCTTTTTGCCACGTGGTTTAACTGGACTTATCGATCCATTCGGGACGGCATCTCAGTGATGTAATCCCAGGTTTTGGTATGGGCTGGTGGCAAAATCAGAAATAATTGGCGGTTTTTTGGAAATAGGCGGGGGCCGTTCGTTGGTGCCCTTCATTGGCCCCCCGGTTGACTAGGGAAGGGGGGGGGGTTGCCTGCCTTCCCACCGCCATCAACCTAATGGCCACGGCTATTACTGCTGTCAACTTGTTGTCCCCGTGGGGGGGCGGCTTTTTCGAATCTTTACTTTCAAGCAAAGGAGAAACGTGTCACCTTTCAATTAATTCAAAGGATCTTCAGTTGTTTTATTGCACTACTGGACGGATGTGTGTCTCTCTTTATTGAGCCTTTTGGCAGTTTTAATGGTTCCCTAAAGTACCTTGTTGAAATTTTCATGGCGGTAATTGACTCCCAGAGACACAAAAATTGATAAGAACTCAAAATGCGCGCGCGGGCTGGCATTAGTGCCTGTTTTTTTTCTGCGAGTGCGTCGGTGCTCCCATTTACCCCAGCCCCCCGATCAACTGTATTCCATACAGTATCACTATATTTAACACACCAGAAGGTACATGTTTATATGGGTTGTTAGCGGGAGTTTAAAGGGACGGGCAAGGCATCGCTATGGTTCTTATGGTAATTAACGCTTGACGGATTTCCACGCGACTGCGTTACGTTACGCGAGCCTTCTGCAAAAAGGGAAACATAGGTGAAAAAAGCGATATTCATTAAAATCCATAGCTATGCCATGCCCCCCCCCCATTTCAAAAAAATCCCATTTCAAACCGGAATTCAATCTAGCCACAAAACCCTCTTTACAGATTTGATATTTCTTTTCATAGGACATTCTCGATCTCTCCGCTATCTTCAGGGGGTAGTTCTCTGATTTTACGTACGTGCTAAATGGGTTATATGTATTTATGTGTAGTAGGTGTTGGGCAGAGGTTGTGGTGAGAGCGTTGATGCTGCTAATTGGTGGGTTGTGGACAGGAAATGAATGCCCACTTCGACACCGGCCGCCGCGGGGGGGGTGCCAAGCATTTCCGAATTGAGCCAAGTAGTCCCTCTCCTATGGCCCCGATGCGTGTGTGTGCGTGTGAGACCAGCCGGAAATTGAGTCAAGTGCCACGCATGGGGGCGGGTGTCTTATAATCTGGTAGTAGCTATTCTATGTGCTATGGTCACTTTTAGGTCAAGTTGTGGGTTTTGGAAACAGACTGTTGGTGATAGGTTAGTGTATAGAGTATAGCAACAACCCCAGTTTTCCGTGAAAAATATTGTTTTTTTTGTAAGAGTAAAACCTACTACACAAAATACTGCCGTACGGATTGTGTGTATTAATGCACATCTCCATGAAGCCGCCATCAGCATGCTCTGCCCATATTTCGAAATTAAGGGTATGTTATTAGGTGCGTAGTGTACTCTATATTGTAACTGCCTAACTTTTTCTAAAATCAATTATTTTCCATATATAGCCTTAAAGTAAAGATCCCGCACCCTCGTGGCTAGGAAATAATTTAAAAAAGCATATCGTTGTTTTGGAGAGTGGATTTCTGAAAAATCCACTCTCAAAAACAATTCTCCGAATCTTAAAAAGCAACACTTGTTTTGAACATCTCAATATCAATTCTTGGTTCCGGAACGAGCATCAAAACCCTCAAAATAAAAATAAAACATACCCCTGCAAGCGCCGTCGATGGTAAAGCGGCGGAATAATCGGCTTATTTCCGGGGGCCGCCTAAGTTTCGTCGCCATGCCGAGGCGGCCTGTGTCTATTTCTATAGGTTTTGGTGGAATCTAGAGGCTGACGGCTGACGCAGATAGGTTCCATATGGGCTGTCGGGGGCGACAATGAGGTCACATTTCATGAGCCGACAGCTTTATATTGCATTTTTTGGTTTTTGTATTGGGCCTCTAACATATAAATGGCAGTTGAACACCGGTGTTTCGATTCCTGCCGAATTAGCGGGCATAAACTTTTACGAGGGGGCCCGCGAATGGGAAAATGCTTATGGTGTTGCGGGTTAGTTGGTTTCGTTCAGTATTTCTGTATTTTAGTGCTGTTCCCCACTTGCTAAGTAACATCTGACTAGTTTTTAGAGGTGGCATCGTGATTACCGTATCCGATTCCTAGCTTTATCAATTACTGAGTTGTTCCCCTGATTCTTAGGAGATTTCAAACAATTGAAAAAATAACATTTAGGTCGAATAGGCTTTTCTCAGCGCTTATTCTGTTGTTTACTTGGTTCTGATTAAAGGGATCAGGAGAGCTCGGATAAATTAACCATAAAGCCGGTTTTAGCTCGGAAATTAGCATAAATCGTCTCTTATCCCTCTCGCCAGCGCCCATTCTCCACCCTGTATTCTGCATTAGCATTCCCGGTTGGCAACTTGCAATTATAGATGAGCCCTGATCTACGTGGGCCTTCTTTATCCCTTTAAACTAGCGTTTTCCTGATTCACGAAGAATAGTTAAAAAGATAAATTAACTCAATTTCTACTTAGTAATTGACCCTAGCAAATGGCTTTCCTATTAAATTTAACCTGTGGGAGCCGTCAGACTTTCTATGTTTCTCAGTGTTACTTTTGACAAATTCCCGCAAAATATTTTTTTAATGTTTCCTCTCAGGTGAGCTAAAAGCTAATACAACGTTCGGATTATTTAAAAGCTTAAGCCTGGGCCTTGAATTGTAACTAATAACAAATGAAAATTATATAAGCACCCAAACGCTTCACTACAGCTTTACCCCATTTATTCCCATGCATAAGTTGCCAAATAGCTGTGATTGTTAACAGTTGGCCCGCCTACCGTATCGATTTGGTGAAGAGGAAAGGGAATGGAGAGAGTGGAGAGAAAAACGGCATTGAGGGAGCTGGGCTAAGCCCCCGCCCCGTCTACACACACCCCAAAAACCCCCCGGCAACCCCCTCTGGCTCATTTCACATCAAAACTTGCTTCGGGCACCTTTATGAACATTATATTTTGCGCTTAACAATCTACTAGACGTTTGAACTTATATTTATGGCCCCAATTCGTTGAGGATCATTTGTACTTGTTTCATCAAACCATACCGATTACGCAATAACAAAAGTGCAATTTGATGGTGTTCTGGGTGCAATCCGCGGTTACTCCCGGGATTTGCACATGATGCAGGAACTCCTGTAAGACGTCAAAATATGTTATCTTGATAGGGATTGCCCAACTATGCCGAATTTTGCTAAATTTTTCTTCGGAATTTGGCAGAAACTGCACTGCAAACTCATATTATTTCGAAAGCATTCTTCCAGCTATTGCTCTGATTATTGAATTTTAATAGCTTGCTCCGAATTCTATTACATTAGTCATTATATCTGAGGACCTCTTTTTAATATTTTCCATCTGATAACTCTATCGAAAATCTCACTAATTTTTATCAATTCCAGATAAATCTGGCACGGTGGCTAGGGACAAGGCTATGCATGAGTCGGATATAGAAAACCAGATGGAGCCCGGTACGCACGTACAAACCGTCACCTCAAAGGATGAGCTCCCGAATTCCATCATCATCACACAAGTCCCCGATGAGGTGTGTGGAAATTAACTTTCCATCACAACCAATCAGTTCAATAAAAACCAGCTGTATTTCCAGGTCTACAATAACATGGCGGTGAAACGGCAATTCTGCGAAATGTTCAACGACATTGAGCCGAATCCACATTTTGATTTTCTGAAGAGCTTCCGCCGAATACGCATTATATTCATGTAAGTGTTTTCTGCATGTAGCTCACACAAAAAAATACGAATCATAAAACTATGAAAAGCATTATTATATTTTAGGACACCAGAGAACGCGACGACGGGCAAATGTCGAGTCGAACATTTTTCTTTCAAGGGCAGTCAGATGAAAGCCTATTTTGGGCAGGTTGGTCAGCAAATAACTCTATTTTAAAATGTATGAATATATATTAGTGATAAATGCATTATATTTAAAAAACGTCACTCGATGCTATCGCTACTATAAGGCTTCAAAAGTATGCTTGTCGACAAAAACAAAACAAACTTTTCTACAAACTGATTTTCGAAAAAATGAAAATAGGCCAAAAATTCCAGGTTTATGGGGGGGGGGGAAGGTAGTCAACTTCTCTTTGTTTGGCATATGTATGCCTAGTGATAAACTGTAATGGATTTTAATAGGGTTTTTAGTAGTTTCCATTAATTAGAAATTAGAAAAAAATTGAATTTCATACTTTCAACATCTTTTTCATGAATTTCAGACAAAAAAGCAAAAATTCCCAACATGGTTGGTGATGTGTTTATAATTTTCACTACGCCGGCTAACAGACAACTTAAAACGGCGTATACGTTTGTAAAAGCAGCAAATATCTCATTATTGTATCTGTACAAGACGATAGAAAAAAGTTGGATAAAGCATCCAAAAGTGATAAGCCCGAGTTTTAGCGACTTATCCTGCGAACAGACACCGGGGCCCTGCTTCAACCGCCACCACTTGAGAAGCAGTTCCTCATTTCACCTCCATGTTCACCGCCAGTCGGATGGGAGCAATTAAAGGTTGGTAAATTTCAATCTTGCTACCCTTTCCACTTTGAATAACTTCCAAGAATTTTCGGGGTTCAGAGCTTCAACGTTAAGAAAAAGTTAAAAATCGCTAAATTTAGGAAATGCCTCCAGTGGTCTGCTCTTTTGACCTCATGGCCCGGTTGGCGGCGTTTGCTGTAGATGAAGAGTAAGAACAATATGAAAATTATAGATAACTATAATTTTTAGATATAAAGTACATGATTCGGGAAGCAGTGGATGTCCGTCGATCATCGTATCCCCCTGTGAAACACCACTTGAGGCTCCATCTAAAATCGAAATGCCCCGGACCCCAAGGCCGGGCACCCCAAATGTTGACGAGGAAAATTAAGTATTGCAGCTGAATGACCAACCCTTTTTGGTCTGATTCTACGTGTCGAGAAAACCACGCGAAAACCCTTTTGCTGCTTTCGTCTAACCCGTCCTACGCACACTCTTTTACCTAGTCAAATATCGTACCACCCAAAAAGCTTTTTTGTATTCCCATTAAAGCTTTAATCTCATTATCGAAATAATAATTTTCTCGGTGCGCATTTTAGCCACTATATAATTAGCGTCGTAAAAAATGAAGATATTTACCCCCCAAATTATCGACAAACTGTCAAATTTCATTCCTTGAGCAACATTTCGCAAAATCTATGCTTCTTATGCTAATTTAGCAATTTCAACCTATTTCTATTCGATGACCCGAGACATATGCATGGACTGTGTATTACTACTGTATCTACGATCTTATTACTTCCGATAAAGTTTCCGTACATTTTTACATCACTCACACGAGGCAGAAGCGAAGAGAGAAATTGTATGCGACCTTCCGGGCCTAAAAATATCTGTGCTTGTCGCGGTTGCGCCTCTCAGCCACTAATTGTGGGTGCCTTTCGTGCTGCAATTTCCACAATCATTCTACCAGAAAATTTATTCCTGAAAAGTCATATCACAGTACGTTTTATTACCACAAATGCTTTGCAACCCTAGGTATCACAGATATCCGAGAAGAACGCAATGATAAATAGGATGTTAGGGCCAGTATTATGAACAGGAATCTCGGGAAATTCACAAATAATTGGGGAAACCAATTTGAAATACAGGATACGAGGAAGTTTCATGCGCTTAATTACATCTTATTGCTAAAGGGCCCCGGAATTTTTTTTCAATATTCTAACACAAACCAGCGAATCACAATAAACCAAGCACGAGTTACAAGACAACTAAAATGCCCGGCAAATTAAAGCTATCAAGGCACCAGAAAAATGAATTCTAATTAGCATAGTGAGATATAAGCCCCCTCATAAAAGTTCTACACACCCGGAAACACTAAATAAGCATGACCACACTCTTGAACTCTTGTATGCTAACGTGGCTACACCATGTTAATATCGGCGTGCTTTTGATTCCGGATGTATCGTCTGATGATTCGACCAAAAGCTGCATCCCAGGAGGTTTTGTTCTAAAAAAATCGAATGAATTTGTAGGGCACAAATACCTTGCTATACAAATTTAAATAAATCGCGAGCAAGATGACCATTCCAGCCCAGATATAATCGGCCTAAATCGATTGTTTTGGTTATTAAATAATGTTTCTTACTGTAAAAGGTTTGGCGAATAGGATAAATGACAGCATAATTGTTAGCGCTTTCCGTAGAGTCGTGACGGTGACAGCGACAAGAGCACCAGAAACCTAAATAGGCAGAATTTTAGATAAAATTTTTAGCTCACCTTGATCAGGGTCAAAACCACATTCACTCCCAAATAACCAAGCAAGCCAAAAATGATGCCATAGCCATACGTCTCATAGGGATGCTATAATGTCATTATTAAAAAGCCCGCAATAGAGTAACCTTCAAGAAAAAAGCAAATGCCGAGAAGAATTCCCCGGTGATCACAGTATAGGCGAAGATGTAAATGGCCCCGATTGAATAGGAGTATAAAACCTAAAATAATGACTATTTAAACAATCGTTAAACCAACCACTTCATTTGCCGAAGCCCCGTACTGCTTCATCTTTTTCTCTTGCACATTTCCAATGACAGCATCCGCAAGTAAGGCACCGCTAAAACCATACAATAACCAAACTATGGATACCTTATCATTACGTATCCGCGTAGCTCGAAAACAGGAGCGACCCGGCTGTCGGCAAGCGTAAACATAATCAAGCCTAAAGAAATTTTAAAAATCAATTTTATTCAAAAATTACTTACCAATACTCATCAAAATTGCTGCCGAAACGTCAATCAGCCCATATCGTTTACCCTGGATCAGGATACCACCAATCAACACGGGGATCAATTTGCAGCATTTGAAGATCACCTAAATTTAAAAGTCATTAGAACCAGTAATTGTTTTTAATACCTGGGTTGGATAGTTCAGATACCCAACGGAAGCATTTGATAAACCCATTGTTGCCATCGTCAAGAAAGCAAGAAACGCGTAGATTTTCAGCGGCATTCTAGAATAACACTCGATCAAAACGGAATTAAAAATCCAACCTCCTTCTTGAATCATGCCACATCAGCCCTTCGCCGTAGCCACACCCGCTGTAGATGACAAATTGGAGCAACGTTAGGTACCAGCCGAATGGCTTCATCCCGTCCAACCGGAAGATCAACTCCTAAAAATAATCTTGAACAAAATACGAACGCTTACCTGCATGTATCCATATCCTAGGTAGAACACGAAAATGGCGAGGCTGAGGAGCACAAACTGCAACCATTTTGGTCTAAAATGGATGTGTGGAAACGGAAACAACACTTACGAATTGGTTAAATTGACGCCAAGCAGATGAATTTCGGGTCCGCCAGTCTTCTTGGAGGGGTGGTGTAGGGGGAGCATTGAATCGTGCTCCTCAACACCACCCTCGGCCTTCCCTTCTGTAAATACAAATTGAAAAATGTCTGAAAACGGAAAGTTTTTAGAAAATAGTGGGCGGTAGTTGGGCATGGGCAAGAAAGTCATGAGAACGGGGATGGTGTGTGCATTATGTGGAATATAAGGTGAGGAAGTGAAAAATAAACAGTTTAAATTAGGTTATTAATAGGAAAGCAGCTTTGCAAATCATAAATTAGTGGCGTTATTTCGTATCTAAACTACCGTACCATTGGTCCATCGTAAGAAAAATGAGAAGCATCCGGTGGAGCAATAGCGAAACAGGAAAGTTAATGGGTTCGGTTGGGGAAAACCCTGCTACTGCGCAGAAAAGGGGCGTGAACGAGAGAAGGAAGGATGACGACCCCGCCTTACCTGTATCCAATTTTTCAGGCCCTTTTTCCGGAGCAACGGCCATCTTTAGTTAGCAGAGAATGGAAACGCGACAAGTGGTTGATGGGAGGATTGGCAAAAGAACGAAAGAAGGGAGATGGAAGGAAAAAGATTTTCCAACGTTGGCTGCCCGGTAGGAATTCGGCAGAGATCTTGGCTGTAGATACGACCCCCATCCACTTGCTGCCATCCACCGCTGAATAGTCGAAAAATGGCTGTTACCCCACCACTCACCCCTTGTCGTCAACTAACCCGAAAAACAACAACTTACAAAAGCTGCCGTTTTATGCTCCAGTGACTCCGTGCAATAAAAATTGGTGTTTGACCAAAGCTTGTGAGTTCTAGGATGTTGAACCTATTTCATAGAAATATGGGAAAGAAAAGCTAAGCATAACGGAATAAGCCGCTTCAAAAAGCCCTGCTCGCAAAGATCCAATAAAGAAGGTAAAAGGAGAAAGCCGAATCCGTGCGCGAGGTTCCCGGTGCCATAACGCAATTGTTCTGGATTAGAAAACTACCATAGTTCCTCGGCATTTAACTGTTTTTGACGGTCTGGTAAGGCGCTAAACGACTTAGTTACTCCAGGAATTATACCAGCGTAAGTTTTTATCCAAAATCTATCCTCGAAATAGCGTTTTCTCTTTGAAAACCCTCACGGTAATTTGCAAAAAAGCTCGCAAAAGTAATTCTACCATGTTGATTAATGAAAAGAGCGAATCATTGCCTTTTTAATCAAACTTCAGCGTTTAGCGAGAACGGTTAGGCAGGGTAATCAGTCGTTCAAATCCACGTTTGGGGGAATCGGGCCGGGCGAAAGGGGAGCTTATGGTACCACGACGCGCAATAAAAGGCAGCGCCGGTGCTCGATAAAGTGATAAGTGCAACTTTTTTTACAATAACGTAAAACTATCTGGAAAAGCTAAAAAACTAAACGTTGAACTACAGAAATAGGGGGTCACGAAAACTGCGGGAATTCGATGGACATGGAACCATTCGACCTTGCGCTATTTGGGTCGATATGTGAGGCTAACCCCAAAACGTTGGAGGGCGACTAGTGGGAGACTTTTTTGGTGCGAAAGTAGGACAGACGATTCCAACATTTATTCGAAATGGGACTTATTGACCAGTATCTGGGGAGATCTTCATGAACCGTTGGGAACGATGTACATTGGAATCAAACATCAACACGTCTTTCCCTGATTAACTTTTTAATTTCCTCATTCGAAAGTATTGAGCATTGGATCCCTGCTCCGTTATGTTCTGCGTAAAGTTCTTGGACTTTCAAAATAGCGGCTTCTGCCAAATCCAGCGGCTCCAGATAAACAGTCTGTATCACAGTTCCTACCGTTGAACCCGTCCAAAGGGTGTCAAACTTTTTCTCTCGCTCCCTCTGAAAATAAGCGTCTTTTTGCAAAACTGGATACCGGTCCACCTGTTCTGCGCATCCTTCTAGCTCATCGAACGTAATGCTTCGGAGCGTGGCGATGCATTTTGGTCCAACCATTGAATTCCGCGTAATTAAACTTGGAGAATTCTCGGACAATTGCACCCTGAGCCTAGTGTTTTTGTATAATAACGGCGTTTTGCAATTATTACTTACTTGAGCGTGAATTCTCGCTTGTCATAGTCGATGATCAATTTGTACAACCTCTGCAGCTGCTTCCCTTCTGGCTCAATACTGGTCTGTGATAGATGTATCTAACGAAATCATTCATTTTTTGTAGGATCTCCTCCCAACCTCATCCCCAACTATCAGCTCACAAACTGTATAAGTTTTCAAAGCTTGCGACCGCAGGAAAAAAGACTGATAGGGTGGATCGTCGAGGAAGCCATCTTCCTAAAATTAGCTAAACGTTTACAAACATTTCACTTTGCACCTACAGCCAAATCAGAGTCAATTGAGGGATTATATTTGATCCAACTTTCCGAGGGTGCATCGTAAATTACAAATCCCCGCTCGTTACAAATATGGGCAAATCTAAAAGCTTCAGGGTTTCTAGGTATCGCAAATACAAACTTTTGCTGGATAGGATCGATCGCAAACGCTATCTTATTCATCATTTTACAGGATGTTCCAACAGCAAAATAATAGGGTGCGTGCGCGCCAAAGATCTCAGGAGGTCTCATAACTTGATGCATGTGAATTTCAAATGTATCCTAGAAAAATTTAGTAGTTCACCAATTCTGTTTACCCCGCTATGTAGCAATGTGATATACCAAAGTGTAGCCTCAATGCTCTGATGAAAAAGATAGAGCTTCGGGTAGGGTTCCTCGCCCTCGCGCCCACAAACTAGATCATAGCTGATGAATTGCAGGACTGGAATCTAGAAACAATGTTGTTAATGCAATCCTAGGGTTTACTTGGGTGTTTGAAGCCTTCAATCGCCACATTTGAGTATTTCCTTGGAAACTGATTTGGTATAATTGAAAAGAACATCCGCTTTCCTAAATACAAGCGCCGTTAGCTTTTGATCGTACGTACCTCTCTCACATTCGCCAGAATATAAATATCTCCAGTCGTCTTGTCAATGCAATAGAAGCGATTTTCTATGAACTCAAGATCTCTCCGAAATACTTTCTGCCATTTGGATGAGAATAAATGATGGCATCTCCAGACGGCAAGCTGTAAATCTAATTTGGTGCTTTCATTGTGATTAGAAAATGTGCCCTTTTCAGTGCATTTAAAGACGGTGAAGAGGGATGGCTAGACTAGAAATATCGATTTTGTCCACCGGAAAAGCATTATTTCTCATTTTTGTTGATTCGCACCTCGGTTCCCGATTCCTCTTCCATCGAGCCGTATATCCAGTCGCGGAAAATTCCGATTGGCTTCACCCAACGCTCTGGATGACCCGAAAACTCTTGGGGCACCATGCATTGGTGCACTGTTGCGGTCATTTTCCTTAAGATTGGGAGATCAGGGTTGATGAGATATTGATAGAAAACCGATAAAGAATTTCATGTTTTTCGAAAACGTAATTTAAAAATCGGGGGTAAAACTACTCCAGCCAGAATGCAAAATTTATTCTGCTAAATTTGCGCACTGAATTTCCATGAAAAATAATTTGTTTGTATGGTAGTTTTCAAAATCTCGATCATAACTGATCGCATAGGGAGCACAGATTGAGCACGGAGCTATTGACCGCTTGGAACCCCAACCCAAACAACCTTTCAGTTACCGAGGTTATGGAAAATTCAATCACTCTCTGGGGCCCTATAAAATTGTCGTAAAAAGCAATGGCTCCAACCAGATAATAATACATATGACTGACTAATCGACCATTAACTTGTTTCACTTTTCAATTGGTTCAAACACAATATTTAATGACGTGCAAATAGTACAGAATGGAAATTCAAGGCAACATAAATACACGCAAAACCGAAACGGAACCGTCTTCATCGAATCTAACTTGTTGGTTCTGACATTGATTTTCAATCGCTTCCATTTCTCTTTGATGTCTGATTCGATAGGCCTGTAGAGTAAACGATTGCGGTACTTGATAAGGGAGTAAATCAGCCTCGGTAATTCTTCGTTCTTCAAGATCCGATTCGCTTATTTTCCAGCTGGTCAAATCGGACAATGTCGGGATAGCGGTTAGGGTCGTCACCTGAAGACATATTTGACTGGGTGCCAAGCGGAGATACAATTTTTTGTCTTATATACTTACTTTTATGGTTTCTTGCTCTGCATATGAAAAGACATCATCTCCGAAAGCTATTTCGCTATGATTTGCGTTTGTGTTTATCGGTTCTTCCAAGATGAAGCGCTTTCTAAATGAATATATGACTATCTCAGGTTAACGATAGGTAATCTTATCTGCAAGACGTACCGGAAGCTGTATGTTAAATTCTTGTGATCAATATGCAGCGAATAGCAATAATGTGTAACTAATTCATCAGGGATGATGGCGCTCAGTATCCCAAAAATCTAAAAATCCACCTTGATTCAGACACGGTTAAACTCACCTCCTTCCCTGAATGAAAGCGAAACCGTAATAAAGGTTCGGTACTGTTTTTCGATTGTTGATAAGTTTCCTCTTGCGCATGATACAATCCAATGGCCATCATCTCTTTCTAAACAAAATGAAAAAACAACAAAATTCTTACATCGAGAGCTGAATTTCCAGCCATTTCATAGGTAACCCATTCCATTGTTGCTTCAGAAAATATTAATAAGCCACGCTCGTATGAAAAATAGGCCAATCTAAAAAATGAGCAAATATGCGACATTTTGAAGAGCAAACCTTCTTTGTGGTTCGCTTAGGGTAAAGCAGCTATTAATAGTCATGGAAAAATCATGAGGGGGCAAACCAGTCCGATCGCAATGCATTTCCAGATAATCCTAAAAATAATTTGGATTGGGATTTTCAGGAAAATATCCAACCTCTCTTACTCTAATCGAATAAAACTGAAGCCAAGGATCTCTTCGATTCTCAAAGCTACAACTATCAAAAAATGTGATAATCAAGTCATCATCCCAGAACATCCTTAAGCCAACTGGATGGAATTGATTGGTGGTATTCTAAGAAATTATTACTACGGAAAGGCAAGGTTCATAACCTACAAATGTGTTATTGGGAAACCTCCACGTGCAAAGCTCTTTGCAGTCACCATCCACTCGCACCAAAAATGTCTTTGACGCTTCATTTTGGCGCTAAAAGTCAATATTAATATATACTAAAAACTCACAAAAATGCCGACAATGAAGACATAAACTGTGCCCGTTCTCTCATCGAGCATTGGCTCCAGGAAAGTCATCGAAAGATAATCCATCTTTCCAACATAAAACCATTGCTTCGTAACACGATCGATTTTTAAAATCTGGCAGGTTTTGTAGCGCATCTGAAAGATATTTGATTGTTTGATTTTTAGAAGAATACAAAACAGTATGATACTTACCGAATACGGTGAGTCTTCCCATTCGATGACATAAATAAAATTATCTATTATACCGAATGGCTTCGTATGTTTATTATATAAAGAAGCAATTAGGGGCAGCATTTGGAGTGTTTAATTTAGATGATTGAATATGTTGATTGGGAAGGCTACGAGGTATTCAAAAGGTACTCCGATGTTAATTAACGTTGTATATCAGATCGATGACCTGGACGTATGCAATAATGCCCTGCGGTCATTTTCCCTCGCCCGGTTTCGTATCTAGAGTACTAATAGGATTTTTCGAAAGGTGTAGAGAGCGCATTCTACTTCATTTCGAGGATCACAACAGTCAACGTCCTAATATTGACTTCAATACAATACTCATTGCGTAGAAGTGAAAAACGATGAAGGCCAAGATCATGAAATTAACACAAAAACATAGGCTCCAAGGAAGTTGGCGTTGCGAATTCGGACGTTCGGCGGCGGCCCCCCGCAGTCCCTTCATACCCCTGACTCCCTCCTCTCTCCCGTCTCTCCCATGGCCTAGTGGTTTATGGCCCTGGTCCCAGGCCGAGCGGTCCGGGTCCGGTTTTGCCCCACGTTTAGTACCTACCGTAACCTCGTATGCTAAAGTGTTGACCAATATAAGATATAAGATATAAAAATCTGCGAGTACCGTTCAGCCGTTGCAGATATTGCCAATGCAGCGACATTTTTGTCAGGCGACTCCGACAAATTAAAACTAACGTTTTTTGTTGTAACTTGGAAATTACTGTAGCGATGGGGCTGTAAGTTTGAATTGTGGTTATTTAAGTCGCGATATACCTATGGTTCAATTTTGGGACGATATGATGTACGAGTGCCAAATGCCAGTGGGTGCTTTTTTGGAAAACCCCGTACTTCGTCTTTTTGAGCAGTCGAATGGCATATGATTTGTCAGTGAGATTAGTTAGTCATAGCATTGACCTTGAATGCCCCTTTTTCTGGGTCGATCGTGTCGAGCTGCGTGGATCGTGTGAGGAGGGTGAGGAAAGGCATCCATCCTTCTCAACCTCCCCTATACCATTTTTCTAATAAACTTTATAACTAGTCTGTTTCTAGTTATCGTTTTTATGAAGTTTTTAAGAAATGACGATTCGAATTGTCATAATTGGTAGTGGACCGACAGCAATCGGGGCTGCACTTAGATTACGGGAATTACAGCTGGAAGGTGATTTAGACATTGAGGTAAAAAATATTTTGGCTATATTCATGGTTTGTTTCGTGGTTTTAGGTAACTCTCCTGGAAAAGGAAAAAGTTGTTGGTGGGCTTGCCAGTTCAGTGACCGACCAAAGGGGATTTACATGGGATCTTGGAGTCCATGTAATGGGTATTATTCAGGCGGCTGTCCATCAAACTTCGCTATTTTTTCAGGTGCTACAAAATACAAAGAGTTTGAAAAGACAACGGCCGAAGCGGTCGGCCAGTGGAATGAGATACCACGTTGTGTTAAAGCCAATATGAAGCACATCATACAGGTAACAAAAGTAAACGAGCACATAAGGTACTCTTAGGCTAACGATCCACTTGATAATTACGTCCCCTATCCGGTACAAGATTCAATACCATATTTTCCAGATCACGGTACTTGACAAGTGTTTTAAACTCTGACTAATCAGTTTCAGAAAAGGAATGTTGCTTATCAGACCTAGAAAACCTGGAATCGACCAGCTCTGCCCCTGCCAAGAACTTTTCCGAGTTTTCCGAACAAGTATTTGGGATAACATTACGCGACATCTTCATACAACCCTATAATGAAAAGGTATATAATGATGTGTTCAAAGTTTATATTTCTGTCAACATTTCTAGGTTTGGACGGTGCCTTTAAAAGAATTGAGTTGTGTTTGGGTTGAGGGTCGGGTGCCAAAGCCGAACTGGCAGGAACTTACAAAAAGGTGTGGTTTCAGAATTTTTGAAATTTGTTGTAGATGTCGATTGACAATATCAACATTGCATGAACAAGAAGAACAAAAGCCGAAGACAGTTTTCCGGTATTTAAATTTTGGAATAATCTTTGTTACGAATGGCTCAAACACAGATATCCAGCGACACTCCGAGGGGTTGGTGCAATGTGGAAAAAGATTGCATATAAATTGCCTAAAGGTTGGATTCAACTCGAGAAGGCGGTTGCGAGTATTGATGCGGAAGAAAAATTGGTAAAAACGTATGCAATTACACAGTAACATTTTTTAGGTTCACTGCACCGATGCTTCTATACACCCATATGATTTTGTAATCTCGACGATGCCTATTGTTGAATTGGGCCGGATAAGCAAATTGATGCCGGAAATCAAACTGAAACATTCAAAGGTAAAGCCGTTTGATTTATGAAATTGTTTTAGGTATTATTGGTGGGGCTTGGCATCCGCCGTCCACAGCCCGAAGTAACCGAAAACTGGTCATGGGTCTATTTCCCGCAACCGGATATCATATTTTATCGGTAATCGGTACTGTAGACTTTTATATTTCCGTATAGTTGCACATTTATCTCAAACTTCAACGAATCCCTTACACCGAATGCCGCTGTATTTTGGAGTGTCGTATGCGAAATTGGGATGGACTCGGATGCGGAAGTTGTTGAGGAAGAAGCTGTTGAGAAGACAATTCAAGGTGAATTGAGGAGCATTATGCAGTGTGATCAATATTTTAAGGCTTAAAAACGGCTGGTATCTTGTATGAGAATAATACGATTGTCTCCAAATGGTTTTGCGCTTTACCCTATGGATATCCAATTCCTACGATTAATCGAGATTATGAATTGGCAAAGTGTCAACCAGTCTTTGAAAAGAAAGGCATTTTCAGCCGCGGGCGGTAGGTGGATTGAAATATGACCATCGTCGTTTTTTTTAGTTTTGGTTCCTGGAAATATGAATCCGCAAATCAAGATCATTCATTCACTATGGGCCGAGAAGTCGTCGACCGTATTTTTATGAACAAACCGGAAAAACTCAATTAAATCCCTTTTGTGTTAGGTGCCAAATAACAAAACTTTATTCAATATATGCAATGCTAAACAGAAAAAGAATAGATTACCGGTTCAGGAATGGGGGAAAGCTGTGACAAAGTCATATGTACATTTCGGTTCCTGAGGGTTTAGCGAAGAAAGGCACTGGTAAGTAAAGGTTAAAAATGCACATAAAAATTGTTTTGACTGAAAATGCTTGGTAAATGATCAGAAATGCATTTGACGTAGACTAATAAAGACTAGTGGTAGACTACAATAACAATATCTAAAGCAGAGTTCCAAACTTCTGATCCCTCATCAATTCATGGAAGTTTTTAATGGTAAGTCCTGTACAATGAGCTCCGGTAATGGTCTTCTTTGCGGCCATTTGCTGAATCTTCCAAATAGCAATTTCGGAAAGTGATGGTGCCTGGATTGGGATGATCTGAAATTTAGCCGTTGCTATTGTCATTTCTTAATTTACGCACCATAATATTTGACATATCCATTATTGCAACATAGTTTGGACTGCATGAGATATAAAACATTGTCAATTTTGGGATCGTGACAGAGGCTTTTCGTCTAAAAGAGATTAATAAAAAAGGAAAAGCTTACCGGAAAGTAAATGAATTATTTTCGAGGTTAAAGAGGATTTGGAAAAATTGATAGGTGGTGGTTGATGGGCCTGGGATTGTCAGCTTGGCCATGCATATCTAAAAACAAGATTAAGAAGGCCGAATTAGCCCCTCATTAGGGTAATTTGTGAATCTTTAAAGAGGTTAACATACCCCTTGATCAGCATATAATGTCAAAGGTGATTCCATAGCGGCTGCCCACCGCCCATTTCTACCGTAGCTTTCTTTCAATGCAGAAACTTGCAGAAGATTGACCATCTAAAATTCAATAACCAAAACAAATACGCTAGGTTACATCAAGAGCTGTATCCCCTTGCTGATGATAACTCCTCCATGATTCTCGAGTTTTATCGTAGATGAAAACCTCTTGAGCATTGGTGATTCGCAGAAACCTGAAAGAATTAGGTTGAAAGCTTTTTAGGTGTCCCATTCTTCTGGAGGCGCCAAATTTACCTTTGATTGTGACCATCTAAACAAACAGGAAACCGGACTGATTTAATGCCCTCGTTGTCTTTAAGATAATCCCGTCTCAAAGTGAATGTTTCCTAAGAAGTATTTTTATTTGGCTCCTTTTTTTTATTTTACCTCATCAAGATCCATATACCAAAAAGGCATTCTTCCAGCCAACATGGCTGTGTCATAAAAATGTAACGTCGGATATTTGGCATTTTCTTCATACAACCCTATAATGAAAAGGTATATAATGATGTGTTCAAAGTTTATATTTCTGTCAACATTTCTAGGTTTGGACGGTGCCTTTAAAAGAATTGAGTTGTGTTTGGGTTGAGGGTCGGGTGCCAAAGCCGAACTGGCAGGAACTTACAAAAAGGTGTGGTTTCAGAATTTTTGAAATTTGTTGTAGATGTCGATTGACAATATCAACATTGCATGAACAAGAAGAACAAAAGCCGAAGACAGTTTTCCGGTATTTAAATTTTGGAATAATCTTTGTTACGAATGGCTCAAACACAGATATCCAGCGACACTCCGAGGGGTTGGTGCAATGTGGAAAAAGATTGCATATAAATTGCCTAAAGGTTGGATTCAACTCGAGAAGGCGGTTGCGAGTATTGATGCGGAAGAAAAATTGGTAAAAACGTATGCAATTACACAGTAACATTTTTAGGTTCACTGCACCGATGCTTCTATACACCCATATGATTTTGTAATCTCGACGATGCCTATTGTTGAATTGGGCCGGATAAGCAAATTGATGCCGGAAATCAAACTGAAACATTCAAAGGTAAAGCCGTTTGATTTATGAAATTGTTTTAGGTATTATTGGTGGGGCTTGGCATCCGCCGTCCACAGCCCGAAGTAACCGAAAACTGGTCATGGGTCTATTTCCCGCAACCGGATATCATATTTTATCGGTAATCGGTACTGTAGACTTTTATATTTCCGTATAGTTGCACATTTATCTCAAACTTCAACGAATCCCTTACACCGAATGCCGCTGTATTTTGGAGTGTCGTATGCGAAATTGGGATGGACTCGGATGCGGAAGTTGTTGAGGAAGAAGCTGTTGAGAAGACAATTCAAGGTGAATTGAGGAGCATTATGCAGTGTGATCAATATTTTAAGGCTTAAAAACGGCTGGTATCTTGTATGAGAATAATACGATTGTCTCCAAATGGTTTTGCGCTTTACCCTATGGATATCCAATTCCTACGATTAATCGAGATTATGAATTGGCAAAGTGTCAACCAGTCTTTGAAAAGAAAGGCATTTTCAGCCGCGGGCGGTAGGTGGATTGAAATATGACCATCGTCGTTTTTTTAGTTTTGGTTCCTGGAAATATGAATCCGCAAATCAAGATCATTCATTCACTATGGGCCGAGAAGTCGTCGACCGTATTTTTATGAACAAACCGGAAAAACTCAATTAAATCCCTTTTGTGTTAGGTGCCAAATAACAAAACTTTATTCAATATATGCAATGCTAAACAGAAAAAGAATAGATTACCGGTTCAGGAATGGGGGAAAGCTGTGACAAAGTCATATGTACATTTCGGTTCCTGAGGGTTTAGCGAAGAAAGGCACTGGTAAGTAAAGGTTAAAAATGCACATAAAAATTGTTTTGACTGAAAATGCTTGGTAAATGATCAGAAATGCATTTGACGTAGACTAATAAAGACTAGTGGTAGACTACAATAACAATATCTAAAGCAGAGTTCCAAACTTCTGATCCCTCATCAATTCATGGAAGTTTTTAATGGTAAGTCCTGTACAATGAGCTCCGGTAATGGTCTTCTTTGCGGCCATTTGCTGAATCTTCCAAATAGCAATTTCGGAAAGTGATGGTGCCTGGATTGGGATGATCTGAAATTTAGCCGTTGCTATTGTCATTTCTTAATTTACGCACCATAATATTTGACATATCCATTATTGCAACATAGTTTGGACTGCATGAGATATAAAACATTGTCAATTTTGGGATCGTGACAGAGGCTTTTCGTCTAAAAGAGATTAATAAAAAAGGAAAAGCTTACCGGAAAGTAAATGAATTATTTTCGAGGTTAAAGAGGATTTGGAAAAATTGATAGGTGGTGGTTGATGGGCCTGGGATTGTCAGCTTGGCCATGCATATCTAAAAACAAGATTAAGAAGGCCGAATTAGCCCCTCATTAGGGTAATTTGTGAATCTTTAAAGAGGTTAACATACCCCTTGATCAGCATATAATGTCAAAGGTGATTCCATAGCGGCTGCCCACCGCCCATTTCTACCGTAGCTTTCTTTCAATGCAGAAACTTGCAGAAGATTGACCATCTAAAATTCAATAACCAAAACAAATACGCTAGGTTACATCAAGAGCTGTATCCCCTTGCTGATGATAACTCCTCCATGATTCTCGAGTTTTATCGTAGATGAAAACCTCTTGAGCATTGGTGATTCGCAGAAACCTGAAAGAATTAGGTTGAAAGCTTTTTAGGTGTCCCATTCTTCTGGAGGCGCCAAATTTACCTTTGATTGTGACCATCTAAACAAACAGGAAACCGGACTGATTTAATGCCCTCGTTGTCTTTAAGATAATCCCGTCTCAAAGTGAATGTTTCCTAAGAAGTATTTTTATTTGGCTCCTTTTTTTTATTTTACCTCATCAAGATCCATATACCAAAAAGGCATTCTTCCAGCCAACATGGCTGTGTCATAAAAATGTAACGTCGGATATTTGGCATTTTCTTCCCAATCTACCCCGAGTTGTCCTCGTTCCAAAGGTAGTAACTGAAAGTATGAATTCATAAACATGTCCATAAACTTTTTAAATAATTCCCATAATTTTCCACTTACAGTAAATAATTCTTCGTTGGCCAATTTCCAAATCCTAACTTCTTCGTTTTCTCGGTACCGGTAGAGTAAAATTCGGTGTTGGGCATCTTCCTAAAATAATATTTTAGATCTGGAATTGGACTTCGAACATTTGCATAGTTAATTTGTATGTAAAAACTAACGTATATTCCGTATACAAATAACCACACGTCGCCATTACGGTAGTCAAGTGCTGTCGAAAATGCCAAAAGCTCCGCGAATTTGTGTTTGAAGACGCATTCCCAGGGAGTCAGATTGAGAGCGTGAACTTTCCAGATGCCAATCTACATAAATTTAAATTCAGAATTTATTATTATTTTCTATACCTCGGTCTCGGTTTCTTCTGTGGAATAAGCGAACACGTAATCCCGATAGATGCCAATCTTTCGCAATCGATTCCGAGGATTTGAAGTGAGGTCTGCCGGCAAGGCGATCCTTCGGACCGCCGAAGCGACAGACATTGGTAAAATTACTGAAAGAGGGGAATATAGATTAAAATCAAATCTGGTGGCAGCTCAGGTAATAATGAATGCGTTAGGGTCATTAAAGACAATAGAGGAATGGGGGGGTTGGCAACAGCGCCTACCCAGCCGACCTCATTACAACCTATGGAAAGGGAAGGGGGGACAAATGGGAATGGAGGTGGTAGGTGTGGGCCTGGCACCAATCGATTCCTAAGTCATTTTAGGTTTTAATAATGGAACGAACTCTGTGAAATAAGGAAAAAATAAATTAGAGTAGTATTAGAAAACAATAATTTAGCAGCATTTAGACGTATCTTCTAGAACAAAACGAACAACAAACAAGTAACAATAAAATCTCGAACAATTATCTTAAAACGTTTGGAATAACAGCTCAAGAAACTATGCCGAAAATTAGCCAAGATATGCAAATTGGGGGCAAGAAAAAGTGCCACCAACGGCACGGAAAGTGAAGGGGAACCGGCTGGCAAGTGAAAATACCTGCCAAGCTGTGTATCGCTTTTCGCATCTCACAAATTGAATACACATTTAATGGGCAAAATTAAAGGTTTTAAATAACAAAAAAACATAGCAAAAACATTTAGTTTTGAATAAAATGTTGCTTTGCTAAGCCTGCTAATAATTTGAAGGAACAGGAAGGAAATGGAGTTATTCGTACGCTCAAAGTTTAATACTCCTACTTTGGGTTTTTGGCTTCAGGGACGACTTGTTTGATTTGGGAAAGAATCTACTTAGAAAAATCGAGTTAGGAAAAAGTTTTTCCAAAACTAACAAATAATACGAGAAATTTTGAATGAGATTTGCTTGCCAAGAAGCTTTTTTAAGAACTAGATCTGTAAAATAAAGTCCTAAATCCCATTGATGAGTACCAATCGTCCAAGGGAATCCAGATTGGTTGAAGGGGTTGGTTGTAAATTTGCATTGGTGGTTCTGAAGGAGGGTTAGGAGGGGGGCACAGGGGTATGTGGGGGTGTAGGAACTGGAAGTGTGTGTATGGCAGACAAAGCGAGAGTAGACGGGGAATGGGGTAGGGGTGTGAGAAAAAGAGGGTGAGGGTAGAGGCTTCTCCTCTATGGGAGAGAGGGGGCTCGTGTGCCTCTTCTGCATCCTATATAGAGAGCAGAAGAGGGGGGGAGGTCACTCGAAATCGCGGGACACACCACGGCTGGCTAGTTGACTAAGGGCGGTTAGTCTATTATGGAGGTCTACGTACCGAATACTCGCAGAGACTGGTTAATAAAATGGTGAAAAGGGCTGAGAAGCGTCGCATTACGAAGGTGAGGGCGGGTCGCATTACGTCCTTTTTAGGTTCCTCATAGCTTTAAAGATGTCGAAAACAAATTCGTCAATTTGCATCTGTCAATTAGTCGAAATCAGAGCAAACAAATGCTGCTCGCCAAGCTGGCAGCATTAGTCAAACTGGATGGAAAAGCGAGCCATCGGGTGTCGGGTGTTGTCCCGGGTGATGGGGTTGACGGGTACCCCCCGCATGCCACCAATTTGCCCATGTACCATCCGCGCATCAGAAAGTGAAATATGAGATTTTTGAGGGGGTGTAAGAGGCTGAAGAAGGGCTTGAGCCTTGAAAGGGGCCTGGAACTGTCAGAATTGTGTTTCAACTCTTAGATTGGGCGTAAATAGCTAAGCACTGCTCCAAAAAAAGGAATGGACCAGAATTAAAGGAGGTTGACAATGCGCAGGTTCCGGCATCGAGCTAACAGGCTAATTAGCAAGCACATCAAAAAGTCGCGAAAACTACATGCTCAAAAAATGTTTTTTTTTGACGTTATTCTTCTCATGTTGCTAGCCTGTTTTCCGGCATTGAATTTTTGATCCTTAAAATCTGATTTTGATCAGTAAAATCAGTAGTGCCAGAAAAACAGTAAAATCTCCTATCCGAGTCAACAGCTACCACCCATTATTGTCTACCACCGTTTAAAGTATTATTAGCAGTAATACGACCCAAATCATTAATTACGGGAAAGACGGAACTAATCCGGTTGTTGACAGACTGAGTAGACCCGTGAGTCTGGCAGGTGGTGAGTGTATGAGTAACCCTTCTATGTCCCTTAGTCTGTCTGTATGTCTGTCGGTGTATTTGTGCGCATACTGGCCAGGTGCACGTCGCTCCCCGGATGTGTGTAAGGAAATGGACGACCGCTGGATTACACATAAGAAATAGGGAGTAATCCGTTGGTATACATAGAGTGGAGTCAGAAACAGAGTCAGAGTCATTGGCATGAACTTTGAATTTTGAATGTTCTGTCTTGACGGATTAGGGTGTCGTCGATATAGATCTGGGCGTGAAGGTCATGTCTCGGGACGGGACTGCCGAACATTCACTTCCCTATTGACAGCCGTCGGAATTTTTAAGGTTCTATTCTGCTAGATTTAGATATAATTTCCCCGTAGACTTAAAATACTCCATATTAATAGTCTGTCTCGTACTGTGAAATTAAGGTGCATTTTAAATTTACAAAAATCAGAAAGCATTTCGACAAGTTTTTTTTTGCAAAATTTCCATCGAATTTGGAGGAAAAATTCGGAAAATGTATATGCAAAGTAAATAATCCGCCAAATCCACTAAATTTTGGGAGGACGGTCGGAATGGATGTGGCGACTTTCGCCTCATATGTTTGTTTGTGTGTCAGGACACCCCGTTAGGGCCCAAACACACACCAGCCTCCTCCTTCTCCTTTGCTTTGCTCTCTCTCTCTCTCTCTCTCTCTCTCTCTCTCTCTCTTTCTCTCTCTCTCTCTTTCTCTCTCTCTCTCCCTCTCTCTCTCTAACTCCGATTCCTTCATAGCCACAAGAGGCTATCGATCGATCGGGATGGGAAAGAAAGAGTACTTGGGTGTGGACAAGACAAGGATCCACTCTTCCTCATTCGCACAAAACCCATCTTTCCACACCCTTCATTTTCTTAACACTTCCATTAGACCTCGCCCCAACAGCTAACGTGCCCTAAATTCGTTCATCGCAAAAAGTTCGTCACATGACTGATAACCCATCGATAAGCTGATTAGGCGTGATTTTGCGGCGAATCTCTGGTTTTTTTGTGTCATCGCCACAATGCAAACTCAGGCTACATTAAGTTATAATTATATGAATTTAATTCGGTTACGTAATTCTCGTTTTTCAGCTATTTTTGAAGTTACAGCTTTTATCTATGGTCAAACAGTTCAAAAACTCTGGTTTTAAATTAGACAAAAATGCTGTTTTTGGATTCGAAAAAATTTAGAAAATATAAATGTGATAACAGTTTAAAAGTACAGCTTAAAATTTTGATAACCAATAAAAAATAAAAACAAACACAATTTATCGAAAAACAGCGCCATGGCAAAGCTTTTTAAGCCAGTCACCTACTCCAAATTTCTACAAAAAAAACCCAAGATAGTCCCGAATAAAATAGGTAAGTATAAACACAGACCTAAGCATTAAAATAGAATTTTATCGTCGCTCTGAATCATCCACTTTTCGAGATATTTTGGCTGCTGACCACTGTCGTAACAACCCTCCCCTAGACGTCACAAAAATTGCTCCCCTACCATTCATTCTATTTTGAAAAGTGTCTATTGGCTTAAAATAATTTCTACGCCTTCTACATTTCCGCTCTAATTTCGACTAAACAAAATAATGGATCAGGTGATGGGGCTGCTTGATGGGCTGCTGCGAGGCAGCCTGAGCAAGCCCCTTGTGGCAAATGTTCATACGATGGATGCTGATTTGGAGAGTATTCAAATTGAGGTATGTCTGTGAACCATCACCACTATTTTTTTTATTCCAGCCCGACTGCACCGGCCGTCACCTCTTCGACCAAGTTTGCCGTATCATTGGCCTTCGCGAAATTTGGTTCTTCGGCCTCGAATATACCAACAAAAAGGGAATTTCATGCTGGCTCCAAATGGAAAAGAAGGTGCAATACTCAAATTAATGCTATAATTGTTTTATTTAGATCTCCAAACAAGATATCCCTCGTTCCACCGATGGCCATGTGCAACTATTTTTCGTCGTCAAATTTTACCCAGAAGATGTGGAGGAGGAGCTGATACAGGATCTCACTCGGCATCTATTTTTCATGCAAATTAAACAGGTATCAATTCACGAAATTATTCAATTGGTTCTTTAGTCTATACTATCCCATAAGCTCTATTGCACCCCAGAAGCAGCGGTGTTATTGGCAAGTTATGCGGTACAGGCTATGGTAGGTGTTACTATGTAATGATAAATATTATTTCTTACTTGGTTATGATTTAATTGATTTATTTATGTTTATTTGGTATTAATTTAGTATGGAGATTGGAATGAGACGATTGAAGAACAGCTTGACATCAAAAAACAGCTACCAACCGATGTAATCTCAAAATATGAGATGACGGCTGATATGTGGCAAGAAAAGATTCGAAGATGGTGGAATGGAAATAGTGGAATGAGTCGGTTGGTAATTAAACAATTACTATTAATTGCACCAAAAATATCCCTAACTTTTACGCTTTTCTAGGGAAGATGCTGAAATGGAATACTTGCGTGTTGCCCAAGACCTTGAAATGTACGGCATACAGTATTATGCAATTTATGTAAGTGCTAAAAGTTATTTCAATTCAAAAATATTTTTAGAACAAAAAAGAAACGGACCTCGAGCTCGGCGTGTCCGCCCAAGGCATCGGAATCTACAAGGAAAATAACAAAGTGACCCCACGCCCCTTTTTCAGCTGGAGCGAAATCAAAAACATCTCCTTCAAAAATAAGCAGGTAGATAACATCATCAATATTCATAATATATAAGATTATAGTTTAATATGAAGACTGTGGACAAATCGACAATTTCTTTCCAAGCCAAATATCATTCGATCAACCTGTCGATACTGGATTTGTGTATTGGTATGTAAATGGATCGTGTCGTTGTAATTGATTTTTCAGGTACCCATAACCTTTATCTACGAAGACGACAGAGGGATACTTTGGAAGTTCAACAAATGAAGGTCCAGGCGAGAGATGAAAGGATTAGGAAACAGGTATCGCATTAAATCACTATCGAATCGAGGCAACTTTTGAATTTTAGGAAGAACAATCCCGATTCCAAAGAGAAAAAGAAGAACGTGTACAGATTGAAAATGAGAAAAGTGGGCTGCAAATGCGTTTCGAAACCCTTGAAAAGCAGCTGCAAGCAACAAAGGTTTGCTTTTAAAAAAATTCGGTCATGGAATGTTGTTTAGGACCATGCTCGCACTGTCGATGAACAGATCGAATTATTGGCAAGTAAGGCACAGCATGCTGAAGAAGAATTGAGGTATAGAAATAACTAAAAAGAGGGGTTTGAATGCTTGATTTATTAGGGCGGCTACCAAGCGGGCAGAAGAAGCCGAACTTGAAGCACAACGTCAACGAATCAGCCACCAGAAGGTAGATTTTCAAGTAGATCAATGACGAATTTAGGAGTTGATCAGGGCTTGGTATATATACAATGATTCGGTTAGAAAATTTTCTTTATTTTTGTCAGATGAATGCTTCTAGTGTTTCTAGAAATTCTGCTAGCCATTAGAAATGGTTGAAAATTCTTGAAGGAAACAAATAGAATTAATTCATCGCTTTCCAGAGCGAGGGCATGCGTCGAATTTTGGAGGAACAGATGAAACAAAAAGAACTCGTGATGAGCAAGTTGTCCCAATCGATTGGGGAATTAAATCGCGTACAGCCACTTGCTGAATATCCTGTCCTTCAGGATTGGAATGTAATTTATGTTTGATTATTCTAAACAATCTTTTCAGCGTTATATCGGAGCCGGAATGCCAATGTCGATGTCAAACCATGAAATAGGTATGAGCAGCTCAAGTGCAGGGGAGGATAGTATAGGTACATCCCGGAATTAATAAAAATTATTTAAATTTTCAGGAAGACACCGAAATGACGATATTCATCGTGCGCAAAGATCAATGAGCACACAACCCGTCAAACTCCAATACCAACCTCCTGTACAAATGCCGATCTCACCTTCATATACAATTTACCAAAAAAGTATGTTTTTGCAATAGAATTTATATCTATGTACATTTAGCCCCTCCTATCATCCAGGTCGGTGCCATGCAGATGCAGCCCAATCAAAATATGGGTATATCATCCCTTGATTCCCTCCTAAAATTAATTTTAGGCCTACCACCTCCTGACCCGACAACTATATATCCGAGCCCGGGCTTGCCTAATGAAATAGCGCAGATGCGAAAGAACCTGGAAATGAGCAAGTAGGTTGGAGTCTGTGTCAGCTCTCAAGCTTGGTTATAATCGTATTATTGTGTTTTTAGGAGTGATTACAATGAACGGACACGGCATTTTAAAGAAACACTTGAGGAGTTTCGCAGCGAATTAGGCAAGCCTTTTTGATTACGTATTTTTGGTTGCTGGTTATGCAAATTTTGCTTTACATCCTGTCGGGATTCAAATCCTTTCAGAAGGCTTGAAACGCGAAGATAGGATTACCGAAATTGATCGAGCTCATTTCTCGAAACCCGGCCGAGATCGAGGCGACACTCTGCGAATGGTAATCATTTGATTTTATATTTTTCGAATGCATCCCCTCCCACTTGCAGCTGCGCTCCAAAAGCGCCAATTCCCTTGAGTCCGATGAACCGGGATGGTATTAGGTGTGCTGCGTTCCGTGTCACGATTTCGAGCTCAACTAATTTCCTTGTACAAACCAAATTAAAATTTTGCATGCAATGGCTGTATTATGATATATATATAACTGCATGGAATAATATGAATTTTAAATTTATTTTTGCTTTTCAGAGTTCCACCGGGCCGACGAGGAGACGTGTCGATACTTTTGACGATTTGTAAAAACCAAATACTCATATGATTTCAATTTGTTTGACGCTTGAGCTTTTCTTGCCTATTACAATTTCTTATGCAGCTACAGCAACGTTTTCATTTAATCCAGCTAATTTTTCATATTCCTTCCAGTTGATTGCAACGTTCGGGTTACCAAGAAATTGCCGTGATACATTTTACGTATGCTCAATGAGCGGATAAGGATTCTGCAGATAATAAAGAGTCATTGCATTTAATTAGATTGTGCAAACAATTGTAAGGCACAGAATACAAGACATTTTTCGGCGTGAGGTAAGTGGGATGATGAGTGACTCAGGTGATCAGAAATCTGCAGCAACGGATTATAAGCTTCTTAATCCGAGTGGCTGTAATACATTTCCTCGGTCAATCTAAAATTAATTTACCTACTACAATCCTTTTTTGGTGGGTATGGAGCGTCAGATTCTTTATCCTATTTATAGAGCCTGAGCTGGGATGAGAACGTTTTATTTAAAGAAGCTGTATGCGCTTATTTGTTTCGGAATTAACAAAAAGTTAACTCAATTCAATTGAGAAACAATTAGTCGAGTTTTGGTTAGGTTTTGATTTTGGTTTTAGGTTAACTCAATTAACCAAGTAACATTTCGATCATCATTTCCTGCCCACCCCCCCCACTCCTTCACCTCCCTATCATCTTTATGATATCTGATCATCACTAGGTTGTTGTTTTTCATATCATTGTGTGTAGCAAAATGAGGGACTGAGGGGAAAAGAAGATGCGAAAGAAGAAGAACAAGAAGAAGCTAGGGCAATCAAGGTGCAAAGAGGGCATCCCCGGCAGATCGTCGTTGCTCTCGTGACGTCGTGCAATCCCCCACCGGAAGGCCGAAATAAAGGAAAGAGAAGAGGCTGCATTGTGCGCGACCGGTCTTCAACACCCTGATCTTCGAAATTGACAATTGAGGCGAGGGAGGAGAATCTTTAAAGGCGCCCTATCTGTCTTTTCTCTCTTTGATCGCCAGAAGAGACCGGGCTTGGTGGTGATGGTGGAGGTGGAGGGTAATAAATAATATGATCAGCCGGCGATCAGGGTTTATACTGGTTTGAGGAAGTGAGAAACTAGCATCTAGGCAGCACCCAAACACGGATATAGTTCTGTAGTATTTGTAAAATAGATTTGTTTTTGCAACGGTAAAATACAAAGTATTGAATAAGGGGATTGGGAATTAACGAAATCAACCTCTCCACTTTATTGGGTGTCGACAATTACCCGTTACAAGAGGAAGTTACTTTCGCTCATATTTTTTGCGTCCCACTTCAAATCTACCCATAGGCCGCGTTTTTGGATTGTAAATCTCCCCTAAAGCCCCAGCTCCCCTAATTCCTACGTTTATCATAATCATCACTTACAAGTGTAAATCAGGCCCAAATCGTGAACGCCTCCGTTTTTCTCACCGACTCCCTAATTTAAGGATGCCCCCGAAATCTTCAGGAATCCAACCACCCACCTCCCCCCTTCATCCGTTCTTTTGCAAGACAGTACCCACAAATTAGCCAACTGGTCCATCAATGCCATCCGGTTGTTTATTATTGGCAGCGGATCCAAGACCACCCGACGAACTTACGGTGCTTGGTAACACAGTCTATGCTATTTTTGTTAGTTTGTTGACTAGTTTGGCAAGTTGCCAAGATTAACAACCATTTCGTCTTTCTTTCAAGTTACGAAAACGCAAATTCAATACGCAAAAGTCGCTATCACTGGCAGACGTAACCCGTCAATTTTGATCCCGGAAGCCGGGCCTGGTCCGTTGATGGGACCGGTCATAGATAAAAGCCGTCCGTCGAAATGCATTTCCAGACGAAGACGAAGAGCTCTGTGTAAGAAATGGGGCACTGGAAATGTGCCAGGGAAGTGGATAGGCGAGAAGCGATATTAGACGGACGATACAGTAGCCGCTTGAGCGACAAAGTGCTGTTTTCGTGCACCTATTCTTTGTGTCGAAGGCTTGTTGTCAACTTGATGATAATATTGAACGTTTACCGGTGCTTAATATAGTATCCCTGAGCAGTTTCTTGGCTCCCTCAGTTCCGGAGATCAGTCCGGTCAAAAAGATCCCACTGCCGAAACGGGCTCCCTGCAAAACCGGTTAATAAGCGAACTACCCCGGATATTATTTTTTCAAAAAAAAAACACCATTTTCCAAGCGCACAAGAACTCGGTTCTTTTGATAAGTGAGCCAAAACAAATCCTTGCCAAAAAGGAGATACCTCATTAAGTTGGGTGCACTCAATTAACGCCCAGCTCCAGGCGACCAACGGCCAAATAAAAACGCCTCTATTCCAGTGCGCAACATCGAGCGCGGATTCTCTTTTTTTCTGGAAGGTACCTGGTTCTAAGTTCCACGGCCGTCCTGCAATTAGGGTCCGGATTCTGGGAAACCAGGTGGGAACCCAATCAGCGGCCGAAGCCCCTCTTGGGGGCCATCCGGAAAATTTGGGGCGATTTTTGTTCGAGAAGATCGCTTGAGGTTTTGAAAAGTGTAGTTCAGGGTTGAGCGTTAATAAAAAATTATTTTGGGTAGGCAGCACTCAAAATTCAAGTTAAAAAGGCGTACTATAGAGGCAATTAAGGGCTTTATACAAGTTCAAAATTTTTAAATTGTGGTAGGGTCTTCTTTAAAAGTCAATGAAATTAATTTACTGATAACACTTTCATCAAGTTTTTTCTTGGTTCACAAACCCTTTAGAGCTCCTTTCCCGCAAGAAAGATCGGATTACTCACCATTCCAAAGGCCGCAATACACTTTTTTGGTCGAGTTTGTCCCACGGCGAACGCATATCCGAACCCATTTTATATTCTCCTTTTTATACACCTCCTATCTGCTGCCAATCCTGCTTTGCTCTTCTCCCTGAACAGAGCAAAGCACACCACCAACCAAAAGCAATTCAATGACAGCCCCAGCCATTCCAGCAGGCCTCTCTTTTTTGGTTGATCAGCTGAAAAGAATGCCATTACAGTAAGCCACAAAATGAGCTCCAGATTGATGGGGTTTTTGGAAATAGTCCCCCTCTCTTTAGAAGAGGATAGGGATGGCTGACGAAATATCGGAAATCCATTCGTTCAGACGTATTGTTTCGTAAGCCGAATGGTCGGTGGGAGCGGAACCCAATCTTTACAGGGATCCTGGGGGAAATTGGAGTCGAATCAAAGAGTTTCAGGAGCGGAGGAGACCTTTGCAGAAACTTTTTATATGGTTTTGCTCAGTTGTTGGTGAGCAAAGCATCTTATCAAACTTCTTGGGGCTTGATCTTGTTAGACTTGGAATGATAAGTGGTCTGGTAATGGAATTAGTCAATTCGTATAGTTGCGATGTTCAAGAGGACACGGATTTTTGGGTTTGATAGTACTTTCATTATTGCGGCCTGACGGCCATCTTTCTGGCCCTTTAATTTAAATTACCATACGAAAGACTATTCGTGTTTTAGAGGCCTTAATTTCTATAATTATCCTATCACGCGCTCATACTACATTCTATTCATCACCTACCATATTCCCACCCACTATTCCCCAGGTTTTTCACCACTTTTTGTACCCCTTGGGGTCCGTCGCGTGCCTCACTCGTAATTAAAACCCACCGACGCCTGGGATTAGGTGCCAACCGTACTAATCTTCTATATTGACTACTATTTCCGTAGATTGGATTAGGTTTTAGGTATTTAGGAAATAATCGGAATCCCAGAAATTGGGAATTGGAGAGAAGTCTCCAATTTTTGGATCTGTGGATCCCCCATAGAATATCAGAAATTTACTTCTTTTAATAGCAAACCGTCGTTCGTTTTGAGGCCTATATCGAAACTCTTTCTCAACGAAGGATCACGAGCCCCCATTGAACATCTTTTTCGCATCACTTTCGTCACTCTGCGCCGCCAGACGACATTCACATCCCCATTTTTCCCATACGATTTTCCCACGTGCCCTGTGCTTTGAACCGGAAGCCAGCTAATCACTTTCCAGAGGTCCATTTCAGCTGCCCCAACTTCCGCCTCGACCAAAAGATGAAGTTGTTGGGATCGAGAGATCAAATGCCGCAAAGTCGATGGCCGAGAAAAGCTCATGAACAATCGAGTGAGTCAACCCTTTCCGGTTATGATCGAAAATTCGATTCGAAATATCGATGGGAGCCCTGGTATTCCCACATCAAGCTTTGCGATTACGGTTGATCGTGAGGAATGGTTGTCAAAGGTGGAATATTAAGATCTTGAGATGTTGCGATGTATTTTTAAATGGCTGTTCGTGCTGCTTTACATGGTAGCCCTTAGCGCATATGAAGCATAGGCTCTAATAACTCAAGAAAGGACCCAGACGCACCCTCAATTCCGTTGTAAAAAGGAAGCCCAATTAATTTGAACCCCGCTGCTGGTGGATCAGTGCAAAAACCAGGTCATTCATGTCTACCCATAAGTAGATTTCTTTCCAACCACAAAAAGACAAATTCATTTCATACGGGGGGCACGCGACTCCTGCAAAAACAAGTTTATTACTACAAGGGCAATAAATGGTGTGCAAAGCACACTTCCGCTACAAGGCACGAATTCCGTTTTTTTTGGCTTGCTGGCCGTAGTTTGGTAGGGGGAGAGGTGAGGGAAAAATTCAAGAACGGACGTCAGCTTGGATTTGTGTGAATGTGGTCAAGAATAGAACTAGAAAAAGTTTTGATGGCGATAAGTCTAATTAGAAACGGAGTTCAAAGGGGTGTGGTATCTGGACTAATGAAAAGATGAAAAACTAATATGCCTGAATTCAGGCGACATTCCTTTTCAGTAAGATTTTTTTCCTTTACCTGTCCAATTTCTGCCCCAGACAGGAAGCCTCACGTGGCCACGACGAAAAAAATCCAGGTCAACCGGCAGACCAAAGCGTCACGATGGCCGGGCTTTCTTGTCCATTTTCTCTTGGCCAAATGCCCCGTTATCAAGGCAATTCCATCATTTTTCGCATCGAGACCCCCACGGGCACGCCGCCAGCC